AAAAAAAAAAAAAAAAAAAAAAAAAAAAAAAAAAAAAAAGGGGGGGGGGGGGCTGGCCCGGTGGCGCACTGCTATAGTGCGCCGCTTGGGAAGCGCAGTGGCGCTCCTGCCGAGGGTTCGGATCCCACATACAGACTGGCCGCTCACTGGCTGAGCGAGGGGGGACGGGAGCAACACCGAGGGTTGCGATCCCGTGGCCGGTCCTGGTCCAGTACGGGCGCAACACTGAGGGTTGCGATCCGTTGCCGGTCACGACAAAAGACAAAAAAAAAAAAAGAAGAAGAAGAACTAAAAACAAATGATTAAAGGTAACTGCCTGAGTGAGACTTTTACTTTTTATCTTATACTCTTCTACACGGATTCTTTTTTTAAATGTATTATTTTTGGGTTGTCAAACTGAGCAATTATAGGATGCCAGTGAAATTTGAATTTCAGATAAAAATGAGTAATTTTGTGGTATAAGTATCGATTACATGGGATATACCGATACAAAGTCATTTGTTACTTATCTGAAATTCACATCTAACTGGTTACCTTATATTTTACTTGGCAACTCTAATTAAAAGGCAAAAGAATAAATTACGTTCATATAATGTTATATGGTATTAAAAACACTAATAAAATTTGACATAATGCCTTTATAATATTTGGCAAGTCTTTCTCAGTGGGGACAATAATTATTAAATATTTTCTGGGTATTAAGTGTGTGTTGAACTGACTCCACCCCAGCCGGCGAGTGTGTTGGGCTTCACATTCCCTTTTCCAGTCACCTGTTTTGGTGAATGGAGATCTTATTTAACATGCTACTGCTCTAGTGGACACATTTTATTTTTAAGGAATTGATATAACAATGAAAAGAGCATGGGAATTTAGAAAACAACATGGAAACTAATGATTACACTGATAGAAATGATAGAGAAATTTTTAGGGGGAAAAATTAAGGCATAAACTGATAAAAAACAAAAAAAGTAAATCCTAGGACACATTTAAAAAACCACGACCAGGGCCAGCCCCATGGTTCACTCGGGAGAGTACGGTGCTGGTAGCACCGAGGCCGCAGGTTCGGATCCTATGTAGGGATGGCCAGTTTGCTCACTGGCTGAGCGTGGTGCGGACGACACTGAGCCAAGGGTTGCGATCCCCTTACCGGTCAAAAAAATAATAATAATAAAATAAAAATAAAAAAACCATGATCAGAACACCTGCGTTTCTGTGTCTCTAGGTTTATGACCTGACCTTGCGTCATACACAGCACCAGGACCACAACGTCGTGACGGGAGCCCTTGAACTCCTGCAGCAGCTCTTTAGGACCCCCCCGCCTGAGCTCCTGCAAGCTCTGACCACGACAGGTGGGATTGGGCAGCTGGCGGTGGCTAAAGATGAGTCCAGTGGCCGAAGTCGTAGTGGGAGTATTGTGGAACTCATAGGTAAGTTATTAGTAAGGTCTGTTCTTATAGTTAACTGTGCAGTAATACTGGTTACTCTGTACTAGTCATAGGCCCTGCACTGTGCCAAGCAATCCACATTTTAATTCCTTGCAAAACTTGTAATGTAGGTATCATCCTTATTTTAAAATATAGTAGCACTAAAGTTTAGAAGTTAGGTGGTAGAATGAGGCCAACATTTAAAGCCCAGGTTCCTGATTCACTCTCCCTGACTTGGCTGCCTCCACGTGGCATTTCAGGTGTTGCAGAATGAAAACATTAGGGCAGACATTTCTGGGATGTCGCAGTAATTTGCCAGAGGTGGTATCTGCAAGTCTTCATAGGGATTTTAGAGTTCCTTTTTGCCCCTGGGTCCTTTTTTCCTGCCCTGAGTTTAGAAAATCCCTTACATTCCCAGCTGTACCCACCACCTTTGCTGTCCAGTTTCTGTTCTTTTTCTCCATTCTCTTGGGGGTTGGGCCTTCATTCCATGATGGGATGCTGCCCTAGAGTTCAGGGGGCCCTGTCTCTAGGCCCAAGAGTTGCGCTTGGGAGCAGGAATAGATGACAGTCCCTGAACTCCAGCCCGTAGACAGGTCTGGCTCGCAGCAGGCTTTTGATAAGCTTTTGCTGACTCTGGGCCTGCCCTAGGCCACTGCGGTGTGGGTGACTGAGTGCAGTGTGTCTATGGTGTGGCCTCTGCTCACAGCTTTGACAAACTAGAGAGAATTTGCCTGGAAGTCTAAATTACTGCCTTGTGTGAACAGAATTGTTTGCCCAAACCATGAGCAGAAAATGTTAATATGCCTGTTCACTGTCCTTTGCACTGAAGAATTCTTTTTTCCATGGAATGCATGTCTTACAAATAACTAGTAGAAATAGTCATTTCTAATGGTTGTTTCTGCTGAAAATTTATACCTGACTATTAGTTGACCAAATGATCTGATATTTCTAATATTTTTAATTTGGCTTTTTAAATGTAATTTATTTTAGTTCTTTTAACATTTTAGGTCATATCTTTAGAACTGTATATTAGAGTGTTAATGTAATTTTCATATTGAAATTCAATTGTTGAACTGTGGTGTTTAGGCATTTCCTATGGAAATACGGAGATGTTCACATTTCCCCTCGTTTTAAAGTTGAATCAAGCTTTTTGAAGATTTTTTAATTTCTTCTAGATTTTAGTAGCTTGTTACTTTACTTTTATCTGTCACTTTCTGTGATTTACAGCTGGAGGGGGTTCCTCATGCAGCCCTGTCCTTTCAAGGAAACAAAAAGGTGATTATTTCAGGAATCAGAGTCTTGTGAAAATTTTAACGATTTTTCTGTATTTCCTTAATGCATTGGATTCTGTGTCTATTATCTCTTCTCCGTAGAGTGATTCTGTGTGTAAATGTTGCTGGAATCTGATAACCAGACCTAAGTAGAGTTCTGTTGGGTGGTTTTAAAAATTGCTTCTGTATCAGAATTGCTTTGTCCTAAATTTTTAATTCTTTAGGTAAGGGGTCAGAAACCTTTTACTGTAAGGGGCCAGAAAATAAATATTTCAGCCTTTTAGTGTCACAGTCTCTTTTGCAGCTATTCAACTCTGTCCTGTGGCAGGAAAGCAACTATAGATGATAAATATGTGAGCTATTGGGAGTGGTTCTATTTTACAAAGGAGACTTACCTTCCCAACGGATTTTGTTTAGTATTAGTTAGGAATATTATTAAGTAGCTTCTTTTGTTTGTTTAATTATTTTAATTTGGGCCTGGTTATCATTTTTCAGCCATATTAACTCTTACTATCAAAGTGTTCTGGTATAATCAGTTTTTGTTAAATCATCGTGTTTCTGTTTTAATCTGATAGTTTGGGTACGCATTATCACTTTGCCATACCAATTATTTTCTTTTCCAGTATGGATTTCCATAAGAAAAATTGCTGTCATTTTCTATTTTGAAATCTTAAAAGACTAATCCTTTTTGTGTTACGCTTTGGGTATTTAATTGAGTGCCTAATGCCTGATACTATTTGCAGGACTGAATGGTATCCTAACAGGAATAACATTGTAGCCTCCACTGAATTAGGTAAACATTTCCTAGAAGAACTTGGAGTCAGTGTTATTTGGACCATCATGTAGTGTGGGATACTCAATTAAGTCTGAGGTTTTAGTGAGACATTGAGATAGTTTAAAAGCCAAAAGGATTCTAGGAAAAGTTAACTTCTACGTTTTTGAATTAGGAGAGATTCTTGAACACATGACTGAGTCACACTGATACTCATTTGTCTCTTACTCACTTTTTCCAGTGACAGTGAAAAAGATGACTGATTCACATTGTTGAGAAGAGTTGTTTTGTATTCTTCTGGCTAGGACATGCGATATATACTCAGTCTTTTTTTTTTTTTTGTCCTTTTTGTGACCAGTAAGGGGATCGCAACCCTTGGCTTGGTGTCACCCGCACTGCGCTCAGCTAGTGAGCACACCGGCCATCCCTATATAGGATCCAAACCCGTGGCGGGAGCGCCACTGTGCTCCTAGTGCCGCACTCTCCCGAGTGCGCCACGGGGCCAGCCCATATATACTCAATCTTTAAAAAAAATTTTTGGGGGGCCGGCCCGGTGGCGCACTGGAGAGTGCGCCACTTGGGAGCGTGGCGGCACTCCCACCAACGGTTCGGATCCCATGTGGAGACCGGTTCCCACTCACTGGTTGAGCGCGGTGCGGGCGCAACACCGAGGGTTGCTATCCCGTTGCCGGTCCCCGGTACGGGCGCGACACTGAGGGTTGCGATCCCGTTACCGGTCAGTAAAACAGACAAAAAGGAAAAAAAAACTTTTCATTTAGAGCTGTGGTTTTCAAACTTTTTTGTTGTAGCTGTGGAATATTTTTTTTCAAGTGAAATCTGGCAACACTGTCCAAGTACAAAAGATAGATAAAAGCAGAGTTGTTGTGTTGGTGTAGGATTTGGGTGAGAGGTGGTGGTGGCCTGGAGTCTTTTCTCCAGGAACAGCCCTGCCCCTGTACTTTTGAGGAACTTACCCTGGGGAGGGCTTTGTGGAATATATTTGCAAACCACTGATTTAGAGGGTAGAAACTGCTTTCATTAAGATCCGATTTTACCATTTTGAAATTTTGTTTCCTTTCTCAACATAAATAACTTGCTCTGTAATAAAGGACTCTTATTTAGTCGATATGTCAAGTTGCTGTGTTAATTTCATCTAGATTTTGGGTTTCCTTTGCTAAGTTTTTTGTGCCTTTATTGTTGCATACTATGAGTTTATAGAAATTATTATACTTCTGACCTCTTCTTTGAAGAAGACCAGCATATTAGAAATTGGAGGGAGATTGTCAATTAATTATGTAGTATCATTTAATGACATTCATATGTAATGTTGCCATAATGATTTAATGAGTCCAGTTAAATCATATTGACTTTTGGTTTCTATAATTTTTTTTTTCCTTTTTGTCTTTTTTCGTGACCGGTAACGGGATCGCAACCCTCGGTGTCGGATCCCACATACAGACCGGCTGCTCACTGGCTGAGCGAGGTGCGGGCGCAACACCGAGGGTTGCGATCCTATTGCTGGTCCCGGTCTGGTACGGGCGTGACACTGAGGGTTGCGATCCGTTGCCGGTCATGAAAAAAGACAAAAAGAAAAAAAAAAAAAGATTAAAGAGTAATGTAAATTATTAAACAGTAGTAATAATCTAAATCAATAAATATTGATAATTATTAAAATATTTTGTGGTGCAGGGCCGGCCCGGTGGCGCACTGCTACAGTGCGCCACTTGGGAGCGTGGTGGCGCTCCCGCCGAGGGTTCGGATCCCACATACAGACCGGTTCCCGCTCACTGGCTGAGCGAGGGGCAGGCGCAGCACCGAGGGTTGCGATCCTGTTGCCGGTCCCGGTCCGGTACGGGGCGACACTGAGGGTTGCGGTCCGTTGCTGGACATGAAAAAAGACAAAAAGCTTTAAAAAAAAATAAATAAATAAAATATTTTGTGGTGCAGTTTGAGTCATTGCTTTTAAATTTTTTATCAATTTTAATAGTGTTTAAAACATAATATCTCTGCATTCCTTGTGTTTAACACTCTAGAGGTATAAAAATACTTATATGTGATGATAACTATATATGAGGGTAAATTAAATATGCTTATGACTTTCAGTTTAGAATGTGCATTTATTTGATTTTTAAAGTCCTTATTTTTAGCAAACTTAAAAGTAATTTTGCTGCATTATTTACTAGGCAAAGTGCTCTTAGGAGAAGAAGAAGCCTTGGACGATGACTCTGAGTCGAGGTCAGACGTCAGCAGCTCAGCCTTTGCAGGTAGTTCTCGTTAGTGGCTGGCACTCCTGCCCCACCCACTGCACCTCCGCAACAGTGCTCCTGGGGGCAGCAGTGCAGCCAGCTTGCCCAAATGATGGATAATTAGGGCTTTTGTTATAATGTTTACTTTGAAATGTGCGTCTGTGTGTGCATATCACATATTTGCTGTTTTTGGTGGTTTAGGCTGTTTTAATGTTAGGTTTATACTCCCTGAGCATGAGTCTTTTTGCATAGGGGATGGTGGGTAGAAAAGTCTCGTGAATTGGAGCAGCAGCAGGAAGCGACCTGGGCTCTCCAGAGCAGGGCTGGTGGGGGGGGGGGCGAGGGCTTTTGCCACACCCCCCTGACATCTGCACCCACCCTGGCAATGACAAGCCACCGCTGGAAGCCCCCTGGTCTCCCTTGTGGGAATGAGGAGGGTGCCACAGTCCTCAATCCCACCCCTTCTCCTTCCTCCATCCCATTTCCTTCCCCTTTCCCCTCTCCCCCTCCCTTCCAACTGCTCTGCAACAACATCATAGAATGTAAAAAATAAATATTAATATAATTGCATTTTCTTTTAAGAAAAAAAGAAAAGTGTCGTGAATTGGATGGTCGTGGTGGAGGGAATGGGATGAGAAATTGGCTATGGATGATTTAACTTGAAAGAATCTTCCTTTGTTTCCATGTAGTTAATTAAATTCTTTGTGTGCTTTATAAAAGATGAGTATTAATTTAAGACACTAATAACTGGATTAAGTAAGGGTGGTTTTGGTAGTATAATCCTATCCAAAAGAATATTTTAAAATAACTGCAAATAAGGATAAAACATGTTAGAAGGAAAATGTGAATAATTCCAGTGGTAATTATTTACTCATTTATTTTACAATATAAAAATAAAAACTTTTTCCTAATTACGAAAATAAAAAGTTAGCACCACAGAAAATCACCACTCCCAGAGTAGCATGAAGCTAAAGTGCTCACCAACCCAGCTGCCCTAGAGGGGCCCGTGCCAGCAGCCTGTACTGGTCTTTTTGTAGTGATTTTCATGTGATGTTTTTTGTTTATAAATGGGAATTTAAAGACTAAAGTACGAAAATGTGGTATAAATTTGTCCCACAGGAAAATAGGACAGTATTAGAGATTTTGAACAGTGCTTGGAAGAGGCAAGCAGCTGTCACAGAGACATGGAATTTACTGTCTTTTCTGACTGCTGCTTGCTTAGAGGACCTGGGCATTTGTTACCACTGATCCTCATGCCCCTGACCTGGCTCCTCTGCATTGCAAACGTCTTTATGTGTTGCTCCAGCTGAGGCTAGAGTAGTGGCTTAAGAATTTGAACTTCAGTTTTTATGGTAAAAAACCATTTGAGAGTAATCATAGCATATAAAAAAAAATGTGCCGATTATCCTTATTTTATTTTATTTTTTGGCAGCTGGCCGGTATGTATCTTTATTAATATGAGTACTGTAGTTAGCAATTTGAATAATGTTTGAAGGAGGCATTGCTCTCCTGCCTTTGACGTTTACTAGTTCTTGTTTTCACTGTATTTCAGGATGTTTTGCAGTTTAAACATCTGATGACAGTGAACTTTTGTTATTTTCAAACCTCTCATTCCCTGTTGAATGGTTTATCTGGTCATTTGGCTAATGAGTGTTTCTGTGTCTTCAGCCTCAGTGAAGGGTGAGATCAGTGGAGAGCTGGCTGCTTCTCCGGGAGTCTCCACTGCTGGGTCTGCGGATCACGACATCATAACTGAGCAGCCACGGTCACAGCACACGTTGCAGGCAGACTCGGTGGATCTGGCTGGCTGTGACTTGTCGAGTGCAGCCACCGATGGGGACGAGGAGGATATCTTGAGCCATAGTTCTAGCCAAATCAGCGCTGTCCCGTCTGACCCTGCCATGGACCTGAACGATGGGACCCAGGCCTCTTCGCCCATCAGCGATAGCTCCCAGACCACCACTGAAGGGCCTGATTCAGCTGTGACCCCTTCAGACAGTTCGGAAATTGTAAGTGGTCAGTGGGGCCTGTAGTCTTTCTGAGTTCTTCCTGGAGGCCCAGACCTGGACCTTCTGCTTATTCTTCTCTTTCTGTCTGACCCACTGATAACAGAGTGGAAGTCACCAGCTCAGTCTGTTGAGGCAGGGCTTGGCCTCGTCTGGTACCTTCACTGTAGGAAACAGCTCAGTGTCTTTCATGTTGGACACGGAGGTCAGAGATCGGATTAGTTGATTATAGTTCATAACTGTAATTTATGACCTTGTTGGGCCCTGGTTAAATAATTATTTTTAAAAAGTCTTAAGGAACCCATTATTAAAAGGTCTGTGGGCTTAATGAAATGTGATTAATAACATTAATACTGTGCATTATTTTGAGCACTTTTTGACTTTTCAAAAACTTTTGCAGCATACCCCATTTTATAGTAGCGTGGATTTAAGTACCTCTAATATCGATGAGTTAGCAGGCAAGGAATGCCTCAAAGATAGTCTACTTAAAAAATTTGGTACCAGTACGTACTGAATTTTATACCCCATTTTAAAAAGTTTTTGCTATTGTTGTAAAATATACATAACATAAAATTTACCATCTTAACCATTTTTAAGTGTACAGTTCAGTGGTATTAAATACGTTTAAGTAATGTCGTGCAACTATCACTACAGTCATCTCCATAACTCTCTTCATCTTGTAAAACTGAAACTGTGTTCATTAAACAATACTTTCCATTCCTCCCTCCCCCAGCCCCTGGCAACCACCTTTCTACTCTGTGTCTCTATTAATTTGACTACTGTAGGGCCCTCGTATAAGTGGAATCATACAATATTTGTGGACTGTATGGTCCCATCTCTGCTGTTATAGTGTGAAAGGAGCCACAGAGAGTATGTAAATGAATGAGCAAGACCGTGTTCCCTTAAAACTTTTTTTATAGAATAGGCAGAGGGCCGGGTTTGGCCCACAGGTTGTAGTTTGCTGCCCATCTTCTGGAGTGTGTGCATGTGTGTACAGGACATAGGATAATCCAGTAATCAAATCAAGTAGATACAAACATAGTCCGATGTTGATAAATGCTGCAGAGAAAAATAAGCCAAGTGGAGGGGAGCAGGAACATCCTTAGGAGAGACAGCTCAGTACGATGGTGAAAGGTTTGGCTGGGGGAGCCTCCCAAGATGAGGATTTTGGCTCTGCTATTTACTAGCTGTGTAATCTGGAGCAGTCATATCCCACTTCTGTCTCAGTTTTCTCATCCATGAAAATGAGGATGTTAGCAGTACTTGTGTCATAAGACTGCTGTGAATATTAAAGGAGGTACTATGTGTAAACACTTAACGATCCTGCGTGTTGTAATAAGGTAGTCAGTAAATGTTGTTTATTATTATGGTGGGACTTGTCATCTTAACCTGTTGAACAGCAAAAAAAATTTTTTATAAACCCTCTGGAGGTAAGGAGTTGGAGGAGAAGTTTGGAATGATTTTTAAAAATTATATTGCAATAGAAATATTTCAGTAATAATTTGCTAGTGGTTTAAGAATCCATTGCTCAGTTGTTCAGGTAAATTACACAGGAGATTTCAAGTGGATGTGAAACATTTTGCGGTGTGCAATCATGACCCAAGCTTATGGCTAAACATGTGAAACACTGCCCAAAATGTAGTGGAGTCAGCCTTAGCAGTTTAGGAGATAACCTGTTGTTAGGTTTTTATCTAAAAGTTGTCCTCATTTCTAACTTACTGTAAAATTTGTTTGTGAAGACAAAGATTTTTGGGGAGCTTTTTCCTTTTATGTATCAATAAGAGAAATTTCTGGATTGGAATTGCTTTAGAATTTTTAGAAAAAATTATAAGTTTTTCATAATGTAGTGATGTGTGATCAGTAAGCTTTTGGCAGTTTCTACACATGCGGTATGTGCATTTGAATAAATGACCTGTGTGTTTTGTATATAAAATATCCTCCATGGTATTTGTAGCTTTGCCTTTACCGCACTGTGTTGGAGGACTTGTCCCTTGGTGATCAAACTTCAGAACCCTCACAGCTCTCCTTGAACCACATAGGTGTTAGATGGTGCTGATAGCCAGTACTCAGGCTCGCAGACTGGACAGCCGCACGATGAAGATGAGGAGGTCGCAGGTCTTCCTCCCGATGAAGCCTCGGAACCTTTTGAAAACTCTTTAGTTGGTACGTTGATTTCAGGTGCACTGCACAATTGTCTTGTGAGCCTTGGACATCTTAATTTTATCTTCGCTTTCAAGAAGAAATCTTTTGATATGTTTGTTTTCTGAATTATAAATAGCAGATGAAGGTGACTGAGGAATGATCATACTTTTTCTTGATCTAAATCCTATACTTTCTGGTTATGTTTGTGTTTTAAATTAGAAACTTGTCATTTAATCTCTATTTCTCTGTTTTTGTAGCCCTTCAACAAGCACATTTGTTGAAAAACATGGGTCATAGCAGGCAGCCTTCTGACAGCAGTATAGATAAATTTGTATCAAGAGATGAAGCTGCTGAACCAGGTGATCAAGGAAACAAGGTGAGGTATTTGGGCATGGGACATCTCAGCATTTCTGAGTTCCTATGAGGTTTTAAAATCACCCTGGCTACTGTCTACTTTATTTTTTGCTTTCTCATCTCTGAGCTTTTTTATTTCCCGTTTGAATCTTGATCTCTTCTCAGGCTTTCTCAAAACTCTTCTCTGCCTGTTCAGGAGCTGCCCAAGCATTGCCTGAGTTCTGCCTCCTTTGAGAGTCCTCCCCAGACAGATCTGTCCTGTTCAGAATGCTGCCTTGTCTGATATTTTGGACCATTCATTTGATGGTTGTGCATGGCCTTGCAACATTTCTTGTTTTTATTCTGTTGAACTGTTTTAAAAATCTCTCTTTATATTGTTTGCCTTTTTACATGTAAGCGTACTGTCTTCCCAGTCAATTTTATTTCATAGTCCCATGAATCAGAATTGCAACCTCAGTTCCTTCCAGGCCCTCATTGTACCTGGCCTACTCCCTCTTGCCTTGGGCTTCCCCCAGACTCTTGCCTTTGCCCAAATAGTTTCTTCTTGTTCTGTGGAAGATGGCTTGTGCTTTACTTCCCTGAACCTTGTCTCAGCTGCCTTCCTATCCAGTGTGCCCTCCCTGCATGCTGAGCTCGTCCCCTGCCACAGTCCTGTCACCCTGTGTCATACTGCCTTTTGTCTGTTTCTTCTGTGCCACGGTCTCTGTGAGGTCAGGCATGTATATGGGCAAAGAGGCATCTCTGTGTCATCAGTACCCAGTATAATTGCTGCTCTAGAAATATTTGTTGAATGAACTAACAAAAGAATGTATGGGTTCTTTGCTTATATGACAAATAAGTGTCAGTTTCTCTGTCTTAGCCTTGCCGTATCAGAGGAGACATAGGGCAGTCCACTGATGATGATTCTGCACCTCTTGTCCATTGTGTCCGCCTTTTATCTGCTTCATTTTTGCTAACTGGGGAAAAAAATGGTAAGTATAGAAGGACAGGTGCAGAGTTGAAGAGAGTAACTTTAGGTTTCAGAGGTCAAGTTGGTGCCCAGTTTTTGTCTTGTTGTTATAACAGAAGGAGTAGAACATGGGGTGAGCTCTGGTTTTCACTGACTGATGGGAGAAGGGAGGAAGGGATGGGACATGTAGTTTACTTGGTCTAGTTTTATGTATTTGAAAGCTAAATGTCTGCTGCTTTGAGGCTGAAGGTGGCCGGTGGTCTCTTTGCAGCGCTGGTTCCAGACAGGGATGTGAGGGTCAGTGTGAAGGCCCTGGCACTCAGCTGTGTTGGAGCAGCTGTGGCCCTTCATCCGGAATCTTTCTTCAGCAAACTGTACAAAGTACCTCTTGACATCACAGAATGCCCTGGTATGTTACAACTTCACAACTTTTTCCTTAGGTTTTATCATTGTTTAGAAAAGGATTTCAAACAGTGCTGGCTGTTGAGTTTTAGAGCAACGTGTTTCGAGTGTGTGTGAACTGTGCGTAGCTCTCCATAAAACACGTAAATATCAATGTTGTTAATTTCATGGACACCCTTTGGATGCTTTGTAGCTGAAACACACAAAAATAGAAATCTGGGACTATAAGAGCCAGTTTACATACATATTATATTTATACCAAAGTATAAATCGTGCACAGGTAAAATTGCTCCGAGTCACACTCAGCCAGGTCAGGTGTTCACATTCAGAGATTGGTGGGAACTGAGACCCGCCGAGGTGACAGCAGACCCGGGTCTCCTGCTGCACACACATGCATTATGTACTAGCAGTGATCCTCCCACTTTCTCTTTCCCTCTCTTTGGGCAAGAGGGCAAACTTGTGCTTTTGAGTTTACATTAGATAAGTGTGTAGTAGTTTGAGTTTTTCTAATCTTTTCTTTGGAATGAAATATCAGAGTTTTGATTATTGTCTGACAACCTGGAATTATAATACAGAAAATCTGTTGTATTGAGGGGATATCAGCAATATGATGAATCTAGAACCCTTAAACCCTGAAACACTTAGGGTTATTGTAGTCAAGTCATTGCTTGATTTGGATGGCCAGCCCCCCACCTCTTTTTCTCTTTCCTGAGAATTAAGCTTTTGTTTTGAGTTAGAAAGTTGAGGGTAGGGAACTGTACGTTGACTGGGCAATTTGTCTCCACAGAGGAGCATTATGTCTCAGACATCTTGAACTACATTGATCACGGGGACCCACAGGTCAGAGGAGCCTCTGCCATTCTCTGTGGGACCCTTATCTCCTCCATCCTCAGTAGGTCCCGCTTCCATGTGGGAGACTGGATGGGCGCCATTAGAACTCGGACAGGTAACATCCAATTTTTCAGTAATGTCTTTTCAATATATCATTCCCAAGTTTAAGTTTACATGAAGATGTTTGTTGCTTGTTCTTTTGGTAAGGAAATACATTTTCTCTGGTGGACTGCATTCCTTTGCTGCGGAAAACTTTGAAGGATGAATCTTCTGTTACTTGCAAGATGGCTTGTACAGCTGTGCGGGTGAGCATAATTTTTCGTGGCAACCATTCTTTTGATTAGTGGACATTTTACCATTGTCACAATAGAATTGAGCTTAACGTGAAATATTTCTACACATTCTAAAGCTATAAACAGTAATAGACATATGTGTATCTATCATTCAGCTTTAGAAAGAAAACATTGCCAATAAAGTTAAACTTAATAAGCTTTAGTTTGTTTTAATTCTCAGAATATTTGTTTGAAATATACCTTTTTCTAAAGGATATTTTTAGAAGTATACCTTGCCATCATTGTGTAAAGTTTGTTGAATAGAAAAAAAATGCCTGTATTAGGCCTATCGAAAGCTGAATTAAATAAAGGGAGCCTTAGGGACTGTTTAATCAGCCTTTGTTTTTTGTATCAGGTGGAATAGCCTCAATTCTTTAAGTGATAGCATGTTGAACCTTTACATGTCCACTGGCCCATAAGTTATGACCAGCCAGTCAACAGTAGTAAAAATTAACCGGTAAAAATCAAAACAAAAACAACCTGTAATTGTCAAATTTGTAAGATAACTCCCCTTTTTAAAATTTCATGGCCTGACAGTATTTTTTCTTTAGTTCCAAATGTTTGCCAAGTGTCAGTCAATTGTGTCTTTTCTTGAGCAGAAGGAGGTGTGTTGTCAGCACTTTGTACGTTGCTGCCTAGAGTCAGCATGCCTCAGTCACATGGGCGATGGTGCCTGTGTGCCAGAGGCTGTAGGGAGGGATACAGTGGAGGTCCTGTCCTGGTCCCTTGTGTATCGCAACACACAGTGACATTCGCAGGGTGATCCTGGGCGGGGTTCCTGTCCTCACCCTGGCTCTGAGATTTATTTCAGGAGTGGTGGGAGGGCTGTGTTGCGTGGTCTCCCTCTTTACCACTGATAAATGTTCGCAAAATTGTTGTTTGGGAGTTGAGGCTATGACATAGGCAGAAGTGAGAGGAAGAAAGTCGGTCATGTGAAAGGGACACATTTACTTTTAAACTTGAATTTGCTGAGATAAAGTATGTATATACCGTAAATATTTCTGAGAGATATGGAAAAAATGCAAGATCGCTGTTGCAGTTAAAAATACAAAACAGGGGGGGCCGGCCCGGTGGCGCACTGGATAGTGCGCCGCTTGGGAAGCGCGGCAGCGCTCCCACCCGAGGGTTCGGATCCCACATACAGACCGGTTCCCGCTCACTGGTTGAGCGAGGCGCGGGAGCAACGCCGAGGGTTGCAATCCCGTTGTCGGTCCCCGGTCCGGTACGGGGGCAACACTGAGGGTTGCGATCCGTTGCCGGACACGGAAAAAAGACAAAAGACCAAAAAAAAAAAAAAAAAAAATAATACAAAACAGGGGCCGGCCCCGTGGCTCACTTGGGAGAGTGTGGTGCTGCTAGCACCGAGGCCGCAGGTTCAGATCCTATATAGGGATGGCCAGTGTGCTCACTGGCTGAGCGTGGCGTGGACGACACCTTGCCAGGAGTTGTGATCCCCTTATTGGTCAAAACAAACAAACAAACACAAAACAGATGTGTGTGTCAGAGTGATGTCCTAAAACCATCAAGATGTGGCTCCTTAGTGAGGCTGAACCTGCTTCCTTCTTCTACGGGCCTTGCTTTTCAGCACTGTGTCATGAGCCTCTGCAGCAGCAGCTACAGCGAGTTAGGCCTGCAGCTGATTGTCGATGTGCTGGCTCTGAGGAATAGTTCCTACTGGCTGGTGAGGACAGAACTTTTGGAAACTCTTGCAGAGATTGACTTTAGGTAAGTTAATCAAGTTCATTAGGTTTAATGAACTAAAGCTCAGAAGTCTGAACAAGAATTGAAAGTCCCGGGGTCACTTGGTTCAATTAGTGATGGTTATCCAGTATCCTGTCCATCAGAAATCTGAGTGGTTTAGGTAGCTGATAGTGATTTTCTCCTGCCCAGTGGTTTTTTGGTAGACTCTGTCCTATACTTAGAATTTTTCTTTTCTTTCTTTCTTTATTTTTTGGCTGGCCGGTACGGTGATCTGAACCCCTTGACCTTGGTGTTATAATACTGTGCTCTAACCAACTAAGCTAACTGGCCAGCCAACTTAGAATTTTTAAATATAGGTAGAGAGTGGATTTTTCTAACAGTCTTAGTCACTTAAGAGTTCTGGGTGGTGGGAATAAAAGAGCTCTGAATTTTTTTTACGTTTGTCTTGAACTTTTAAAAAAAACTTAGCTTATATAAATTCTGCTTGTTTAGAAAGAATGTACTTGTGTTATACTGAACTTAGGTGAGAGAGTTTATTTGTATTTTGTTGTAATTAAAAAGTAACTTTTGATGTGTTGTAACTTTAGTTTTCTAAGAGTAAGTTTTGGTTGGAGATGTTTTCTTTCAATACTATTTTTTAGAAGGGAAATTTACCTTTATTATCCAGGTGTTCTTTTTTAATCTACCCTTCATAGAGACCTTTTGTGTTATTTTATTTAATCCTCAGAACACCTCTGTGAGTCAGGGCTTATTCTCACCTACTCATGGATAGGGACACTGAGCGTGGGTGGGTGAGCAGCTGATCAGTGGGTTGGGGGGACCCCCTCACCTCTACTGCTTTGCAGTCTGCACACCTACTTGTATGGTATGTGTTGGAGCTAATTCTGTGGGGGCACTTAGAGTCTTTTGAAATAGTTTGTTTTGAATAAAAACAATTTAGTGAGTACGATCTTATTGAGTCCGAAAATGTGAGAGGAATGTAAGTTCTATTTATTTAAAACCGTTAATCTTTTTTATCATTTTGAGTAAGTGCTGCCTCTGAGAGCCTTCCCAGGCTCCTGGGTTCTCCTGCCTGAGCAAGCATTCTTCACTGTCACAGCTGCCAGAGCCCTGCAGGTCGGCATTGAGCGTTTGCTGCCTAGCTCAATGATTTCATTGTTAAATGCATTCTTTCGTTAGGCTGGTGAGCTTTTTGGAGGCGAAAGCAGAAAACATGCATCGAGGGGCTCCTCATCATACAGGGGTAAGCCCTAATGTGTTTGTGGGTGGGGCTTTCCTAGCAGTCTGCGATTCCTCTGAATGCATTCGTTGTGTTTTAGATGTACTTCACAGTTCATAGCATGGAAGCTTGTGATTATATGGTATGAATTCAAGACTAGCAATCTTGACTTATTTCTCACTAGCTTCTCAAAATATCTTACATATAGTCTAGTCAAATACAGAGATTGTTCTTGTTATCCTTCTCTCTAAAGCTTTTAAAACTGCAAGACCGGGTGCTCAACAATGTTGTCATCTATTTGCTTGGGGATGAAGACCCCAGGGTGCGACACGTTGCTGCTGCGTCCTTAATGAGGTATTTATCAGTGCTTTATCTCTGCTCACCTTATTGGTTGGAGTACTCATGGTGTGAGAAAGGAGAGAGAGAAGAACTCAAAGGATAGGGGGCAGTATTCCAGAGTCTTTTGAGCTCGTTTTCAGCCATTCTGCTCCTAAGCTATCCAAAAAAAATTATTCATTACCATAAGAGTCTGCAATGATAATTAAAAGAAAAAAACCAACAAAATACCAACCTTCCACTGTAAAAGTAATGTACTTTCATTGTCGGATTTTCGGAATATAGAGAATAGCACGAAAAAGAAAAAAAAAAAAAATCACCTTTAATTTTAACACTTGGAGATAATCATTGTTAACATATTGCTGTATATCCTGTGTATGAGTTTCTTATTCAAAATTGGGTCAAAATGTACATGCAATTTTGTAATCTGATAATTTTCACTTAACATATTATTAGCATTTTCCTTTTATCAAATACTCTTCTAAAACAGGCCATTTTGGGCCGGCCTGGTGGCGCAATGCTGCAGTGCGCCTCTTGGGAAGTGTGGCGGCGCCCCCGCCGAGGGTTCGGATCCCACATACAGACCGGCCGCTCACTGGCTGAGCGAGGTGCGGGAGCAACACCGAGGGTTGCGATTCCGTAGCCGGTCCCGGTCCGGTACGGGTGCGACACTGAGGGTTGCGATCAGTTGCCGGTCACGAAAAAAGACAAAAAGAGTAAAACAGGCCATTTTTTTTTTACTATGTGGTTCTGATGAATTTTTACATAAATATTAATATAATATTAAGTATTCTTTGATTTAAATAATGTTGCAGTGAACATTATTGTGCATAAATGTCTGCATATAATTTTTTTTCTGAAAATTAATTCTTGGAAATTAAGTTACTGGGCCAAGCTTTTCAAATTTTTTAAAAAAAATTTCTAATAGCTTTATTGAGGTACAATTTGTATCCTTTGAAATTTACCCATTTTGAGTGTACAATCCAACGATTTTTAGTAAACTTATTGAGTTGTGTAACTATCACCACAACCCAATGTTAGAACATTTCCATCACCCCAGAGAGGTCCTTTGTGCCCATTTGCAGTAACTGCCAGCCCCAGCCCCAGGCAACTGCTCATCTACTTTCTGTCTCTGGAGATTTCCCTTTTCTGGACATTTTATTTCAGTGGGATCATAGTGTAGATGGACTTTTGCACCTGGCTTCTTTCACTTAGTTTTGAGGTTCATCCATGCTGTAGCATGTATGAGTAGTTTGTTCCTTTTAACCACTGAATAGTATTTCCTTATATGAAGAATACATATTTCATTTATCCATTCATCAGATGGAGGGTATTACTGTGTTCACTTTTTGTTACGGATCATGCTGCTGTGAGTATTTGCCCACAAGGCTTTATGTACATATATGTTTTCACTTTTCTTGAGTAGATACCTAGAAGTGGATTTTCAGTGATTTTTAGTATTCCCGCTACCAGAATAAGATTAGGCCTAATTCTTCTCACTAAAACCAGTATTTCAAAAAAAAGTTAAGAACGTGTCAGTTGTTTAGGCAGAAGTTGGTATTTCTTTTTTTAAATAACTTTTATCTTGTTTTAAAAGTGATATATGTTTACTGAAAAAAAATTAGAGAAAATATAAAAATGAAAATAAAAACCTTTGTAATGAAAATGCTGAAAGAAGACCGAAGTTACATCTGGTATACGTCCTTTTAGTTTTCTTTGTTGTAATTTGCATTTCTTTGATTTCTTGTGAGGTGCACTTTTTCATTTACTTAATGGGTTTGTGTGACTTGCCTGATCAAAGATTTTTGAACTCTACCATTTTCTGCAAATGACAGCAACTTACACCCTAGAAAAAAATTGTATTCGTGACAGACTCTGTGGAGGAGGAGACTTCAGTTAAAGATATGGGGGTTTGCAAATCAGTGAAATAAAATAGTTGTTTCCGCAAGTATGAGTACATTTAGGCAAGATATGTACTGAGTATGGAATGCAGAAATGAGTCCTTCTGCTCCTTCAGGAGCATGTTACCCACATCTTGCTTTTGAGTTCAGTTTAGATTTGTGAGGAGTCTCAGCTGGAGCTGTGCCATCTGGGAGTGGATGGGATGGTTTTGCAGGCAAAATTGCAAACATGCTTAAGGACAGCAGCTGGCATTCAGATCTGCTCCACACACAGTACTCTCTGTGAACAGTGGCTTCATGCTTCTGTTGGTGTTGATCAAATGCTTAGAAAGAGAACTTTCAAGGTTGGTTTTTAATTAAAGCATTTAATTGTGTGTAGAGAAAGGTACTTAATTCTGTGATAGGCAGAAAGAAAGTACAGCACCTAGTTATATCAGAGTGGGCGTGTCGGCCTGAGGTTGGAGATGCTAGCTCTGAAAAAGGGAAGAGGTGTCTGTGGACTACAGGGGTTGAGTCTTAACAACCTTAGGGAGAAGAGTGGTGAATCACAGGTAAGTTTCATATGCTTTCTCATGTAAATCAACTGTACTTTTATCTAGGCTTGTGCCAAAGCTGTTTTATAAATGTGACCAAGGACAGGCTGATCCAGTAGTGGCTGTGGCAAGAGATCAAAGCAGTGTTTACCTGAAACTTCTCATGCACGAGACGCAGCCTCCGTCTCACTTCTCTGTCAGCACAATAACCAGGTATACTGACCCAGCGGTGTCCATGTGCCCTTTCCTGATGCTTTTCTTTTGGCTTTAATTTAAAATGTTTTATTTTCTAGAAAAAAAAGCTTTAGATGTTTGAGTTGGTTATTTTCCTTTGATAGGATATTTATCTTTTTCAAAATTGACCATCTCTGTATTGAGCCCTACCACGGTCACATAATGGTGACATTGTAAATCTTTTAATGAGTTCATTACATTCCACATACTGACAGTTTATTTTTGTGTATGACTCTTGTATATCATCTGAAAACTTGACCATTAAAGATTTTCACTTCATTTGTGTTACCTTTGAAGAAGATGGTATTCTATCACATCCATTGATCTTTAGGTGAGTGGGCTATTGAAGAGTGTTGGTGCTACTTAGGGTTACCCACTAGTTCAGTGATTTGCATTGATTACAACTCACATTTGTGGTGAGAGCTTTTGAACACAGTTCCAAATGGCTACACGTATCCCCTCCTCATCTGATGCTCAGTGAATAGAGTAGAAGTGCTTTAATGATGTCGTAATTTTCTTTAGAATTTTAGTTTGCAGAGATTGCAGAAGTGATAATAAGAGTGCTGTTCTTTTTAGCTGTCTTTTAAATGTTATTTCAAAAATTGGTTTTATACGATACTCTTTTCTGCTGAGTGGCAGTGTTTTTAAAAAACTTGGACTAAATGACTTTAAGCTATTTAGTCACTTGATGCTTTTTTCCTGAATTTGAACTCAGCTTGTCACATTTTGAAGTCATTATTCCTAAATAAATGTCATCTTTTCTCATGTAAAGACTGCTTAAAAAAACACATGGAGATAATTTCTTGGCTGCCTTAATATTTTCATCTCACAGAATTTTAGTTGTTTAACCTCGGAACTGGCATTTTCTGGGCTGGCCCATGGTTCACTTGGAAGAGTGCGGTGCTGATGACACCAAGGCCAAAGGTTCGGCTTCCTGTGTAGGGATGGCCGGTTGGCTCACTTCAGGGAGCGTGGGGCTGACAACACCAGGTCAAGGGTTGGGATCCCCTTACCGGTCATCTTTAAAAAGAAAAACAAACAAACAAACAAACAAAAAAAACTGGCGTTTTCTCTCTTTGAAAAGATGCAGGATAAATATTCCTTTAAGATAAACAGAAACAGTGTAAGAGTATTTCATTATTGAGGAATTTGACAGGCTTAGACCAAATTACTGTTTCTAAATGTCATTTCAGAAGATGAATGTTTAGATGCCAACAGAGATGAGTATAATATTTCATTAAAGGAGTGGTTACTAACTACTACTTTGAAAATTTTCCCGGTTCCAAATTTGAGCTAGCCTCTTAACATTCAGCTGTGTTGACTTGGTTCTTGCATGTTTGCTGTTGAGCTACCTACTCTGTTAGCTTACAAGTGAGAAAAAGTCAGATTCTTCTTAGTTTTGTTGTTTAGTGTCTCTTGGACATGACACTGTGAAGGATGTAAAAGTGAATCAAACGTAACCCTGCGTGGCTTCATTGAAACAGTTGGGGAGTCAGCATTTATGTGTAACTGTAATGGGGGTTAGAAATGGATATGAGGCATGAATGGAATACAGAAAAAATGCCGTGGGAGCTCAGTAGTGGAGAAAGGAATTTGTCATGAAATCAGGAGTAGCTTTACGAAGCATTAACTTTAACTTAAAATTTGAAAAGTGGATGGCTTCCAGCCTGTGGAGATTGTGGTGAGGCTGGGAGGAGAGCAGTAGCTCAGTGCTGCAGCCGAGGTGCTTGGGGCCGACTGGAGGCGGGGCGATGCATTCAGCCCTTTTTACAGAGTAACGTCCAAACTGATTTCCAGTCTTTCTTTAATTTAACAGTCAAGACTGCTTTAACTTCTTTTAGCCTGTAGTCTTAAACTTTTCAATGCCATTTGATCTTTAAAAATATACACTTTAATAGTAGATTTTAAGTCTGTGTATTTTTCTTATTAGAATATATAGAGGCTATAACTTACTCCCAAGCATAACAGATGTCACTATGGAAAACAACCTTTCAAGAGTTGTTGCAGCAGTTTCTCATGAACTAATCACGTCAACCACGCGAGCACTCACAGTAAGTCTCTTTCTCAGTTGGTCTTACGGAAATTAATTTTCAGTAGTTTGTATGGTCAGTTGTGTGGTCATTTAAATGGTGAGATGCTTGTAGTGGAGCTCTTACTTATTTCTGGGGCTTGCTAAGAAATTACGCATCCATGGACAGAATCCTGGCTTATTCTAGCAGGAATGTAAAGAACTGTTTTTTTCGGATTATTAAAGTAATATATACTTTATATATAAAAAAATTCAGCAAATTTAGGAAGATATGAAAATGAAAACTACTGTGATCTGAATTGGTAATGTTATCAGAAGTTTAAAGTACCTCTAATATAATTGACTCACTGACCTTGTAATATGTACTAAGAGGGAAAAATCAGGAATGCCAACAGAGATTTTTGTATAATGTAATTATCTATATGATTTTTTTATGATGCTGAAATTGGAAAAGAACCATAGTATCCAAGAGTGATTAAATTCTGTACATATGGTAGTATATTATAGACCTATTAATATGCTTTGGAGAATTTTTAATGATAATGGAGAGAGATCTGGATTATAATTTTGACTGAAAAAAGGCAGAATACAAAATGTGTGGGAGGGGTGTGTACAGTCAGATCTCATTTAAGAAAAATAGTATTCAAGGGCCAGTTACCTCACTTGGTTAGAGCACAGTGCTGATAACACCAAAGTCAAGGGTTCAAATCCCCGTACCTGCAATCTGTGAAAAAAGAAAAATAATATTCACCTATACACGTTCCTCACATACTCAGAAAAATGACTGGCAGAAAATGGCAGTAAATGAATTTTAGGATTATGGATGATTTTTGTTTCTTTCTTTATATTTTTCACATATTTCCATATTTACTAAAATGAAGAAGTGTAACTTTTATAATCAGAAAAAAGAACATTATACAAAAGTAGTATTAATTTGCTGATTACCAGGTTAAACATTTTCATTTACTTTATGTGACAAAAGAATACTTGAATATTGTAGAAAACTCAGACAATTAAGAGTAGGTGAAGCCTTGTTAAGTAAATAATTGCCTTTCAAATCTAAATATTGTTTGGACTATCAGTAGTATGGTCTTTATTTGATTTGCCCAAGATATCATAAACTTTATTTTTATTGTGGGTACATGTGTCAGACACTGTTCTAGGCTTAGGACAATCAAGCAAACAGGATCCCTGCCCTGGTTCTTGCAGTCTGGTCAGGGAGATTGACAGGAATCAGCTTGCTCCGTAGGACTCATGGGGCAAACCAGGGAGGGGGCAAGAAGAATATTGCAGGGCGAGCGGGGGCCCAGGATGATTACAGTTGGAGGCAGGGGTAGCCGCACAGCTGCTGGCCTCTCTTCACTGAGATATAATCAGCCTTCTCGTTAAACAGGTAGTTCACTTGTCCAGCTGTATCTTGTGAAGTATAAATTTGTACTATGGTAGGACAGATGTGTGGTTTCTATTCACAGATCTCAATTTTCTTTTCATTGTTTGTACTTTTCATGAAGAGTAAAAGGAGGTTTACCTTAATAAAGGCTTTATGGTGTGTGGGTGTGATTGTATTATTCCTCTCTTCTACAGTTTGGATGCTGTGAAGCTTTGTGTCTTCTTTCGACTGCCTTCCCAGTTTGCATCTGGAGTTTAGGTTGGCACTGTGGGTATGTATTTTCCTCATTGTATAGTTGTCTGCAACTACATGATACAGACATAGTTATTAGAATCCCTTTCTTCTTATGTCTTTTATCAATTTGGCTTTTTAGAAAAATACCTGATGGAATATTCATTTCTGCCCTATTAGTTGTGCGAAAACTACTGACTACTGTTGGGAAATACTGAATTAGTTGTAGTTCTAATGAATGCCAAATGCTCTTAAGGTTTTTTGGGAATTTGAGGGTGTGATCTGCAGGCTCATTTAAGGGAATTTTCATATACTGGCAAAAGACTTTTCTAATTTACTTGATTCTTTCCAAAATTATTCACGTGTATTAAAAATTTAGAAACATTTTTTTGCTTGAAATCAAATGTGACCTGGGCATACAAAATTATGATGACCTGCAAAGGTGTAATTTAGGAACTATTGAACTTATATTAGCAGTTTTCATTTAAAAATGATTTTCCTCCAGTAGATGACCCTGCTAGCATCTGGGAAATAATTTCTCAACATATACGGCTTTACGGAGTAAACTTTCATTATGTATACTGATTACAGAGAAAATTTTGGTGACTCACATCACATGTGGAAGTAGATCTGCAGATTTCTTGCGTGTCAGTGTATGGCTGACTAGCGTGTGCTTGAAGTGGAATGCGCTCTCTGGTCTAGAACTATTGCTTTCCTCCTGTCCAGTGACCCTGACTAAGCAACCTCAGTCATGGGCCCAGCACTAGACTTGACTTCTGAGCGACTTTGGTGTCGGAGTGAAATGTGCTAAATCAAGAGTTAAGGAAAGCTAAAAATTCATGAAAATAAACATACAATTCCAATACTTATAATCAGATCTACTACTGATTTCATTTCTCAGATAGTTTTTATGGAGCTGTGATGTACAGGAAAGATGCGAATTGGTTAACAATAATAGAATCATTTTCTGAGCTGGTATAAAATGTATTGTGATATGCCTTCCTCTTGGGTTCTTAAGAGAAAGTAAATTTGACCCTGCAAATGTCTGCTTCCAGAGCTCCCCCGCTGAGTGCCTCAGATGAATCTAGAAAGAGCTGTACTGTCGGGATGGCCACAGTGATTCTTACCCTACTCTCATCAGCTTGGTTCCCATTGGATCTCTCAGCCCATCAAGATGCTCTGATTTTGGCTGGAAACTTGCTTGCAGGTACTGGTACTGAGTTGAAACAGGGACTCTAGGACTTTAGCCTTTGATTTTGTTATGAGGGGTGGGAGTGGCCAGCATATGAAGGAAAAATACTACAAGGCCTTTGCTAGCAATAGCTTGTTCCTTTGGTCCAGATTTCAGACATTACCTGCATGCATCAGTGTGTACTGTTGGCAGATATTCTATGCTGAGCATTTTAAAGTAGCCTATTCCCTGTCTAGCCCCTCAGTTAGCTATGCGTAAATTCATTTGAATTTCATTTTAATGGGTGTCATGTGCCAGGTGCTGTTGCAGGCACCAGGGCTATAAGAAGGTGAACTGTATGAGCTTTGTTCTCAAGTTGGTGGTAGGTTAGTGGGGGATACATGAAAGCAGAAGTACAGCGTCGTCTGCCCAAAGTGCAGTGATCACTCTCCTTCGGGAAGATTTATGGGCTGGCAGGGAAAGGCACGTCAGACATGAAAAATTAGGTGACATTTGGGGAACTGTAAGTAATTTTGGATGTCATGTGAGGATGGGGACAAAATAGAGCATATGGTCAGCGAGGAAGGTGGGGGCCATTGATATTGATTGGGGGAGGGATTTCCAGTGTTCATTAAGGAATCTGGATTTGTTCTGTTTGCTATGGGAAGCCACTGTAGAGTTTCATGAAAGGCACTAGCAGATTAGTATTTTAGCAAGGTCAAGTCAGCTGACTTGATTATGGGCTGGAGGAGGTAGAGATACTCAGGAGGTTAATGTCTAAGGTAAGGCAGGAGATAGAGTCTGAACCAGGACAGTGACTTTGGGATTGTAGGGAAGAGACTGATTGAAAGAGAATGAAGGAGACAGAATCACCGGGCCTTGATCACCAGCTGAACTTCAGTTGTGAGGATCAAGAAGGGGCCTAGGATGACTTCACATCCTGGGAGGGTGTATGGTGGTGACGTTCATGAAATTGGAAACACTGATTTGGGGAGGAAATGTCAATTTCTTGTTGAATTTGAGGTATCAGTTGAGCATGAGATACAGACCTCCAGCAGACTCTCAACATGGATGGGTCCGAATGACTTACATTCTGCAGGCCATTTCTTTTTCCCACACTGTGGAGGTGAGGAGGTAATGTATGTGCCCATATCACAGCCAGTGCCCCCAAATCTCTGAGAAGTCCATGGACCTCAGAAGAAGAAGCCAACCCTGCAGCTACCAAACAAGAGGAGGTCTGGCCAGCCCTGGGTGAGCGGACGCTGGTGCCCATGGTGGAGCAGCTCTTCTCCCACCTGCTGAAGGTGATTAACATCTGCGCCCATGTCTTGGACGATGTGGCTCCTGGGCCAGCGATAAAGGTAACTTCTTACTCAGGGCAGCTGTTTTAACGGTCCCGATGGTTCTGTGGGCTTCCAAAAGTACCCATGTTTAATAATCTGTCCTTCCTTATTCTCTTTTGCTTTAAATGAACAAAGTTGCTCATATTGTGACATTAAATTTAGCTTCAAAATGTCATCTATTTTGTAGCCCTTTTGGTGTTATCAATTACTTGTTGCTCTACTTGGAAAGCACTTTGCTTTATTTTTAGGCTTTCAGCATTTGCCAGGAAAGCTCCGAATTGAAATTTCTGGCTTAAGTACATCATTTGCTCTCTTCTGAAATGTTTTACTATTTTGTGAAGCACAGTTCAATAAAACCAGCTTCAAAACAAATGTTAAACTATTTGTACAATGAATTTAAGATGGTTCAGTTCACTTATAATTGTGTCTGCTTATTTCCTCTCTTCCTGTCTTCCATCTTTTAAAAAAAACTCCCCTCTAATTTCATGTTCCCCTTTAGCTGCCATTCAGTCTCCTCATCATTACAAACTTTCCTGAAGAGTCAGCCTCCCAGCCTTAGCCCCTAGATCTTCCCCTGCTCTGAGAGCAACCTTCTTCCAAGGCTTCTTTGGCCCTGCATGGCCTGGACTCTGTCCACTACTTCTGCCATCTGTTCTGTAACCTCTGCTGGTCTGATTTTCACCACACTCCATAGCAGTGCTCCCTGCCAGGGCCGTGTCTTTCATTCTTGTGGGCACTTCTCTGGTCTTCTTGCCCCCTCTGCGCACCCTCCCTTAGCCCTCCCATCTGGAACACTCTCTCCAGCTGGCTTCTGTGTGGCCTCTGTGTTTCCTCCGACCCCCTTGCTGCTCCCCAGTCACTCTCCTGGTTTAATCTTTCTTGCCCCTCCTTCCCCCAGAAGGGTTTCTAGGCCCTGGGTCGTATTCTCTCTGTACACTCTCTGGGCCAGTGCTGTCCAGTAGAGCTTTCTGCAGCAATGGAAATATTCCGTATCTGCACCAGCAAGGACAGTAGCCACATGTGGCTGTTGAGCCCTTGAAGCAGGGCTGGTGTGACTGAGCAGCGGAACTTCTAATTTATTTAATTTTCATTAAATTTAAATGTAAATAGCCACCTGTGGCTAGTGGCTCCAGTATTGGGCAGGGCAGCTCAAGCGAGTCAGGGCTGCTCTAATGTCTTCAGTCCCTAAACATCACGGACCTCAGGCCTGTCTTTGGAGCTGCAACCTGGTGTGAGCAGCTGCCACATGATGCTTCTCTTTGGCTGATTCATACATATGTCAATCACTGTCGTCTAAAACTGAACTTCCCGTCATCCTCCCTTCTGTGCCATGTCCTCCACTTCATATTTTATCAAGCTAGAGATGGGAATCATCCCAGCTCTTCATTTTTGCTCACCAAGTCCTTTGTTTTCCCTACTAAGTACCTTTCAAAAATATATATACATATACATGTGCACGTACACATATGCCAACATGAACATATACACCTACATGTACACATTCATATACGTACACACATGCACATTCACATATGTACACGTACTTTCACATACACACATTCTGCCACTATTCTGCTCCAGACTGATGTATTTCATTTAGGCTACTGCACTAGTAGTCTTTTTTCTCTTTTCTTTTTGGAAGCAGCATTATTGAGATAATTCACATACCATACAATTCACCCATATTTTTAATGTGTCCACAGAGTTGTGCAGCCATCACCAAAGTCAATTTTAGAACTCAGAAAGGAACCCTGTACCCTTTTGACATCACACCCAAAACCTCCCATGCCTTCAGCTCCAGGCAACCACTAACCTGCGTTCTGTCTCTTTGGACACTTCCTGCTGATGGACAGACAATTGGTGGGCTTTGTGACTGGCTCCTTCTGTCGAGCAGGTGTTTCAGGTGCAACAGCCTCTCACCTCTGCTCCCTGCAGTCCTTCCCTGCTGCCTTCTAGTCCATTCTCCTGTCTGCAGCCCTTTACCCCATTGTACCCAATTTACACACAAGGAGTAGAGGTACAAGGCGACTGTCTTAGTTTGTGCTGCATGCAGTAACAAAATACCAAAGCCTGGGTGACTTATAAACAGCAGACATTTACTTTTCACAGTTCTGGAGGCTGGAAGTCCAAGGTCAAGGTGCTGGCATATTGGTCTCTGGTGAGGGCCCACTTTCTTATAGAAGGCTGTGTCCTTGCTGTGTCTCATGTGACAACGGGTGAGGGGGCTCTCTGCAGCCTCTTTTATGGGGGCACTAATCCCATCATGACGCTCCACCCTCATGACCTAGTCACCTCCCAACAGCCCCACTTTCTAATACTGTCACCTTGGTGATTAGGTTTCAACGTATGAATTTTGGGGCCACAGACTTTGAGACCATAGCAGGCACTTTTGTAAGATTAGGGGGAAATCTACATCTCTGTCATCTCATCTTTACTCTGCCCCATGCCATGCTGCCTACTAGAGCTGGGATCCTGAATATTCTGTACTCTCCTGTGGTGTGTATTGGAAGGAGTGTGGGCTTCATGGATACATCTGGGTTTGTTGACTTGTAACTCTGCTGTGTATAGCTGTGACCTTGAATAAGTCACTTCATCCCCGAGCTTCTTTCCTCATTTGAAAAAAGGAGTTAGGGTTAGGGTTACCCTAACTTTCCTATGTACCCTTTTTCATGTCATGGCTCACTGGGAATGCCTTGGTTGCTTGCTACCAGAGAGGATAGGCCTGGGGATTCCAGCAGCCTTAGGCCTTACCCAGTTCCCTGAGAGCCCCTTCCATCTCCAACCCACTTACCATGCTCCACGTATGGTTGTTGTGTGGGTGATAGGTAATATATGTACAGTGTCTGAGCTCTATAAGTAGGGGTTCAACAAACAAAATTAATTGCAATAAGTGGTAAAACCATATACTATAGTTTTCAGTTTCTGTATTGGTTATATTTCCATCACATGTTTTTGTTTTCTGTTTTAGGCAGCCTTGCCTTCTCTAACAAATCCCCCTTCTCTAAGTCCCATCCGACGAAAGGGAAAGGAGAAAGAACCAGGAGAACAAGCATCAGTACCGTTGAGTCCCAAGAAAGGCAGCGAGGCCAGTGCAGGTAGGAAGCAGCGCCGGGAGGGCTCCACCTGGCGTGTAGGAATGTAGGATTTAAGTGGTAACTTAGTATTTTATGGAAATAAAATACATGGTAGTAAAGTCAGAGAAAGTTTCCCTGAGTGTGGTTTGAGATATTAAAAACTAATTTCTAAGTGTGTACAGACCACCTTTCAGTCTTACGCATCTGTAAGCAGTCACTGCAGCCAAGAACCACGCTCTTCTCACGTCCTCCCTTCTGCTCTCCTCACAGCAACGGAGAGACAGTGAGGACTCCTGGTGTTCAGCAGGGGAGGTGGTACAGTGGCCAGGAGTAGATGTAGTGGGGTGAAGGAGCTGATGCTGGTAGGTGAAGAATTCCGAAGTAGGACATGGAGTGTTTACATTTGTGACAGCTAAGTGAGAGATGAAGTGGGGGTAAAGTCTGAGTTGGAGGAGCCTAAAAAATTCACAAAGTTTGGAAGGACTTCTTTACCCAGGAAAAGGTCAGGACAGAAGGGGCCAGAATTTAGGTGTGACTGCAGTTTCCTGAGTCCTGGTCCATGCTGCTCTTGGTGGGCAAAGTAGGAACTGACCGCTGCTTCTCCTGTCCCACCTGTGCCCACCCTTCCCCCACACCCATTCTAGGTTGTCTCTTGGTTCCTGGGGGCCCACCGTGGTCCTCCTGTTCACCTTGCTTGTACAGCATTTATATTGAGGCTAGCTATTTATTTATTTATTTTTAATCGACAAGTAAAAATTTTATATGCTTATGATATGCAACATGATGTTTTGAGCTATGTATACATTGTGGAATGGCTAATTAACATATGTATTATCTCAATTATTTATTTTTCTGTGTGAGACCAGTTAAAATTGTCTCAGCGATTTTCAAGTATACCATACACTGCTGTCAACTGTAGTCACCATGTTGCACAGTAGATCTCCATCTCTTATCTATAAGTGAGATTTTGTATCCTTTTTTAAAAGATGCCCTTTTCTAAGGATTGACTGTAGCATAGCAGGGAGATTCACCTGTTCAAAAGCTTTAGACTTCACAAATGCAAAATTATCAGTATGTGACTAATCATCTTTCTGATGAATTAAATAAACTAAGGACTCCACATCAAAAGTCCTTAAAACTGGAGTAGGATGTGTGTGTGTGTGTGTGTGTGTGTGCGTGCGTGCGTGTGTGTGTGTGTGTGTATTTTTTTTAATATTTAGTACCAGTTTAATGATAATGTTCATGCCCTTTACAATTTCCAAAACATGCTCACATCATCTCTGTTTGATTGCTTCATGGGCCCGTGAAGCACGTTGTTGGGGTCAGCACCTGAGCCCCTGAGGCCCCTGGGGCTCCAAGAGATTCCAGGATGGGTTGCTGGCCATTGAATTAGCTCTTCTCTGACTCTCGAATTGATGCCTTCCAGAGCAAATGAACAGGCGGAGCAATGGCGTCATGCTGTCCTTTGTATCATTTTATGTTACTTTTTTAGTATTCAGCTTCTACTGAAGTTTATTATGTGATTTCTCATTCCTTCTAATTAATCAAAAAGTGAGAGGAGAGATTTGAATTTTTTTTCTACTAGAATACTTTTAAACATCATTATTACCAGTAATCTCTTTTAAACGTGGCAAGTTTTTACTTTTGTCTAAAAGTTTATTTTTTGTGTGTGCATTTCCAAAGCCTCTAGACAGTCTGATACCTCAGGGCCTGTTACAACAAGTAAATCCTCATCTCTGGGGAGTTTCTATCATCTTCCTTCATACCTCAAATTGCATGATGTCCTGAAAGCTACTCACGCTAACTACAAGGTATGGGCCTCCACTTCTTTCATTACAAATACATATTTCTGACGGTTTGTTGATGTCTTTCTTATGATTTGTAGGATGTATATTCATATGTATACATACATATAAATAAGTTAGCACTTTGGCATATGAATTATAATTAGTTTTTTCAAGTTTGTCCTTTAGCTTTGTTTATGGTAGTTTCTATCATACAAATATTTTGGATTTTCCTGTTAGAAAAATTCTCTCTTTTATGGCTTATGGGTGTTGTGTCTAGACTTCCCAAGACCACCCCATGTTTAGAGATGCTCTAGAAGGACTCGTGGGACTCAGCGTGTAGTTGTACCCACAGCTCAGGCTTAGCTCAGTGATGTAGTGAGGACGTAGGAGCATGTGAAATTTAAAGGATTTTTAAGAGAACTTTAAAAATTATTTCACACAGTTCATACACATTTCTTCATAAATGTGTCCTGAGGTATTCATCTTTTTTTGTTAATAACAGATATATCAGTTTTTGAAAACCCTTTATAAACCTTATGTGATGTCTTTTCTGAAGGATATTCATAATTTCATAAGATAAAAATATTCAACATTTTACAAAAGATTCAGAGCCTCTGTTCAGCTGCCTGTTCTTCACATCAAGCCCCGAATTAGAGGAATGTACATTTAGAATGCCATCCAGAGGGTGTTTTTTCCCTCGTTTTCAACTCATGTCATCTTTAATTCTGGGACCCTTTTCTGTGCCCCCAGTATGTTGCTCGGTGTTTATCATTTTCCTTCCTGAGCACCCTGGACTCTGAGGTGTTCCACTTTAATTTTGGCCTCCCTGGTGTGTTGGATTCCTGCTTCCTCTGCTCCTTCGTCCTGCCTCGTTCACTCCCACTGCGCAGACTTGTGAGTCCGTGTGTGTCCGGAGCAGCGGGCACGTCTGTCAGGTCTCTGTCCTAACCTCTCCTGTCCTCTGTTCCCTGTGCGGAGCTGCTTGGCATCACTGCTGCCTGTTTTTTTTTTTTTTTGGCGCAGCCCTTCGTGCTCCTCTATGGTCCCTTCTCTCTTCTGTGCTTTCTTGGTTTTCAAGACCGCAGAACTTCTTGAGCTCTTCTCAACTCCCTGAGGCTATCCCTTTCATCTTAATTCCCACCTCATGACCTGTTCTTATTTTATTTATTTTTCTTGGCGGCTGGCCTGTATGGGGATCCGAACTCTTGACCTTGGTGTTGTAACGCTGAGTTCTAACCAACTGAGGTAACCAGCCAGCCCTCCCAGGGTGTACTGCTCTTTCCAGAATTCCATGCCTCCTCTCCCCCATGCCCTTCCCTGTAGTCTGGGAGAGGAAGGATCGCTGTGCCTATTGGGGGGAACCACTTTACCGCTTTCTCCCTGGGCTCTAGATCCCCACATGACATCATCACACCACCCCATCCTTTGGGCCCTCAGTGGTCTCACTCCTGGGCTTTTCCTTCCTTTCCCTGGCCTGTTGGCAGCACGTGCAGGTTGGCTCCAGCTCAGTCTTGGTGTTTAGATCCACTCACATTTCCATTTTCTGTGTGTGTCTTTTGCCTGCTTCCTCTGCCTTTGCCCTGAGAATTTCTCTTTCATCATGGGTGGTTAGATTTTGTTTACTGAGCAAATTCTCTTCTATCTATTGTCACGTTTTCACAAGTATTTGTTTTCATAGTCCATCCCCCCTCACCCTTGTTTTTATGCATTATGTCTTTGATCCTGACCCATACTCTGAGGAATGGGTAAAACAGGGGAATTGCTGTATAATTTAATGAAGCTGAATCCTTTAGAAGCTTAATTTAATACTTCTTAAAACTGATAAAATATTTTGTTGTAGCCAGACTGAATGACTGTATCTGAACTTGATAATGATTTCTCCCAGGGATCCTAATGTATATGGAATGGGGCTTAGTATCTTACAATTTTTGATATACCGCATGTCAGGTTCTGGTTCTGATGAACATTTAACAGTTTTTTTCTCATTATGATGAAAGGAATTACTTTTAGTAGTGTCAGTATACTTGGAAGGAGCCTTTGAAAGTTAAGTTTTTTTAATAGCTATCTGGAAGAGTAATTTCCTTTCTATGGTATTTTCCCAGTGCTAAAAACAGACAGAAATATCCCGAATGGTGAGTGCGTAGGGCCACATGGCAGAAGCGTTCCACCACAGCAGACGACGTTTGTGTCTTTGTTGTAGATAGCCAGAATGTGGCGGTGTCAGTAACTCTGTTCTCCCCTTCCACCTTCCCAAGGTCACCTTGGATCTTCAGAACAGCACTGAAAAGTTTGGTGGGTTTCTGCGCTCTGCCTTGGATGTTCTCTCTCAGATTCTAGAACTGGCAACACTGCAGGACATCGGGAAGGTTTGTGTCTCATTTCCTCTCATTGAGCTGTTACTGGCACACTTGCTGTGTGTTGAATGCACCTGGGAACCTGGGGATGCAGCCTAGTTCTCCAGGTATGTCCAGAAAGCAGCAGCAGCTTGGGAGGACCCTCCCTGACCCCATATGATTATGTCACAGCACCTAGGTCTGATTTGTGTCTTAGCCGTGAAGTTTGGAGGGGCTGGAGCGGTCCTATTTGTATCCTGTTTTCCGTTTGTTACCATATATTAGCTTAGACTCAGTTTATTCTAGAAAGCTGGTGGGTTCATAAGTGTCCTTTGTTGTCTTATTTGGTCTTTTCTAGTGGAAGGGGGCGAAAACAGACTCAGCAAGGGTGTGTGATTTGCTCTTTCTGTACCTTAAGGAGTAGCAGAACTGGGATTGAAACTCATGTCCTTTGGTTCAGAGTCCAGTAATCTCCCCATTCCCCCCAGTTTTATAATGAAAATGCTCAAACACATAGGAAAGTTAAAAGAATTTTGTGGTAAACACCCATATCATAGGCCCACAATCCAGACTGCACAGTTGTTAACAGTTTGCTAGATTTGCTTTATTGGGTATATACCTGCCTATCCATCTGCCCGTGCGTCTTATTTTCTAATGCATTTCAGAGTGAGTGAGTGATAGCCCCCCTTTCAAACGTGTGTGTCTTCAAGTGAGAGACATTCTATCTAAGGAAGTTCGTTTGTTTTTCTCTCTCTAGACCTTTTTCTCGACACGCACATTAGTTTACCTAGTTTTAATAGTAATACACATCATTTTGTGTTTCTTGTTGTTCCTTATGTTTTTCTCCATCTCTCAGTTTGGTGCAATCATTTTTCACGGCTGTGCAGTGTTCTCCTGCGTTGATACTCAGCTATTGTCCCTCAGAGGGACAGGATTTCTTCAGATTGCTGTGAGCTAAACTGGTTATAGGATATAAAGGCAAAGAGAGATTGTTAGAATAAAAATATAGAGTTTTCATTGTTTATTTAAATGCCAACACTGGGAATGAAAAAGTAATTATAATTTCACGTCCTTGACAAATAATTGCTTTATTTTTCTTCTCTTCTAGACCTTGTATACTCTATATTGACTTTTATACATAACTGATTATGTGTTGGGGGTTTTTTTTGCATTATATCGTGCACATTTTTCCCTGTAATTTCTTATTGCTCTATATTATGTTTTCTCTGACTCTGTTAAGACTTTATTCTGATTTTGAATTATGTGATTATGATGTGTCCTGATGTAATTTTCCTTACATCTTGTGTTTCTTGTGTTTGGGTTTGTTGAGCTTCTTGGATCTATGGCTTTATAATTTTCTTAAAGTTTGGAAAATTTGGGGCCATTATGTTTTCAGATTTTCTTCTGTGCCACCTGCCTCCCCTTTTGCCTCTCTTAAAGATACCTACATATTTGTTTGCTTAAGATTGTCCCATAGCTTACTGATGCTGCTTTCAGTTTTTTCCTTGTTTGCTCTCTGGTTTTCGTTTTGTATAGTTTCTATTGCTGTGTCTTCAAGTTTTGCAGTCTTTTCTCTGCTATTTCTAATCTGCTGTTAATCTCATTCAGTGTATTTTTCATCAGTGACATTGTAGTTTTATCTCTAGAAGTTTGATTTGATCTTTTTTCTCTCTCATGTCTCTACTTAACTTTTTGAGTATAGTTGTGATAACCATTTTAATGTCCTTCTCTGCCAATTCTAAAATCTTGTTAGTTCTAGGATGTTTTTTGATGGATTGATTATAGTCCTCATGTGGATTGTGTTTTCCTCTCTCTTCGCATGCCTACTAACTTTGATTGGTTACCCAGTATTGTGAATTTTACTTTGTTGGGTGCTAGGTATTTGTGTATTCCCATAAATCTTCTTGAGCTTTGTTCTGGGATTCTCTTAAGTTAAATGGAAACAGTTTATTCTTTCAGGTCTTGCTTTTATGATTTGTAAATGGGTTGGAGCAGTGCTTAGTCTAGGGCTAGTTATTCCCCTCTCTAAGGCAGGACCTTCCTAAGTACTCCACCCAGTGCCTCAGAAGGTATGGGTTTTCCAGTCTGGGTGGTGAGAACAATGGCTGCTCCCAGCCCTGTGTCGGCACTGAGCACTGTTTCCTCTAATCCTCTCTGGTGATTCTTTCCCCATCCTTGAGTGGTTTCGTCACACATATGCTGTGATCATTTCTCTGTCGATTACTGAGGGGGACCCTCCACAGATCTCCATGGTTCCTTCTGGGTTGCTCTCTCTTCTCTGGTACTCTGTCCTATGAACTATAGCTGTCTTGGTCTCCTTGGACGCCCAGCTCTTCCTCAACTCAGGGGTCCCCTGGGCTCTGCCGCGGTCCCTCGTTCTTGTGCCGTAGCCTGGAAACTCTCAGAATAGTGAGCTGGGCATTCGTGGGCTCACCCTGTTTGTTCCTTGTCTCTTGGGGATTACTGTCCTTCCCTGCCTGATGTCCAGTGTCTTGAGAGCTGTGGTTTTGTATATTTTGTTTGTGTTTTATGTTTTGTTTTGTTTGTTTCAGGCAGGAAGGTATCTGGTCTCCCTGCCCCATTTTGGCCAGAAGTGGAAGTCCTCTGATATTATATGGGACATAATTGTTTATAACAAGGCCATGTTACTCTAGGAGCTCTCAGAAGGCCTGAAACTGCATGCTTTCTCACCTCTTTTCAGTGTCTAGTGCAGTTTCTGGTGCACACCACACATTCTAAACATGTTTGCTAGGAGAAGTGGTCCTTTGCTAGACAAGTTGTGATTCAAAAGGCTCTAGTAATTCTTTCCATTAGCATTTATTAGACATCTGCTATGCGCTAGTAAAAACAGAGAGTGAAATGTAACAAATTCAATCCAGAAAAGTACAGCCTTGAACATTTAGAATCTAATTTGAGTAAATCAGAATTTTTCTCAAACTTTTACTGTCCCTTGAGTATTTGAAGCCAACAAAAGTCTATTGCTTTTCAGTGCAGGAAATTTTATCTAACAAATGAAAAAAGAGGCATTTTCCATGTAATTGGTGTTGGTTTTTAGCAGTTAATAGAAATAGAGGCTCATAGTTAGGCAGTGGGGCAGCATGCTGTTGGTTCTGAGGACCTGGATTGGCATTGTTCTTAGAGTTAGCATCTTCTTCCTTTTTGATTCTTCAAAAGCACATTGGATGCCTTAAACCTCATTTTTGATGATGGTAAAAAATAGCTTTGTGAGAATAGTAACATTAAGATGGTCGTTTTGGTCCTTTCTGCAGATCGCTGTAAGGTACCTTTAGGACCAGTTTGTAGTAAGTCATGCTTTAATGCTATGAAGTGTGTGTTCACTTGAACATATTCCAGGGCTCCACAAGTGCAGGGCTTTGGACTCCTTTGCACTCTTTTGAATTTCTGCCCTGAAAACTGGACTGCATAGTAGACAGTAGATACTTGGTAACTATTTATTAATTGAATGAGTGAATAGTTATATAAATACATGAAAGAATGGTTTTAATATATCTTAGATTTCAAAACTTTTTACTGACTCTGTTCAAGATGATAAATTGAAAACCTTTCTCTGATTTTCCTCTGATGTTTACACAATTTAAATGGAAGCTGTCTCGTGTCTTTGATTTCTGTCTAGGATTCACAGCAATAATGGGTCATTTGAGAGTCACTTGACATCTTTTTGTTCTTCTGCAGTGTGTTGAAGAGATCCTAGGATACCTGAAATCTTGCTTTAGTCGAGAGCCAATGATGGCAACGGTTTGTGTACAACAGGTAAGAAAAACATTGTTTCCTGTTTTTCTCATGGCAACAGGGTGCTCCTTCTTCAGGAGCTGGTGCTGGTGGTGTGATCAGCCGGAAGGGTTGGGTGGTCCAGCTGTCACTCTTTTGCTCACTCCATGACTGGGCCAAGAGGGGAGCCCCAGGAGGGCAAAGTTTGTCACTGTGGCAGGTGGAAGACACAGAAGCTTTGCTGGACCCTCACTGCTTAACCATTGTCTTCATGCCCTGGTTTTTGTTAAGAACACTAGTCTCATTTAGGATCACAGGGAATCCTGAAACTCTCATTTAAGGTATAAGTAGCATTTCATAGCAGTAGTCTCACAACATATTAATAGCAATTCATAACAGAAATTTCACCTTCTGAATTTTTCCTAACATATCCAGTTATTTATAGATGGATTTGGTATTTATGTGGGAGATTCTTAAAGTGTTGCTTATGCCACATTAAGTCAAATATTGATGGTTTCAATTTTTTCACTTTAGTTGTTGAAGACTCTCTTTGGAACAAACTTGGCCTCCCAGTTTGATGGCTTATCTTCCAACCCCAGCAAGTCTCAAGGACGAGCACAACGCCTTGGCTCGTCCAGCGTGAGGCCAGGCTTGTATCACTACTGCTTCATGGCTCCGTACACCCACTTCACCCAGGCCTTAGCAGATGCCAGCCTGCGGAACATGGTGCAGGCGGAGCAGGAGCACGACACCTCGGGGTAACCGTCGTGAAACACAAAAGAGCAAGCAGGAAACACTTTGCAAAAGAATGAAAAAATAAAAATAAGTTAGCCATTGTCTTCCAATAGCTTATATTCAGAGAACTCTAGGAGATATAGTTGATACAAAGATTATGAAGGCATAGCCCCTGCCTTCAAGGGAGTGTGTGGTCCAGCAAGTGAGGAGAGTTAGGGGCTGTACCATCGCCTAGGGCTGGGGTGGAGGAAGAGCGAGCCTGAGTGGCTTTCCCACAAAGCAGCCAGCACCACTTTCCAAACTGTGTCAGTAATGTGTGGGTGGCACCTTTCAGGTGTGTAACTTAGGTGAAAGAACAGCTTCAGCGTGGCACAGCAATGTAGTGTTCAGAGGTGTTCAAAGGGGGAAGAAGAATCTTGGATACATCACTTTGCGTTTTGTAAACTTATGGCTAAAAGTCTCTTTTCACTTAAATTTATGTTTGTGTTTTTGATGCCTGGTGTTTATTAAATTACTATAATTATTAACAGATACTTAAGTTGCTACTCTGTATACTAACAATAATGGAATTCCTTGTTTTTCCATTTACAAATGTAGTGAGCAGATAGCTACAATTAAAATACTAGAGTCAGGAATCAAGGAAAATACCTATGTTCCAGGCTTTCTGTTGGTGATATATTTACTACATCTCCAAGTTTCAGGTTTAAGTCTATTCAAATACTTTTTGTAATGATGTGGGTTATAAATAAATAAGCAGCAGTGTGTGTGCACATTCATGTGTGTTATTGTCTTTTGATTTTGTATATTTCTTAAAAAGAAAAAGATATAATTGATGTAAATATTTTAAGGTTGTTTTTTCCCCCTAGAAAGTCAAGTGGTATCTTCTAAATTACTGACTCTTACAAATGATTGTCATTTTTCTCTCAAGTCTTTCTAAAGACTGGGCTGAGTAATCAGTTTCCTGTAGCTGAGAAAGGCTCAGTCTTTTTTCTACAGATGACAAGACTTGATGGCTTTTGGGCAATTGCCAGCTCTGAATTGAGTCTCATTATCTCAAGAGCATGACACGGCTACTTTGAGTGACCTCTCAGTTCTTTCTCACTCTGACATGCTTTGAATTTGTGAACTGAAATTAGTTTGACCTGGAGTATAGCTGAGTACGGGGGGGATTATTTAAGGATGTTCTTTGCTTCCCTTTTTTCCCCCATTCTGCAGATGGTTTGATGTACTTCAGAAAGTGTCTACCCAATTGAAGACAAACCTCACCAGCGTCACAAAGAACCGTGCAGATAAGGTAAGTGGTGCCACGGCTTGAGATAGCCTGTGAACTCAGGTGGCTTTAATGCGAGAAATGAAAATTGATCTTGAGACTTTCTGTATTGGTTGCCTGAATCTTTTAGTTGAAGATTTGCTTATGGATTCTTTCTCTTCTTTTTTATAGAATGCTATTCATAATCACATTCGTTTATTTGAACCTCTTGTTATAAAGGCTTTAAAACAGTACACGACGACAACATCTGTGCAGTTACAAAAGCAGGTTCTAGATTTGCTGGCACAGCTGGTTCAGTTACGGGTTAATTACTGTCTTCTGGATTCAGATCAGGTTTGTCACTTTTATCTTTTATTCACCATACATAGGTAATAAGAGTTACTCTAAGAAGACACTGAAATCTAGTAAGAATTACCAATTAATTAATTACCAATCTAATAAGAATTACCCTAAAAAGACACTGAAATCTACCTCAGAGAAATGCAAAGTTTGTTTTTCCCCCGTTGGTTGCTGTCTCTTACCTGTTTCATGCAAGCAGCTGGTGCAGAAGGCCTGGCACCCCTCTCCTTCCCCCACGTCCGTGCTATGCTCTGTTAGGGCTCTGTTAGGATTAGCCTTTATAGACTTGCCAAAGGTTCTTCCTGACCACTCACCTACCCCCCCAACTCCAAAATAAGTTTGAATTAAAATTATAAAATATAATTAAGATTTATTGTTTCGGGGGACATTTTTACAAAATCCAGGGACTTACTGTAAACATAGTATCAATTATGGTCTGTAGTTACAAGGAATCTAAAAAGCTAGCTTGCTTCTTTACAAAGGAATGCCATGTAAAGGAGAGTGCCTGAGAGCTGCGTCCAGTTTCTGTCAGGGCCTTGTGACCTGCACAGTATTCGCTCTGCTCCCCTCGGGCTTCCCTCACACAGTTGCTCTGGGCTCGAGGTTCTGTCTAGTCTTGTCTCTCTGTGTGACTGCAAGTTCTCTTCAAGGAAGATTTGTGCGAGTTAGATTCACTACAGATAAAATTGCCTTTAGGTCTTCCAAATTTGACTATTGTTGTTAGGCAGTGATCTTGGGCTACTTTTGTGTGAGTTAGGAAATTTTTTGAGATAGAAATATTACAATTCTCCATTTCCTCCTCGACGTAAATTTATCTGTAGGTCCCATGAGCATTGTAATTCACCTTAAAGGGTCATTTTCCCTAGGAGAAATGAGGAAACACGTCCAGGATGCCAATTTCCCCACAGGCAGTTTGGGGTGGGTCAGTTTCTAATGGAAGAGTGGTGGGGCGGGGCCTGACATTTTTACTCTCCTTTAGTTCATGAAAGCCATCAGATCAGTTTAAACAGGCCATTTCCCTCTTTGGGGAATCTGTTCACTGGGGAACTTCATTTCCTTTCCTCTGACACAAGGAGGCTGTGTGGGGAGAAGCTCTGGTCTGCAGCAGGGCTTAGAGGAGGCGTGCTGGGTGCTGGCTAGGAGCCCAGGATACTCAGAGGGAAGCCAGAAGGGCACATTGTAGGTAGAAGCCAGTTTTCTCACGTGGTGGCTATAGACGGTGGTCTCTTTTAGGACTGTCTCTAGTAGATTAAGGAAACAAATATCTCCCTACTCTAACATAGATTTGTCAGGGACACTTGACTGTTTTATCAAATCTCTTCTTTAGTCACTCTATGTAGAACCTTTTCTCAAAACTGGAATAGTTTTTGTTGCTTTCTCCTGTCTTTCTAAAATATCCACTTGATACTTAAAAGTTGAGCAAGGACAGCCTCAGGAGTCTCGGTGCCATGCCTGTCTCTGCGTGCATGTTGGCCTCCTTGGGCATGTCTTTTCTCTGGGTCCCAGCTCCCTCTGCCTCCCACCAGCCACGCTGGCTCCTGGCTGCCCCTTGCTGGGTGGTGGCATGTCTTTCTTGCTTGGGTGCTCTGACCTCACATGTGTTCTGATTGGCTTTTGTCAATTGGTCTCTTTTCCTCCAGTTCTTAGCATTCAGTACAGCAACAGTTTTACAAAAAAGAATAGAAACTAGAATAGATAAACCAGCCAACTCAATGCAGATGATAATTTATTGAGCACCTGCTGTATGGTATGTCTGCCTGGTGCCCAGGGACTGCGAGAAAACACTTGGGGATGTGAGTTCCTTGCTTCTCTGTGGGAGCTTCCCCTCAGGTTGCCTGCATCAGGAGAGACACAAGTGGCTGTCAGTGGTCCTCACCTATTCATTCCCTCTGCTGCTGGGAGCCCCTCACCTGTCGGCACCCACCTTGCTGGACTTCTTTGAACGTGGGATGGTGGGAGGGAGAAGATGGACTGGTGTGGGCATCATATGACCAAACCACTTTCGGGAAGTCTTTGCTCCATTTGCCATTAACTGAACTGAGAAGTCCCCCAGATTTTGGGGTAATGCCTGATGTCTCCTAGAATTTATTATTTTCTTTTCCAATGAAGTTTCACCTCAGTGTTTAGTAAACTTGTTTCCAAAGGTTTTTTTAGAAGTGTTCTTTAATTATCTTGTCTTGACTTCAGAATAGATTTGAGTTCTTTTATAAAAATTTATCTGCCATCAGGAAAGTTGTTAAAAATTTACACAGATAAGCAGGAAGAAAAGAAACCTGGTTTCCACATTTTAGTCCTATAATTGATGTGAAAATTTTATTTTCTTGCCTCTAGGTGTTTATTGGGTTTGTGTTGAAACAGTTTGAATACATCGAGGTGGGCCAGTTCAGGTAATAGCATGTTGTTATTTTAGATTTCCTGTCCTTGTTATGTACTTATATATAATTTTAGGTTATTAAAATAAACATTTACTTTAATTTACTTGTAGACATTTTTGCTGTTTTTTTTTTTTAAGTTGAAATCTGATTAACATGCTGTGCATTTTGGTTCTCTTAAAAATTAATAAGTATTTCAAGACTTGTTTAGAAGTAGTTCTGCATCTAGTAATTACATATGTTGTCAGTTTGCATTTCACATTTCAAGGCATTTAGTCATGATAGATTGCTAAATGAAATCTTACCTGATGGAATGCTAATCTTTTTAATCTTAGAGAAATCAGGGGTTTTTTTAGATAATATTGTCTTTAGTAAAGGTAATTATTATGCACTTTGTATTTACTACAGCTTTTCCTTGCTAGATGGTAAGCTTTTAACACTTCTTACTGTGCTTATTACAGGTTTATAAGAATATATAGTTATGCAGAATTAAAATTCTTTAGTTTCTGAAATAACTTAATAAATAGTAAGGGAACAGCACAGAAGGAGAGTGTTCTGAGACCCCTCCGGTCCAGAGACTTGGTGTCTTATTCTACTCATGCGGCACCTTTACTGAGTGATTTCGGGCAAAGTTCTTTTTCCCCTTTGAGTCTCAATTTCTTCAGAAGTGAAGAGGCAGAGGGAGAGCTAAGGAGATTGTACCTGCTGGGTGTGCGATAACTGCTGGGTGCCTTCTGCGTGCTCGCACTCTGCCCTCGCACCTGGCCAACCCTCCCCGAGGGTGGAGATGGGGAGGCGCAGTGATGTGGAGGGCAGTGCATTAGGTGGCCCAGGCTCCTCTAGCTTAGTGCACTCGCTCCCTCTCAAGGCTGAATCATGGGTTCTTCTATGGTATTCATATTGATTATGTATCTTAATTTCAAAAAGAAATTTCTAAGTAAATGTTTTTGTTTCCAGGGAATCAGAGGCAATTATTCCAAACATCTTTTTCTTCCTGGTATTACTGTCTTATGAACGCTATCATTCAAAACAGATCATTGGAATCCCTAAAATCATTCAGCTGTGTGATGGCATCATGGCCAGTGGGAGGAAGGCTGTGACACATGGTAACGGGACACCCCTTTCACTGTGGTCTTCAGTATCTTGATGTGCTTGACAGTGTTAGTCTCCTTACACCCACTTTCAACTGTGTAAACGATGGCTCTGTGCTTTGCAGGCTTTGTGTGTGTGTCTGTGTGTGCATGTGTGTACTGGTTAAAGGTGTTTAAGAAAAGTAGAGGGCATGTTCTTTGCTCTCAGGAGTTTATAATCAACTAAGGGAAAAAATTCAAGGAACAGTAGGATGGCATAAGATACAGATAGATTCTGAATATAAACGATCCTGTTTATCCATATGAAATACAAATTTTAAAAAATCCAACTTGCCGTAAATCAACTTTTGATTTTTTTATCCAATGGTGTTGGAGGATATAATTTGATCTTGATTCAGGGCTTTCTGTTTTGTCTGATTCTTTTACCAGAACTAAAATAAGAATCATGGTGTGCAAGCAGCCTCTTCAGCCTGTGGAATGAGGTGGTGTGGTTTTAAGAATGAATTGTAAATTTTTCTTTGAACTCTTAAACTGATCTTCTAGCATTTGCCTCTTGGCCCCTCTCCTGCTCCTTTGCCAGGAATCTGTAGGCTGTTGAACTTTGATAGAGGTACATCCTAAGACCCTTGCAAACTCCACATGTGGGAACGGCACTGCCACACAGAGTGTTCTCCTCTCAACACGTCTGCAGGAGAGCCTCAGCTGTGCTGTGCTGAGAGTGAGGGCTTGGCTGCCTTCTCACTCTTTAGGCTAGCTAACCACCTCAGTCTTTGCCATGGCCTCATGTTCATGCCTCAGATAAAATGCAGTTTATCAAATGCATAGACATTTGGGTTACTGGGTTTAGTTAAAAATGGAAACGTCAAATACAGGAAACTAAAGTTTTCTGGACTTGATTGGTCTTTGCACAGAGAATCTGGGCAGCCAAACCCTGTACTTTCTAATGGGAAGCTTGGTCATCTGTAGGAAGGTCAGGAAGTGTGCCCCTATGTGCATGTCACTGAGGGTCAGAGAGAGAGAGAGAGAGAGAGAGAGAGAGTGTGTGTGTGTGTGTGTGTGTGTGTGTGTGTGTGTGTGAGTGAATGTCACTGAGTGTTACAGTGTGCCGCGTGCCAATGAAAGGTATTTCTTTTATAGTTTTTTCTATGTGGTTGTGTTAGACCAATTAATTTTGATTCCGGTTTTGGACCAAATAAGACCTGTGAAAACCCGTTTATCTAAAGAGAGAGTTAGGTTACTTAAAACAGCCTGTAATCTAATACATTCCTTAATGTATTCTATAGGAAAAGTATTTATTGTCTTTTTAGGTAACTCAAGTAGATTATGCATGAGAGTAGGAATGTTGTGATTTTGATTATTTGGAAAGTTTTATTATTTTCAAATTGAGTTTTGAATTTGAGCCCTTTTGTCAGAAGTGGTGTTACATTACAGAAACTCTAGTTTTCATTTTTTAGAAGCATTCACAAAACTACCAGTGTTCAGAGCAGAGCCTTGCCCTTCCACAATGGTATAATGAGAATTTTACAACACTGGTTCATAACTTTAATTCATCCCTTAACATAAACCAAATATGGTTGCAGTTTTCTTTACTTCTTGAAAATATTTTGTGGGTGTCTTCCAAATGTAATTTTCACATAATGCTCATTAGGATGCCCTTTTGTACCCACAGCCATACCTGCTCTGCAGCCCATAGTCCATGACCTCTTTGTGTTAAGAGGAGCAAATAAGGCTGATGCAGGAAAAGAGCTTGAAACCCAGAAGGAAGTGGTGGTGTCAATGCTACTGAGACTCATCCAGCACCATCAGGTAAGAGGAAAGTGTAATGACGTTCAGGGACTTGATTGTCCCTGTAGAGATGAGGGAGATGCCAGGTAGTCCAGCTGTTTGTACCAGCTTTAGACCCTCTCAGGCCTGGGGAGATGCCTGTGAGACAGGAGGCACAGTAGGTATGTGATTTTAAGTGGGCACAGCCACAGGAGCCGCCGACCCTTGTTTGACAGTCAAGAGATTGTTCATGAGAGTAAATATAGTAGAGGCCCCTTTTCCAAACGAGGACTGAAAATAACTAGTTGACAATGTTGTTCAAAATGGTAGAATTCTAAAAAAGGGTAGAAATCTCAAATTTGAAATAATTTAAAGACTTTATTTGTATATTTACTTACCACTCTTTTCACATAGGGTCAAGATCTTTTTTCTTGAGCCGATTTCTGGTTTTGTTTTCCATAAGGTCCAGATAAATGACTGTATAGTTCTTTCCATTTCTGAGAGAAATGTCATTGGAATTTTGATGGGGATTGCATTGAATTTGTATATTACTTTGGGTAGTATAGTCATTTTCACTATATTGATTCTTCCAATCCAGGAGCATGGGATGTCTTTCCATCTTTTTGTATCCTCTCTAATTTCTCTCAGGAGTGGTTTGTAGTTCTCGTTATAGAGATTTTTCACATCCTTAGTTAGTTCAGTTCCTAGGTATTTTATTTTTTTGGTGGCTATTGTGAATGGGCAGGCTTTCTTGATTTCTCTTTCTGCTTGTTCACTATTGGTGAATAGAAATGCTACTGATTTTTGTGTGTTGATTTTGTATCCTGCTACTGTGCTGAACTCTTTTATCACCTCTAAGAGTTTTTTTGTAGATGATTTGGGCTGTTCGATATATAGGATCATATCGTCTGCAAACAGGGACAGTTTGACTTCATCTTTTCCAATCTGGATGCCCTTTATTTCTTTCTCTTCTCTGATTGCTCTGGCTAAAACTTCCAAAACTATTTTGAATAGGAGTGGTGAGAGTGGGCATCCTTGTCTGGTTCCTGTTTTTAAAGGAAAAGCTTTTAGTTTTTCCCCATTCAGGATGATATTGGCAGTGGGTTTATTGTATATGGCTTTGATTATGCTGAGATATTTTCCGTCTATGCCTAATTTATAAAGGGTCTTTGTCATGATTGAGTGTTGGATTTTATCAAATGCTTTTTCGGCGTCAATAGAGATGATCATATGGTCCTTGTGTTTGATTTTGTTAATATGGTGGATCACATTTATTGATTTGCGTATGTTGAACCAACCTTGTTTCCCTGGGATGAATCCCACTTGGTCGTGGTGAATGATTTTACATATGTGTTGTTGTATTCTGTTTGCTAATATTTTATTGAGGATTTTTGCATCTATATTCATCAAGGATATTGGCCTGTAGTTTTCTTTCTTGGTTATATCTTTATCTGGTTTTGGTATCAGGATGATGTTTGCTTCGTAGAATGTGTTTGGAAGCTTTGCTTCTGTTTCAATCTTTTGGAATAGTTTGTATAGAATCGGTGTCATTTCTTCTTTGAATGTTTGGTAAAATTCTGCTGTGAATCCATCTGGTCCCGGGCTTTTCTTTGTTGGGAGCTTTCTGATAACATCTTCAATCTCCTTTAATGTTATCGGTCTGTTCAGGTTTTCTATATCTTCTTGATTTAATTTTGGAAGCTTGTGTGAGTCTTGAGCCGATTTCTGGTTTTGTTTTCCATAAGGTGGAGCAAGAGTTTTAAAGACACTTTGGGACAGAAATCTAGCTTTTTAAATGACTTCTTTTTTTTTTTTTTAAGTTGTACAGTTGCCTAGTCCTCCTCTGTATCTATTTGTCTTTGAATCTTATAAAGCTTTGTAAGTTTTATAAATTTATAAAGTTTATAAAAGCCATAAACTTTTGTCATAGAAACCACATTGTCTTTGTGCATTTATATTTTGACTAATCTATGTAATATTTAATTAAATACTTAATGCTTAATTAAATTATATAACTACACTAAAAAGTACAAGTGCCATGAAGAGGTTTGAGAACAAGCAGCTGGCCCTTGGCAAGCGTACCTGGGCTGGTGGGAGTCCCAGAGAGGAGCTTATCAGCCACATGCATCCAGCGAGACCTCGGCATGCTTTATGGAGAATGGAGAGGGTCAGCCCAGCTGGCAGGTTGATTCAGTAAAGGGTGGAATTATGTTCTTGTGTAATGGAAATGCTGCACAGGTTCCTTGAAGAGAGAAGGCAGCTGTGGAGATGGGGTGGTTGAGGCAGGCTATCTAAGGATTGGCCTTAAGTTGTGTGTGTCTTTCTTTATAGCAGTTATATTTTATAGATCAGGTGGGTAATAAACATTTTAAGCTGCGCAGGCCATGTGGTCTCTGTCACAACTCCTTGTCTTTGCTAGTTGTATCATGTAAGTAGTCATAGTCAGTATGAGCACAAATGGTATGGCTGTGTTCCAGTAAAGTGTTATTTACAAAAACAGGTGGTGGGCTGCCCCGTTACAGACCTTTGCCAGGTTATAAATATCTGTTTAGAAATGGTCACTAAGGGGCCAGCCCGGTGGCGCACTGGAGAGTGCGCTCCCGCCGAGGGTTCGGATCCTATGTGGATACCTGTTCCCGCTCACTGGCTGAGCGCGGTGCAGGCGCAACACCAAGGGTTGCGATCCCGTTGCCGGTCCCCGGTACGGGCGCGACACCGAGGGTTGCGATCCCGTTACCGGTCAGTAAAAAAGACAAAAAGACAAAAAAAAAGAAAGAAAAGAAAAGAAAAGAAATGGTCACTAATGTAGAACTGTTGAAAGTAAGTGCTATTCAGTAGGAGATTACCTTTGCAAAGAATACAGAATTGAAATGAAGGTATACAACAGTAATCCGCAGAATAGTTTGGTCAAGGCTGTGTCTGAGTTTTGCCAAAGGTTAATATAAGTTTGATTTTCATTTGGTGCTTTCTCTGTTTGTGAGGTTTTGTAACTTCCATACAATCACAGTGATCACGAGTCATAGTGATCCTGAACAGTGTGCAGCTTGTTCGTACCCTAGAGGAATTTGCTGTGTCTCCATATGGGTTTTCTTCTGTCCCCCACGTTTCATGGGTTGAAGGGTGAGGATTGCATTGCTTTCCTTGGTCCTCACTGGGGATCCCTTTGCGTGGGTCCTAGAGTCTTCCAGCTGAGCTCAGACCTGTGTGAGAGGCAGACACGCAGGACCGGGAGGGTTCCTGTTGGCCGGGAGACTTTCTAATTGCACGTGGATGTTCTTGCAGGTGTTGGAGATGTTCATTCTCGTCCTGCAGCAGTGCCACAAGGAGAACGAAGACAAGTGGAAACGGCTGTCTCGGCAGGTCGCTGACATCATCCTCCCGATGCTAGCCAAGCAACAGGTTGGTCACCGCAGTCTTGGCTCTGTGTTGTGCAGTAATTGTAACACATTTGAATGTGGATTGAGACCCTTGTGAAAGGTGGGTGAGTGTGATCAGCTTTTCCTTCAGTCATGGTGGATTCGTGCTTTGATAGTTATTCTCAGTGCTGGTCATGGGGCAGGTGACTCTTCATTTATTCTCACAACCACCTCTCAGGTTGGTATTTTCTACCTATTTCCAAGTGAGGGAACCAAGGCTCTGAGAGGTTACTGAGGTTACCCAACATCACACAGCCAGCAAGTGCTCGGACTAGGGCTGGTTCAGGTCTGACTCTAAAACTTGTGTTCTTTTTTACTGTATTACACTGTCTCCTTCATTCGGGTTAATCAAGTGTTTTATTTGATCATAGGTTTTTGTTTTTGTCTTTCTTATGACTTATAAAGTGATTTAACAGTTATCCATCATCTAATCAGAACTTCTATAATCAGGCGATGCGTCTGGCTGTTGGCACTAACACAGTGGAAGGGAGTGGGCTGGGTGTGCTGTGTCAGGTGGAGCCACTTCTCGCAGCTCCTGACCACGTGCTGCCGGCGCCAGAGCTCGGGAGGCCGTGCGTTCATTGCAGCCTCACCACTGTAACCAGGTTTAGGGCCCTTGAAAGGAAGGGCACAAGGACCTGCTGAAGATGGCCCCACCAGAAAATCCCACAAGCCACCCGGCAAAGTGTTAGGTTGCGTTTTGAACGGAGTCAGCAGATACATGTTCATCTTGATCATCCATTCTAAACAAGTACTCGAGGAAATACAAAGCAGTTCTTGGTTCTTGGCATTTGATAAACACTTACAGGCACACTGTTGATAGTCAGCGTCTTCATAACTTCACTCCCATTCTGATTTCGTGATGGCATTGTTATCCTGAGACTACTTGGACAATTGGGAGCGGGGTCATGGCTTCTGGTGATATGGACAGGTACAATTTTAATGTAGCCATGGACTCCATGTGTGTAGAACGGTGCTCTGGGAGCTTTATTCCATTCTCTCACTTATCGTGTGCACAGTCTGAGGAAGGTGGAGACTGAGGGCCTGAGTTCAGAGTCAGTGCCGACAGACTTTCTGCCATGGTGAGAATCGTGCGATAACACATGTGTGATAGGCTCAGCACTGGTGTGTGCCACATGCAGAAAGGGCGCTGGGCACTATCCCAGGTACTGGCTGCAGATACATCAGTGATCAAGGCAGATTAAAGAAAACCCTGCCCCCTCACAGTGAAGGTTTTGTTGGGAAGGGGGTGAGGGGACAGACAAGAGTGACATAAGTACAACGTATAAAATGCCAGACAATAAGTACTCTGCAGAAAAGCAAAGGAAAGGAGAGAGGTGGCTAGTGTTGGGATGGGGGTTGCATTGTTCAGTTGATGACAAGGATAAGCCTTGCTGATCAGCTGACATTTGAGTAAACCTGAAGGAAGGAAAGTTGTGAGCCTCACAGATACCTGGGGAAAGAACGATCCAGGCAGAGCAATCTGCAGTGCCAAGGCCCAGAGGTGGGAACATACCTGTTAGGATTCAGGAGGCCAGGGGTGGAGGGGAGCAGCCCTAGAGAAGAGAAGGGAGGGAAGGCCTGGGCGGGGGAGGCCAGCATGGAGGACTTGGGAAGCCTTGAGAGGTCTTGGTACAAAGGGTGACATGATACGATTTGGCTTTTACCAGGATCATTCTCACTCCTGAGTTGAGAATAGATTCCAGTGGGGAGGTGAGGGCTGAACAGGGAGGTCCTCGTTGAGTGTCTGATGGTTGAGTGGTGAGAAGTGGGCCTCTGTTGACATAGTGTGAAAGTGGAACCAGCAGGGTTAGCTGGTGGCTTAGACATGGAAGGTGAGAGTGTGGTTTTGGGGCGGTGATGCAGCACTGTGAATGAGGTGGGGGAGCCGGTGGGGGCAGCAGGCCTCAGGAGAAGGTCAGAGCCTGGTCTGGATGTATTCACTTGAGACCCCTGGTAGGCCCCTAATGGAGATGAGGCTGGCATTTGGATGTGTGACTCTGGGGTTGTCAAGAGAAAGCTGGGCAGGAGATACACTCCAAGACTGGATGAGGTCATGGTAGACCAAGTGTGGCTGGAGAGGAGGGGAAGCCCGAGCGCTGGGACCACTGAGTCCCAGCTCAGAGGGCAGGGAGGTGAGGAGGAGCCATGAAGGAGATAAGAAGGAATGGGCAGTGCTGGGTCCGGGGTGGGAGGTGGGGGACAGGCAGGTGTGGGGTTCCTGAAGCCAAGTTTTTTTTAAGAAAGTGTTTTGTGAAGGAGGGAGAAGTCAGCTGTGGGCACCTTGAGCACTTGGCTGGGTTTGGCAGGCCCAAGTGCACCCGTGAGTCTTTGGAGGAGTGGGTGGAGCCACATACAGATGGGAATGTGTTCCTGAAAGGACAGGAAGAGAGGAATTAGAAAGAGATTTACTTGAACAAGGATCAGAGAAATGGGACCATAGCCAGAGGAGGAGAGGGGGAAAGGGTACGGTGGCAGAACAAGGGCAAAAGCAAATAGGGGCACCTCACAATGCGGGACAGAGAGAAAATTGCCTTCATAGTGTCCTTGAGCAGACACGAGGCGTTAAGCTTGGTTGCGTACATGGTGGGTGGTCTTTGCTGTTGGCACGGTGGGTTCCTCCATGTGGGCACAGGCGTGCAGGTCCAGGTTGAAGGAGTCATGGGAGCTTGGGAATTCTCGATTGTTTCCTTATTGTTAAGGTACAGTTCAATGCTGTATTAGTTTCAGATCTATACATTGAAAAATACTACATTTCTTTGCAGAGTTGCTTAATATGTATATACACACGCAGTAGTAACACAGATCGTAAACAGAGTCAGTGCCCATCATCAATAGGAGAATGGTTGAATACATTGTGGTACAAACTTAGCTTGGAATATTTTTCATCCATTAAAAATAATGTTAGGTTTAAAAAGCCAGTTGCCTTGGGACTTCTCCATTGTATTAAGTGAGAAAAGCAGAGACATTTTAATACAATTTCTCAAAACAACTGAAACAAAAATTTCTGTTTGTGTGTGCGTGCGCATGTGCGTGTTTACAGGAGCATGGAGAGAGTTGAGAAGGGATATACACCATTCTGTTAACATTTGTCACTAATGGGTGGTATGGGGTGAAGTGCAGGTAAAGCAAACAAGGGAGGGAGGAAGCAGCGGTGTGTGTGCGAAGAGAAGCATGAAGCCGGGAAGCAGGCTCCCAAAATGCTGATGAGTATTGCATTGGGGGCGCAATTCCAGTCGAGGCTCTATACTTTTGTACATTTGAATCTTTTCCAGAAAGCATATATTATTTATGTATAAAAATCTAAATGAAAAGATTTCCATTGTGGAAAAAACATGGCTGGTACAGTGTTGTTCTAAAAAATGTTTGCTTGGTCACCACTAAACTTAGAACAAGGGGGTGTTAATGATGGATGATTATGATCATTTCCCCTTGAGATACATAACCTGGTGTACAGAAAACTGGCATTTCTGTTGGCTTATGTGGAGATGTTTGCGGTGTTTAATTCCACAGATGCACATTGACTCTCATGAAGCCCTTGGAGTCTTAAATACGTTATTTGAGATACTGGCCCCTTCCTCCCTCCGTCCAGTGGACATGCTTTTACGGAGTATGTTTGTCACTCCAAACACGATGGTGAGTCTTGTGCCTGACTCTTCAGATTCACCAGGAGGGCTTGTTCAAGGACAAATTCTGGGGGAAGGTACCCAGAGGGGATACCCCAGGACTTCTGACTCAGTGGGTTTGGGTGGAGCCTGGGAATCTGCATTCTTAAGTTCCCAGCTGCTGCTGCTTCTTTGGGGCCATATTTGCAAACCAGCGATAGATTATTGGTGGAGTGGTGAAACGGGTGATTTTCTTTCATGAATCGGGGAAAATTTAATCCTTTTTTCTTTTTAAAGTTATAATTTATGTGTTTTTCTTTTAGGCATCTGTGAACACTGTTCAGCTGTGGATATCAGGGATCCTAGCCATTTTGAGGGTTCTAATTTCCCAGTCAACTGAAGATATTGTTCTTTCTCGTATTCAGGAGCTCTCCTTCTCTCCATATTTAATCTGCTGTCCAGTAATTAATAGGTTAAGAGATGGGGACAGTAATTCAACCCCGGAAGAACACAGTAAAGGGAGACAAATGAAGAATTTGCCAGAAGAAACATTTTCAAGGTATGCTTTATACTTGAACCTGTAACTAATCCTTGTCTTGGGAAGTCATGTGGTGTGATCAGTAAGTCTGGAATAACTCCTAGTCTTGCTTCAATTCTGTGAATGGGTGAAGAGGTTGGTGTTAGTGTGTTTCTTTAAATCTAGCCTGCCTTGCCCGTGGCCCTTGGTTCATACCTCTCTTAAGGTTCTGTCACATTCTATCTCTTATCCTCATTAAAAACTCTGGAGCAGCGGCTCACTGTGAGCAGGGCAGGGGAGCAGCCTGCCCTGGGTGCAGGCAATAGGGGGTGCATTGCCTGCAGAGAATTTAAAAACCTAAGCAAACCCACTAGAAGTCAGTCTTATATTTAGTCTTGCCATGTGCTGGCATTTCTACACACTGTCAGTAATAAAATACTTGTCTCTGCCCAGGTAGATTGGCCCCTGCTGTATACCTATAGTATCAAATCATTCCTTCCCTCATCAATTGTTTGGAAGCTCCTTGTGGGCAATGATGCTGATTCAGGCACTTGTAAATGCTTGTTGCATAGCCAAGTGTCTACTCACATTTGCTAGATTCAGAGCGTTCCCTGGGTTAAAGTTGCTGCTGTGACTGTGCTCCTTTTGGCTGTGTCTATCATATCTTCAGGTTAGCTGTGGCTTGCTTTGTCAGCAGTGGAGATGCCCTCTGTGTTCGTGGATATAAACCTGCTGAACCTGCATGGCACCTTTTTGTTTGCAGGTTCAACAGGCAGCCTGTGGCTCTCCTTCTGTTAACACTGAAGCAGGTGGCTCAAATTGATGATACATTAAATTCCTGTGGTGGATTTTCAGCTTGTATTTGTGTAATGCTTGATGGTTTATAAAGCTTTAAGAAATACTACATGTCATTTTATCCTAATAGTTTTTGAAGTTGGTGTGATTGTGCCATTTTGTGAGTGTAGTCGACCAGTACCCGAGGGGAGATGGTGAGGAATGAAGAAACACGCATATGGGATCAGGAGGACTCCACAGGCTGATGACCTGTGAAGCATCTTAGTTTATTTTAGGTTCTTTTTTATAAGCCAGTGAAAGTAACAAATTGTGCTGATTAAATCAGTTATGTCTGGTACAAAGCTATTTGCAGAACATTTTTAGCTGCCATGGCACTTGAAGATTCATGGCTAACTACTTATCAACAAAATAAGAGCATGAGTTCCTCATTTACAAAGCTCTTAGGGTACTGAGTTCAATCGAAGATCAGACCTCAAGGGGAGGGAGAAGGGGTAAGCAGGCAAAATGGAAAGCCAGCCTTGCTGGCTTATTCCCTAGAAGAGCAAGGACTTTGTCAGGTTGCTATTCAGTACCTCACAAGTGAGGAAGGTGATACAAAGAGGCAAAGTGACAATCCAAATAATGGTGCTAAACGTTTCACCTTCACTGTGCTTATTGTTCCTGTACTTTTCCTTTTCAAGTTTACATGTGTTTTACAAGTGTGCCTGGCCTGGGTGCTCTGTAATGATCACCTGATTTCACTGTTGTCCTTTTCTCTTTCTTGGAAGGTTTCTGTTACAGCTCGTCGGTATTCTTTTAGAGGACATTGTTACAAAACAGCTGAAAGTGGAAATGAGTGAACAGCAACATACTTTCTATTGCCAAGAACTAGGCACGCTGCTGATGTGTCTGATCCACATCTTCAAGTCTGGTAGGTGAACTGTTGTGGTCTTCGTAGAGTGTTCAGTATTCAGTATTCCCTGTCCTGTACTGTACACTCTGAGTGTAGGGACCGTGCTGCCCAGTAGAAGCTCTCCTCTGCTCAGTCTGCCATTTGAAATTGGTGATAAGAGTAAACCTGATACCATATGACCTAGCAATTCCACTTTTGAGTATATATCCCAAAAAATGGAAAACAGGGTAAGAAAAAGATATTTGTGTACCAGTGTCCATAGCAGCAGTCTTCACAGTAGCTAAATATGGAAGCAACTCAAGTGTCCATCGACAGATGAGAGGATAAGCAAAATCTGATACAGTCTAAACAATACGGCGGAATATTATTCAGCATTAAGAGGGAAGGACATTCTGACATATGCTACAACATGGATGAACCCAGAGGACATGAAGTAAGTCATCACAAAAGGACAAACACTGTATGATTCCATTTACATGCGATACTTATTCAGAATCATAGTGACAGAAAGTAGAGTGGTGGTTGCCAGGGGCTGGGAGAATGGGGAATTGTTTAATGGATATAGAGTTTCAGTTTTGTAAGATGAAGAGAGTTAAAGAGATGGATGGTGGTGAGGGTTGCACGACATTATGAATATATTTAATACCAGTAAGCTGTACACTTTTAAAAATGGTTAAGGTGGCAAGTTTTGTATCATGTCTGTTTTACCACAATAAAAGAAAAGTTGGGGAAAAAAAGTAAACCTGAGGGCTTCCTCCTGTTTTAAAAGTTTGGAGGGCCAAGAAGTTTCTGTTACCTTTACAAATGATTGTGAATTAAGAGGACAGTGAACCTAAGAGAAAGTCACAAGATGCCAGCTGTGCTGCAAGCATAGGAAGCAACAGTCCAAATTAGGACAGTGTTTTCCAGGAAGAATGAGTGTTAGTAAGAAGAGTGCCTTACTTTAGATGAAATGAATAAGAAGTGGAAGGCTTTCGTCACAGGGTGCAGGCATATCTCTCTTCTCTCAGCAAGCAAAGAGAAAGGCAATTCTAATCTCTACGAAAAACTAACGTAACAATTCATGGCCCAAATATGAATCCATCCAAAATATGGCATGATTTTCAGCAGTTGATCTGATGTAAGACCTTGATATTAAGAAGGTTTTCCTTTAAGTGGCTCTTGGGTTATGATAGAAAACCCACAGGAAGAGATGCAGTCCTTCCAGGCCTCTTGGCTCTGTAGGGAACTGTATTCATATGGTCATTGTGTAAATGCTGTCTGAGCTTTCCTTTTTGGAATTAATGTATGAATAAAACATGTTTTCAGAACAGAATGAAAATGTTTTCAGTTCTGACAAATACAAAAGAAAAACTAACCAAGTTAATGGAAGTGGATGGTAAAAGAAGAGGTGGGGAATGGAAGGGACACTGATATTTTCATCTTGCATTGTTGGGGTTATGAGGTAATGTCTAAAGTTCACAGAACAAAAAATAGAGGCTACAAAGCTATCCACATAGAACTAAAAATATAACTCAGATTGGCAGGAAGTAGTGTAAGTGAGCTAAGTCTCATCTTTAATAGAGTAGAGTTAATATGTAATGTCTGAAGTTGTCTGATGTCTATAAATAATGATGTGGCTATTGTGTGCAGTAGTCTCTCTGTTGCAGGGAGAAGCCCCTACCTATACTAGAGCAAGAAAAGGAATTTACTGGGTTGGGCTCCTGGAAAGTGCAGGCAGGGGTAGTTAGCTGTCTTCAGGTAGGCCTGCATCAGGTGGCTTAATTCTGTGATCTGCATCGTGTATTTCTGCATCTCAGCTCTACTTTCCGTGTTGGCTTTGTTCTCTGGTGGGCTCCTTCCACATGGCAGGAAAGATGGCTTCTGCCACCTGGGGTCTCAGTCCCTGAAGTGGGCAAGTGATTGGCCCTGAGTGAGTCATGGGGGTGACCATGAGCCCCTGGACAGTACGGTCAACCCAGGCCAGGGGAGCAATTGGACAGCATTCCTTTGAGAGGGAGTAAGGGAAGAGGAGCAGACAAAATAACTGATGATCCAATTCGAGGGATAGAAGCAAACCAGTTAGAATTTTGGAGGTAACTACTAGAAGAACTAAAAACAGGAATGATAACAAGTAGTTGCCTTGAAGAGGGATGGGCAGGGCCCTTTTGCAGTCAGAAGTCCCTCTCTTACTGGATTTTTCACACATTTTAAGTACATGCCCTTAGAGTAAAAAGTAGTTACCATTTTCAGCCTTTGCTCATTCGACAAGACTTGCCTTGTGGCCCACCACCATGCCTGCGGGGCTCTGGGTGTGCTGGGTCAGTAAAACAGGCATGATTCTTGCCTTTTCAGGGTTCACAGTCAGTGGGAAGACAAGACACAAGCATATAGTAAGAAGTCTCGGTGTTTCCTATGAAGGAAGCAAATACTGCCCTGCTGAACAAACCAGAAGTGGGCAGGCAGGGGCAGGATTTCTGAGGGCGACTGTTGAGCTAAGATATGAAGGGGAGAAGGAACTGGCCTTTCGAAGAGAAGAGTTCTGGCTGAGAGAGCAGTTTGGTGTGTGAGGAGCGAGGGGATCAGCAGGAGGCCCTGGCCATATGTCGCCTGGGGGTTAAGGAGAAGAGGCATCTCCGTGGCTGCTGCATTCAGCTGCTGCTGCCGCCCTCGGCCCAGGGACAAGGCCAGAATTCAGTTCTGAGGCTGCACTCCAGTTTCAAGCTTCCTTATTTACTAACATTGAAAGGAGTTTCTTCTTTCTTTTTAAAATCTTTTGATTTATGCTTTACTAACCACTATAATAAGCTTAAGGTCAGGAAAATATGCCTTGTCTATGAATAATAGGTCATTTTTAGTATGTTCATTTTAATACTTGGCCATTGACTGGTTGGGTATGATGTCAGGAGGCTGCTCCTGCCTTCTTTGCATAAGAGTGGTGTGTTCTGTCTCCTTGTGCCCGTCCCTGTGGCTTCTGTGCAGCTCAAGATGTTCACCATCTCATTGCTCTAACAACTTCTTCTTCCTTTTCTCAAGAGCCAGGGAAAATATTCTTACCGTCTGTTGCAGTGCCGCCGAGAAGAACTTCCAGCAGAGATGGGACTCTTTCATGTCTGCACTGTCTAGTCTAGTTGCCTCTTAGCCACATGTGTTATTTGGTACCTGAAATGTGGCTTGTGTGATTGAGGAGCTTAATTTTTAGTTTAATTTAATTTTAATTAACTTAAATTTAAACAGCTCCATGCGACAGGTATAGTGAGAAGCAGCACGCACTACTAGAAGGAGTGTGGGCCTTGGTACAGGGCACATGGGTTTTGCTGTTGGTGTCTTTGGACATTGATTGGTCCAACGTTTGCAAGCATGTGTGTGTGTGAGTGAGTGAGTGTGTGAGTGTGTGTGTGTGTGTGTGTGTGTGTGTGTGTGTGTGTGTGTGTGTGTGCATGCAAATGTCTGTTTCTGTCTCCTTGTTTAGTTTAGCAGCATTTCTTTTAAGGACACTAGGTGGCAGAATTACTGTGTTTGGTTGGTTTTGAGATAGGATTGAAGTAAATCATCTTGTACTTTATATAAATAAGGTGAATTTAACATATAAAATTGGTAATTTGTATTTATGTGTCACTTAAACAAAGGCAGTGAATTCCATCCACTCACTGAAAATTGAGACTTTTAAATTTGTCCATTTTAGGTATTGTTTCCTAAAATAGGACCTAGCCTTGACTTCTGTTTTTCTGTTTCCTCTCTTGTTGGGGAATGAGGGTATTTATCCCAAAGTTGTTTGCCTATTTAGGATGAAATATAAGCAGAATGCCAAGAAAGATATCTCTCCTCCAGCTTGTGAAATTTTAGGTAACCAATATCCCTCTCCTGGATCACAAAATCATAAAAATTCTATAGTCTGTTTTTGCCTGTTTTAGGACCATTTCCCATGTGGGATGTGTTGAAATTTAAAACAAAAGTAAGATTTTGACTCCCCAGCAGTGATGCCAGAAGAGTCAGCCATGGAGGAGAGGGAGACCTTGGCCAGACGGGGCCCTCCTGTTCCCACCTCTTGCTGCTTCTCCTCCAGTGCTTCACAGCATGTAGTCCTTGGGAAGGGTCGCCCTTATGAAGCCATGGCAGGGTGAAGAGAGAAGCACACCAAGCTGAGTTTGTTTATCCCAAGGAGAGGATAGAGTGAACTCATTAATTCCAGGAGGGAATGTTTCCAAGCCCTTAGAAGGGTGCTGTGGAGAAACTTGTGGGCACAGTCGAACCAGTCTGTTGCTGATGTGCCAGCCTGGAGTGTGGGTGGCTGAACGTGTGGCCTGCCAAGTGCCAGGATGCTTCGAGGTCAGGCATAGAGACCCAAGGGGCACAAAGGCCACCTGGGTGGGTTGTCAGTAGCCTGCAGAGAGCACATGGGAGCCTGTGACTGGTGTGGATGCTGTCCATTTTCTTTCTCTCGGTACTTGTATTTCTGTCCCTCAATTCTTAGCAAGCCGAGGAGCCATTTATTATTGCAGCAGGAGTGTGCTGTTCCTGCCCTGCTGTTCCTGCCTGTGTGGCTGTGGCTCAGTTCTGTGTAGGCCATGCCGTTGCCCAAGTGCAGTGACCTGCAGCGCTGAGTGCCAATCGCCTCCCTCTTGGGGAGCTGGCCCAGGCTCTCATAGCACAAAGGGAGGCATCTGGGCTTGGAGCTCCTGGAGAACATGGTGGTGCCAGCTAGTGATGGGGAAGGCAAGAGAGAGTGAAAACATTAGTTTTCTTGGTTGATCCATTAAACAAATGGAGTATCTATTTCTGCTTAGAAAGTCAGAATTTTCTAAGTGCCAAGTGCTTTGAATATCAAGTGGGGGAAAGGGCTGTATGTATATATTTCTTATGTAAAATCTTCATGTATCTACGGGTGTCAGACTAAGGTGAGTGGCCAAGACACTTCCCCTTAAGCAGTTTTACTTTGGTTCTAGGAATGTTCCGGAGAATCACAGCAGCTGCCACTAAGCTCTTTACCAGCGATGGCTGTGAGGGCAGCTTCTATACCCTGGAGAGCTTGAACGCACAGGTGCGCTCTATGGTCCCCTCTCACCCAGCCCTGGTGCTGCTCTGGTGTCAGATCCTGCTGCTCGTCAACCACACTGACTACCGCTGGTGGGCAGAGGTGCAGCAGACTCCCAGGTAGGTTCACAGCGCTCCTGGTGCCAGGCCAGGCTTTGGTTCTAAGACTCTGAGTAGCTTGAGGTTTGGCTGCTGTTAGAGCATTTTCAGTTTCCACTTTTCACGGGGCTTTGTAAAATTTCTGCTGCACAGTAGTCTTTCTTTCATGGACACTGTATTGTAGGCAGAAAAATGTGGTCCAACTAGAGGCATTTAAAATAGCAGCTGCTTTTAAAACATGACTTCCTTTGACAAGTTTCTTGACCCGGTTCCCCTTGTGGGCTATTCTTCTCATGCTGTATCTCTCCTGCTAGGTTCCAGTCCCAGAGTATAAAGAGTATGTAGTAGAATATGTAGTGTGTGTGCATGTGGGAAAGTGTGCATGTATGCATGCAAATGTGTAGAGTGTGCATGTGCATAGAGTATGTAGCACGTGTGTGTGCGGGCACAGAGCATGCGTGTGTTAGTGTGTGTGTGTGCACACATGGTATGTGTGTTGAGTGTGTGCATGAGTACAGGGTGGCAATATATTAATAGTTGGATCTACATGAACGATGAGATCTATGGCACAGACATTGGTTTTACTGTTCTTATTTCTTGCTAGCTTTTTAGAGTTGGACTTACAGTCTCTTGATTTCCCTTCGTGTATTTTTTTTTTTTTTTTTTTGTCTTTTTCCATGTCCGGCAACGGATCGCAACCCTCAGTGTCACCCCCGTACCGGACCGGGATCGCAACCCTCGGTGTCGCCCCCGTGCCTCGCTCAGCCAGTGAGCGGGAACCGGTCTGTATGTGGGATCCGAACCCTCGGGCGGGAGCGCCGCCGCGCTTCCCAAGCCGCGCACTATCCAGTGCGCCACCGGGCCGGCCCCCTTCGTGTATTAATAAGATGAGAAATCCATGGCTTCTTGGTTCTTAGCTCAGTGTTACTTTCCCAGGGAGCCTTCCCTGACTTCTCTTTGGTGGGTTAAGTCTCCTGATTGGCTCTCACCTTGGCCTTTGCCTGTCCTCTGTGGCATGTAGCAAGGCTGAAATTGGACATTTATTTGTGTGATGATTTAATGAATGTCTCTCTTTCCCACCAGACCATAAGCACCACAAGGGCAGGACCTGTATCTGTTTTTTCCCTGTTTTCCCTGCACTAACATGAGTTAATGTTTACTTACTCTAATAACAATAGAAACAGTAATGATATACTGGTGAAGACCTTTCACATAAAGATGAGCATTTATGTGGCACTAAGTGCCAGCTATTGTTCTAAGGGTTTTCCATTATAATGAATTATTAAAACCTCTAGTAATATACCTATATTATAGGTGAGGAAGCTTTTTTTCCCAGAGAAGTTAAATAACTAGCCCAGTGTCACAAGTTAATAAATAACACACACACACAGACACACACACACACGTTTTCCCAGCTTTATTTTCACCTGTTACAACTTAAACTCATTTCCTTTTTTTTTTTTTTTGACCAATAAGGGGATTGCAACCCTCGGCACGGTGTCGTCCACACCATGCTCAGCCAGTGAGCGTACCGGCCATCCCTATATAGGATTCGAACCCGTGGCCTTGGCGCTCCCAGCGCCGCACTCTCCCGAGTGAGCCATGGGCCGGCCCTAAACTGTCATTTCTTTCTTTCTTTTTTTTTTGTCCTTTTTGAGACCGGCTGCACCGCGCTCAGCCAGTGAGCGCTGTGAGCGCACCGGTCATCCCTATATAGGATCCGAACCCTCAGCGGGAGCTTCAGCGCCGCACTCTCCCGAGTGCGCCACAGGCTCGGCCCATCATTTCTAATGATTCTGTATTTTGTTGCTTACCAGGCTCTCCTCTCTTGATTTGGCAGTTTGGCTATTTCTAATATTTTTTCACAGCTCTGTGTGAAGTGTCTCTGTATCTCTCTCTCTCTCTCACACGCGTACACACACGCACAGAAATCTTGGTACTTGTTCTTTTCCAGTATATTTTTAGAGTATATATATATATATTTTTTCTTCTTTTTTCCATTCTTTTTTGTGACCGGTAAGGGGATCGCAACCCTTGGCTTAGTGTCGCCCACTCTGCGCTCAGCCAGTGAGCAAACTGGCCATACCTATATAGGATCCGAACCCGCGGCGGGAGCGCCGCTGCCCTCCCAGCGCCACACTCTCCCGAGTGCGCCACGGGGTCAGCCCCTAGAGTATATTTTCAAAAGAGATTATTATACTCGTAGATAAGAACTATTTTGTGCCTCGTCAGTTTTCCCATTGTCTATCATTGAACTAGTAATTTTAATCATTTTGGTAGTCTGCTATCTATAGTGAAATACTACATAATTGTTAATAATTATTTCTGTTGGGCCGGCCCGGTGGCGCACTGGATAGTGCGCTGCTTGGGAAGCGCGGCGGCGCTCCCGCCCGAGGGTTCGGATCCCACATGCAGACCGGTTCCCGCTCACTGGCTGAGCGAGGCGCGGGAGCGACACCGAGGGTTGCGATCCCGTTGCTGGTCCCGGTCCGGTACGGGGGCAACACTGAGGGTTGCGATCCGTTGCCGGACACGGAAAAAGACAAAAAAAAAAAAAAGAAAAAGAAAAAATAATTATTTCTGTTTATTCTTAGGTTTTTTTTTTTATTTTTTTAGTTTTTTTATTTTCCTTTTTTGTCTTTTTTCGTGACCGGCAACGGATCGCAACCCTCAGTGTCACGCCCGTACCGGACCGGGACCGGCAACGGGATCGCAACCCTCGGTGTTGCCCCCGCACCTCGCTCAGCCAGTGAGCGGGAACTGGTCTGTATGTGGGATCCGAACCCTCGGTGGGAGCGCTGCCGCGCTTCCCAAGCGGCGCACTGCAGCAGTGTGCCACCGGGCCGGCCCTTGTTTTATTTTTATTAATGAAATTAATTAAATGGAATTGGTTATTTGTTTTTAAATTTTATTAATATTTTAAAATTGTGTGGTCATCTGTTTTTATTTCCCTTGGTTAATACTCAGTTGAATTGTGGAGTTGTATGGTAAGTGTATGTTTGACTTTAAAAGAAATTGCTAAACTGTTTTCCAGAGTGATTGTACCATTTTAAATACAAGACAAGACAAAGTCTGAGAGTTCTAGTTGTTCCATTTTCTTGTCAGCCCTTGATACTACACATGCTTTTAGTTTTCACTGTCCCTGTGGATATGTAGTGGTGTTTCATTGTAATTTTAATTTGCATTTCTTTGATACTAACATGTGTTGACCATGTTTTCATGTGCTTATTGGCCATTCATGTATTTTCTATTGTGAAGTATGTAATCAAATATTTTTGCCTCTTTTTTTTTTAAGTTTAGTTATTTGCTGTCCTGTTATTGAGTTGTAAATTCTTTATATATTCTGGATATATATCCTTTGTCAGATATAAAGTAAAATTTTTTCTCTCATTCTGTGGCTTGCCCTTTTATTTTCTTAACGATTTCTTTCAAAGGGCAGAAGTTTTAAATTTTTATGTAATCCAGTTTGTTTTTTCTCATCTATTTAATTTTTTTCTGTCCAATGCAAGAAATCTCTGCCTATTCTATGATCATAAAGGTTTTCTCCTACGATTTCTTCTAGAACTTCCATAGTTTGAGTTTTTATCTTTAGGTCTAGGATCTATCTCAAGTTGATTTTATGACACAGTTAATGAGAGTCACACCCTCCCCCATGTTCATAGCTCTTTCAACATTATTTGTTAACAAGGCTATCCTTTATTGAATTACCTTGGTACTTTTCTCAGAAATCAATTGAACATATGTGCATGAATTTATTTCTGGACTCACTGTTTATTTCTGTTGATCCGTCTGTCATTATGTCAGTTACGTTACTGCTTGATTATTTTAGCTGCATCACAAATCCTAGGTACCAAGTCTTCCAACTTTGCTTTATATTTTAAAAGCAGATATTTTTTCTGTATATTGTAAATTACAGAAAAAGCCTCCAGGATTTTGATGCAGATTGCATTGAATCTGTAGATTAATTTGGAGAGAACTGACATTTTAACAACATTGGGTCTTTTGATCTATGAATATGGTCTTCCCATTTACTTAAGTTTTCTTTGGTTTGCCACAGCAGTGTTTTATAGTTTTAGTGTACAAGTATTACATATATTTTATAAATTCATCTTTAAGTATTTCATGTTTTGGAATGCTATTTTAAATGGTACTTTAAAAAAAATTTCATCTTCCAACAGTGTGTTGTTAATATGTAGAAATGCAGTTGAATTTTGTATGTTGACTCCTATCCTGCGACCTTGGTAAACTCTCCTATTAGTTCCAGTAGCCTTTTTGTAGGTTCCTTAGGATTTTCTCTGTATGAGCACGTCATCTACAAATAGACGTTTTACTTCTTCCTTTCCTGTCTGTATGCCTCTTGCTTCTTTTTTCTACCTGAGTGCACTAAGTCCTTGGTGTTTTGTTTGTATCTGTCTTTAGAAGAGATGGCTCTTCCTTAATTGTTCCTGGAATGTTTTGCCTCAGGAAACTATTTGATTTTAGTAGGGCAGAAAAGATTGTCTTCACCACTTGATAGCGTTTAAGGTAACAAAAACTGCACAGGTGTTATACTTCATTAACTGCAAATGTTTCACTTAACTTTTTAAACCATAGAAGATAAAAGCTGATGTAGTCATGGGACTTACATGCTTTAGAAATACAAACAGCCTTGAAAGCCAATCAGTGTCCGAGGCTGAGGCTGTCCCTTTTGCTTCTCGAGGTGCTGTGAGTGCAAAACCTTAAATGACTCAGTGGCTTCCCAGTGGCTGTTGGACTGGGAGGAGCCTCCGCTGTCCTCTAGCCGACCTCTGCTGCCGCCCATGCCCGTCTCTTTTCATGCATGGTTCAGTTCTTTATGTGTGGGGGGCAGTTTAACCTTGAAAGTATTCCCTGTTGACTTGGGGACTTGCCCATTCTGATCATCCCTTCTTTGATGAAGGATGTGCTTGTTTATTCTGACATTATATCAGAAATCTCTGGTTCTAGAAATTGTGTCCCCTGGGTTGGAATAACAGAACTAGATGGTCAGAAATAAACAAATGTGCATATGGTCTGGAATTCGGCAGGTGTCCCCATTCAGTTGTCTGAAGGAAAACTATAGCTTTTCATAAATGCAGGTGGTTTATTCTTGACCCTACCTGACCCAGTTTTCTTTTTTACAACCTTTTATATTGTCCCTTCTATTACTGTGAAATAGAATTAATGGATTTTAACCTATCTATACTTATATTTCATGAAAATATAGTTCCTTAATGGTAATATAAGGGTAAAATAAAAGAGAATAATACATAGCAAAAGAAGTATTTTAGTATGCAAGTGCTCAAAGTCTCCATGTATTAGAAGGAAGAGAAACACTCCCATAAGTGTCCAGAACGATTCCCAGGGGGCAGGAGTGCTCTTGTCTAAACCCCTTCTCTAGGACAATGTTCCTCTAGCTGTGTGTGGTGGGGGATGAACATCTTTTTATTTCCATAAGATAATAAAAATGAATAAAAACTTCTATGGTGTGAATACAAGACACAGCACTGTCGACAGCTGTATGACTGTTCTGTCCAGTTGTCACAGAAGTTTCCACTGCCCAGTCCCCTCTCCACCTGTGCTCCTGTCTGTGTGGGAGGATCGTGGGCCACTCTCAGGTGCTCTGCTCATCTGCTCCTTCTCACCATGAACTTAGGATTTGCTTTCAATCCGTCTCCCCTTTTGGTGGGCTGTTAGGGTCCTGCTAGTGCTGTGGCACTGTGGGTGTGACGTGTTGGCCACTTCCCAGCCCATCCTGTTCTGAGTTCTACACGTGTAGTCAGCCTGGACTTGGGACATTCCTTCGTTATCAGCATCTGGCCTGAGGTTTTGGGGTTTTGTGGTACCACAAGTGGGGCTAAATTTGGGCTGACATTGGAACATCTTTATGTCTATGGGTGGTATTCAAAGTGCAATTGCCACTTGTTCTCTTCCAGAGGCACCTGACCCTATAGCTGTATTATTGCACAATGCAAAATTACAGCTTGACTGGGTGGCTGACTGAGAAAGGGCAGGTTTTCTGTTCATTTTAAATTGACGTATAATTTGTGATACAGTAAAATGCATTCTTCTGTACCAACTATAGTCAGTAACCACCACCACATCAAGACACAGAAACAGAACCGTCACTTCCCGCGGTTCCCTCATGTCCCTTTGCAGTCACCCTCCTTCTCCTGCTACCTGTACTCCCCGCCCCTGTCCCTGGTAACCATTGATCCATGCTCTGTCCCTCATTTAGCCTACTGCAGAATGCCATAGAAATAGAATCTTACAGTACATAGCCTTTTGAGTCTGGCTTCTCTCACTGAGCACAATGTATTTAAAGTTTATTTAAAGTTAAAGGAGTTGCATGTATCAGTGGTTTGTCCCTTATGACTGCTGAACAGCTCTATCATTGACCTGTTGGCAGAGAAATGGCAGTTTTAAAAAAATTTTAATCTGTGGAATTCTGTAAACCAGTTCTCCCCTAAATCCTGAGGGATTACAGGAAAAATTGACATATTTCAGAGCTCTCTTGCCCTGTTGTGCTTCTGTCCCCATCAAGCCTTAGCAGAAGGCGGTGCAGGCTCTCTGCTGTGTGGGCAGGATGTTATCCAGGGTAGACTGTGACATCAGAGGGGCAGTTTAGGAGTTTGGCAACAATTGTACTTCAAGTGTTTTGGCTAGAATTGAGAGTCAAGGTTTATGATGCCATCTCTTTAAAAAGAAAAAAGGGAAGTAGATGTGAAGTGAAAGAACCTTCGATAGTGGGGAAGAAACACTGTCCAACAGGGTTTCTGTAATAACATACACACCATGGGTGTGATTAGGGTTGTGGCGTTTCACTGGGAAATGAGTGGTAAAATGCGAGCGCATGAAGGTTTTCTTTCTAGCAGTCGACAGCTTCCGTGACAGGTGGGGAAGTTCTCAAGCAATTGCTCTACTATCAGACACAGCCAGTGTGAGCTCTGAAACAAAAGTGCTCATCCAGTGTGCAGCTTCAGTCAAGCATTTTAATTTGCTGCCTATTAAATCCTCAGTTTTCTTTTTGTGTTCCATATGTGCTTTTCTGTAGCTCAGGAGTAGACAACTGAGAGTGTGTATCACACATACATCACATTGACGTGGCAACATTTAGCAAAACTTGTCTGTTTTAGAACTAGAATTAAACATAATCATCTTCAATATTTTGGAAATAAGCTCACTGCCATACCAGAAATACTGTCAATGCATCTGTTGTTCCTTCTAGAAGACACAGTCTGTCCAGCACAAAGTTACTCAGTCCTCAGATGTCTGGAGAGGAGGAGGATTCTGACTTGGCAGCCAAACTTGGAATGTGCAATAGAGAAATAGTGCGAAGAGGGGCTCTCATTCTCTTCTGCGATTATGTCGTAAGTTTGGGTGCTTGCAGAGGGGGCAGGGGTGGCAGAGACCACGGGACGCCCTTCCAGATGAGGCATGTGTAGACTTTCTGGAGACAAGAGTACCCGCCACCCCACCAGCTCCATCAGAACTAAGTGGAGCACCGTTTAATCCTGCTCTGACGTGTAGTCAGAGACTAGGTGTGGCCCTCCAGTCACTGGGTTCTAGGTTGGCCTGTAAAAGGTCTCACTCAGCTATGCCTCCTTCCATGGATGCCAGGTAGCTGGCCTGTGCCATACCTGATGCTGGGCAAAAAACAAGCTAAATGCATTGACTATAATGGGATTCTGATTTTAACATTTAAAGAAAATTAATCTGTAGAAAAGGTGCTAGATATTTATTGCTGCATTTTAAAATAGATTCCTGTTTGACTGCCATTCTTTTTAAAAAATAACTTTTGTGGAGTTTTCAACCATTAAACTAGCATCACATGTTTACCATGGAGAATTTACAAAAACTTAAGTAAGTAAACGGAATAAAATAAAATCTCCTGTGATAATACCACTCAAAGGTAACTTGTTCTGTTACGTCTTGGTCTTGGTTTAACACTTTCTCTATACCTATATAAAGACATATTTATTTCTTTGTTATAAGCGTCATAACTTATACATGTTGCGGCCACAAAGCAGAGCAGTGTTAAACACTCTGAACCAGAAAAGGAAGTAGGCTTCTTCAATCGAACTAGATATTATGATAGAGATTTTTTGTGGTGATAGCAATTTATTTATATTCACTTTTTGCTTTTCATTCTCGATATTGAAATATTTTTATTTTGTTCTACTTTTAAGAAATAAATTGATATAACTATATAATACTGTTTCTCATAGAAATATGAGAGATTAATTTTATAAGTTAATACCGTTGCAAGATCCCAAATAAAAATTAATAATTAACGAGATGTGGAGGAATTGATCCCATTTTACAGTTTCTGCCTCGAGGGATTATGAATTAAGATGAAAAGGCTACACACATATTAAAAAATGGGTATTTCTTATTTTCATATAAATCTTAAGTGTAATTTCTTCACTTAGGATCCATTTACTGTGTGGGATTCATTTATATTTTGGATTCAGGAATTCTGTCAAAACTGTTGCAGTTTTTTTTTCCAATGAACTGTTAAAAAAGTGGAGAAACAGTAACTGGAGAACAGCCCTCGCTGGGCCAGCCTGAAGCCTGGGAGGGAGCAGAAGATGCTGTGGACGGGAGTGTCCCTTGCTGCTGTGCCTTCTGGTGCTTGGGCCAGTCGCTTGTGAGGGCGCTGCCATGCTGCCCGTACTGCCCATGCTTCCCATGTGCCACACTGGGGCCTGTGGGCAGGCTGCCCCTCAACTCCGCCATCAAAAGGAGCCCAAACTCCTCCCTTCCTCCGACCTTTGGCCATTTGCTGGTGTCTGGGGGCTGGACACTACCTTTCCATTGGGGTCTGACTTGGCACAGCCTCTGCCACAGTGTGCGGTTGAAAGTGTTGGGGGCTGTGCACTGAGTTTCCTGCCTCCTCTGTTGTTTGTGTTCAGACACTGTATGTTTTCAGTGAGGCTCATAGTTGGAATTTGTTTCTCCCTTCCGACTCCTTCTGGCCTTTCCTATGGCGATAATATCGGTTTTATTCTTGTTGTCTTGAAAAATCAGTCTTTCACTGTATTTTTCCTCAGTGTCAGAACCTCCATGACTCGGAGCACTTAACGTGGCTCGTAGTGAACCACATTCAAGATCTGATCTGTCTGTCCCACGAGCCCCCGGTGCAGGACTTCATTAGTGCTGTTCATCGGAATTCTGCTGCTAGTGGCCTCTTCATCCAGGCAATCCAGTCTCGTTGTGAAAATCTCTCCACAGTAAGTCTTCGCACTGCTACTTATGACTAGTCAGTTTTTTCTGCCTTAAAAATGGAGTATTGGAGTTCTTTAAGTGCTAATTTCAGTTGGCCAAATAATCAGGTCTTGTTTCTTTTCTTCTCTCCAACGTTAGCCCACCACTCTGAAGAAGACTCTCCAGTGCTTGGAAGGCATCCACCTCAGCCAGTCAGGTGCTGTGCTCACGTTGTATGTGGACAGGCTTCTGTGCACGCCCTTCCGTGTGCTGGCTCGCATGGTGGACACCCTCGCCTGTCGCCGGGTAGAAATGCTTTTGGCTGCAAATTTACAGGTACTGAACGAAATACTGATATTGATTGATACTGAAAACTTAGTAGGGCAAGCAAATCAATTGGCCAGGTTTTTTTCTCCATAGGCATGGTCTTCATGTGACCACTGATAGAAACAGGCATCACATGTACAGACTTGTCATTCCTTGTATGTCTAACGATTTCTTGTACTTTCTTCTAGTCTGCCCTTGCCACGATAAGCTATACGCTTCAGTTGTTCCTTTTAAAATGAGTGTGAGGTTATTGTGGTTTGTTATATGTTATAAACCTGCTGATGGGTTCTTGTCTATTTAGAGCAGCACGGCCCAGTTGCCAGTGGAAGAACTAAACAGAATCCAGGAATACCTTCAGAGCAGCGGGCTCGCTCAGAGGTAATGGCTTGAAACACAGGGGCCCTTGTGTTAGGATACCCCATGATATGAAGACTTAGCTTTGAATGGGCATAAATTCACAGGATGAGAAGTTGATGTGCTTTCTAGATTAGTTTACTGCAGAAGTGCCACAATAAGACATCCTAAATTTAAAGCAATCAAATCTCACCTTATAGAACTAAACAACGGGCAGTATCATTTCTCACACAGAAGTGGAGGTGTGCTTGCACTTCTGTTGGCTATGTGAGAGGTGGCAGGCGTTTGTATTGTCTCTGCTCATGGCCCTAGGGTGAATGGGAATGTGAGTCATCAGCTGTATCTTAGCAGGGTCAAAGAGCATAATCTGATTGCTAAAGAAGAGATGTTTCCCAGTTCTTGGCATGTAAGAATTATATCTGCATCTTGTTAAAATTCTATCTCTTCATAACTATTTAATCACCAAATTTTGTTTGCAAAGTCTTTTAGAAGCCCTCATCAGAAATCTTTACATCTATTATGTGAGTATATTTCCATGACTGCAAAATAAAGAGAAGCTTTTACCCTTTTTCCTCCGTGGGGTTGGGGGTGGGGTGAGAGTGGTGGGAGGACTGTGAGAAAGAGAAAGAATATAATTATTATACTGTGATTTCAATCTTAAGAGTACCTTGTTGATGATGTCTTTAAATGGGTGAAGCACAGTTTGGTGGGCAGTACGCAGTTTGGGGTGATTTTTCAGTCTGTAGGGCCAAGTTATGTTGTAACTTGCATTATGAAGTTGTCACCCTCATAGTGGATGGTGGGAGATCGAACTATTACTGTTTTTTGACCTTTGATTTAGTCTTTAGCCCAGATGAGGTAAATTATAAAAGATTATGTCTTGTGCCAGATGAGGCAAGTATTTTATGAAATGACCATAAATTAGTATACATTGTATCTTATTCAGAGATTAAATAGGATAGTTTGTGCACTTGGATCTTAGAATAGATGATCTATTTTGCATTCATTTATTAAAAATGCCTTTTTAGCTTTTAGATCATGTATTGCCTGTTGCAATGTTTGATTGTAAATGAAATTTCTGAAAAATATCAATGGGGTATAAACTGTGATAATTAAAAGTAAACTCAGGCCTGAATTTGTATCGTGACCTGTTTGAGTGTTGATGAGAAATAGCTTTGAAGAAGAAGTTTTAGGGCCAGCCCGGTGGTGCACTGCTACAGTGCGCCGCTTGGGAGTGCGGCGGCGCTCCCGCCGAGGGTTCGGATCCCACATACAGACCGGTTCCCACTCACTGGCTGAGCGAGGTGTGGGCGCAACACCGAGGGTTGCGATCCCGTTGCCGGTCCGGTCCGGTACGGGTGCGACACTGAGTGTTGTGATCCATTGCCGGACACGAAAAAAGACAAAAAGGAAAAAAAAAAAAAAGAAGAAGTTTTAAATAAGTGCATCTTGCTTTAAGAGGCCACTAATATTCCTTCCTTATATTGTACATTTCCAGAACCCTAGTTTGCAAAGTTGAGACTAAGCCTAAAAGAAATAAATCGTGCTGTAATTTCATCTGTGTTTGTATTGCAGACACCAAAGGCTCTATTCCCTGCTGGACAGGTTTCGTCTCTCTGCTGTGCAAGACTCACTCAGCCCCTCCCCTCCGGTCACTTCTCACCCGCTGGATGGGGACAGGCACATGTCCCTGGAAACAATGAGTCCAGACAAAGTAAGTGTGCAGCATGTTGTGTGTGATGCACAGGGCACTGCACAGCCCTGTCCGCCTGTAGCAAATGCAGTGTGCAGGGGAAGCTCTGCAGAAACTGGGTGTTCTGACGTCTGACCCAGGCCATTAGCAGCTCTGGTTGGGGTGTGGGGTGGAGACATGGGGGGCCGTGAAAGGTGCTGGTGGGAAAGGCACTGCTGACGAGACTCTTTGCAGGAGTGTGGAATCAGGTGGTCAGTGGGTGGATGAGGGCGAGGCCAGCTGCAGGGTGGGCTCACGGTTGCGTGGGCCGCTGCCTCTCCTGCTCCTCTGGCCTCCTGCCAGTCAATGTCACCAATGCCAGCGGCGACGGCACCACTCCCACCCCAGAGTTTGGGACCATCTAGAGCCTTAGTAGAGCATTGGTATGCTACTTTCCTGGAAAGAGTTCAGTTTAAATGTGAACTTAGATTTCAAAAACCAGCAGCCAGGTACAGGAAGGCAAAGGTTCTGTCCTGTATTCGCAAGCTGTGTTTGTTAAGCACCTCCTCTACCCTGGCTGCTAGGGAGGGGTGTGCAAGCAGCCCCCCAGTAGGTGCAATGTCAAGAGGGGAGAAGCTGAGGGAACAGGGAGAAGGGGCTGCTGGCCCTTAGTACCTTAGGTGAGTTTGGAAGGACTATTGGAAATCCACCATGTGAAGGGGGAGAAGGAGGGGCATCCAGGCAGGTAACAACAAGTCCAAAGGAAAGCCCTGTCTGAGCTACAAGTCCAGAGCATGCCAGAGCCCACATTGCCAGCCAAAGCCCAGTGTTGCCAAGCACAGTTGTAGTTGGGGGATGAAGTCCCTTGAACGCTGCCCAGTTCCATTCCCCTTATCTGCCCTTCTCTTCTTTTCAGGATTGGTACATTCGTGTTGTCAGATCCCAGTGTTGGACCAGGTCAGATTCTGCACTGCTGGAAGGTGCAGAGCTGGTGAATCGGATCCCTGCCGAAGACATGAGTGCCTTCATGATGAACTCGGTACGGGGGCAGCGGGAGGCCAGGGGATCCCAAGCTTTCACTGTTGCTTCCACGTTGGATTTATTTCATCATCATGTGACAGCACGGGTTGGGGGACTCTAATCAAGACGGCAACAGCACCTTATTTCAGCCACGTTAGAATTCAAAAGGAGGCAAGTTGTTTTTAACTCAGTCTTCCATGCATTTAAAGAAAATGTGGGTGTTAAATTACAGTTATTAATTGTTTGTTCTCATGATAATGAGGAAAGGTATTAGATTGGTGTCTGTTTTAATTTAGGATCTTTAAGATGGAAAGTACCCCTGCAATGATTAGGACACACAAGATAGAAATAAAGGTTTTTATTACTTATAGGTCCTGGGGGGTACACGGCACACTCAGAGGAGACATACACACACAAAGTTCAGGGAGCCCCAGGGGGAATGGAGCATGGACCAGGGTGCTTGCCTTTACAAGCCTGGGGTCCAGGGTGGAGAAGACAGGCGTCAGTGGAGCTGGGTATCCACTGGGGAGTTTAAAGCAATCAGGTGTGGAATCTGAAACAAACTGATGCAGACCCTTTCCCTGGAGCAGGTGTTATCTGCTCGAGGGAAAAATCCAGCTAGCCCCAAAGCGGGAAGTATGGTTTGGGGCCAGAGCTATCTTTTCTCAACCACAGGAAAGGAAACGGAAACTAATCATCTAAGCTAGATGGCCAAACACAGAATGGACACCAAGGCAGTGCGTTTGCCATAGGCTTGAACACAATGTCGTGAGCAGGGTTTATGTACCTTGTTCATGGTGTTCTGGAAAGTGATCTTTAGTAGTAGAGTAGCCCCCTGCTATAGTGAGGGCCCCCGCTCCCCACTAGGTATAGTGAGGTTCCCTTTCCCCATTCCCCCCCCACTAGGTGTAGTGAGGTTCTCCCTGCCCCCAGATGTCAGAGGGCACACCGTGCTGAGCTGGCCTGGGAAGCCTTGCAGAGCATTGGTTTCCCTGTCCTCCACTCTTCAGTGGGTCCTGTGAGGAGTGGAGGCCACTCACTTAGGAATGGTTCAGCCACCAGGATAAGGAGCTCACTGAACCTTTTGGTGGCATAGCTCTGACTTGAGCCTTACCAAATGGGAATGAGGAAGTGGGCCCCTGGGAAAGGGATGGCTTGGGGTGGGGCAGGGAAGCAAGTGATTCAAAGAATGGGGACTAGGCGATCATGTAAAGGGACTCTGGAGTAAGGCAACACAGCAGTACATTCTCAAGCACGAATTATTGGTTAGTTTGAAAATAAGAACTGCACTGAAAAAAACCAGGAGAATTGGTCCAAAATTAGTTTGCTAAAGTTAAGTTCATCTTAAGACTCATACAATGAAAACTGATTGAATGAATGATAAATTTGCTCAGTGACCAATTCGTTGGATTTTCCAAGTTCCAAGTTCACTAATTGAGCTCTTAATAGCTTTAATGGTCTGGATGTGATGGGAAGGTTCATTTTTAGACACTGACTATGAAATATGCTTTCCTGAATAATAAGCTAAGATTTGTGCTCTACCTGAAAAATTGGCCTCCCAAAAAATCCTTAAGTGACTGAAAAAAGTTGGCAAAACACATAGTACAAATTGTCATATGAAATGCCATTTTTTCCAACCAAAATTTAGCATTTATGTGGCTACTTTGACTTATCACAGATGCTTCTGAATATCTTTTCAAACTTTAGGAATGTTAGGTGTTTCACTGATTTCTCAGATGACCCATTAGTTCTGATTTTCTATTTTTATCTATTAAAATTTTGCCTAATAAGGTTTTTATTTTTATTTTATTTTATTTTATTTTTTGTCCTTTTTTTGAGACCGGCCGCACCGCGTTCAGCCAGTGAGTGCTGTGAGCGCACCGGTCATCCCTATATAGGATCCGAACCCGCGGCGGGAGCGCTGCTGCGTTCCCAGCGCTGCACTCTCCCGAGTGCACCACAGGCTCGGCCCTAAGATTTTTATTTTAACCAAATCCAAGAGCATAAAATAATAAAAATATTACTTTAAAATTAAAGTACGTCCAAAAACCAGAAATATATTTTACTGAGCATATGTTAAATGGAATTATTCATATATTTATAGAGACATAGAATAGAATATTTTTTAAAAATATTCTTTATGGTGTATAGTAGTCCCCACTCCTTATTCGTGGGTTCGCTTTCCACATTCTCAGTTACCTGCGATTAATCGTGGTCTGAAAACAGATAAGTGAAGTACAATAAATTATTTTGAGAGAGAGAGAGAGACCATTTTCACATAACTTTTATTACAGTATGTTGTTATAACTGTTGTATTTTGTTATTAGTTGTTAATCTCTTACTATATCTGCTTTATAAATTAAACTTCGTCATAAGTATGTATATGGGAAACACAGTATATACAGGGTTTGGTACCATCTGTGGTTTCAGGTATCTGTGGGGGGTCTTGGAGCATATCCCCAAGCATAATGGGCTGCTGTATTAATCTGTAGTGTCTCAGGAATGTTGGCATTGTCCTTCCTCTGTTGTGTTCTTTCCTGTTTCAAAGCTCATTATCTTTGTTGTTGTTGACTCAACCTTTGATGCTCTGATTTCAGGAGTTCAACCTAAGCTTATTAGCTCCATGCTTAAGCCTGGGCATGAGTGAAATTTCTGGTGGCCACAAGAGTCCTCTTTTTGAAGCAGCCCGTGGGGTGACTCTAGACCGTGTGAGCAGCATTGTTCAACAGCTTCCTGCTGTCCACCAGGTCTTCCAGCCCTTCCTGCCCACAGAGCCCACAGCCTACTGGAGCAAGCTGAATGATCTATTTGGTAATTCAAATGAAAAGTTGTCTTATTTTTAAAAAGCATTGCAAGGCCAGTACAATATTTTGCACCAAGTAACTGTACAACAAACGCTGTTTAATACATTGCAAGAATTTGCAAAGGCACCTGAGAAACAGCACTGGGGTTCTTAGCTCTAGATTTTTTTGTGTGTTTGCCACTTAGCCATTCATTGACACGTCAGGCAGACAAGCCTATAAGGAAGGCTAGGCCCAACTTCAGGCCAGATGCAGGTCCAGCATGCCGTGGTGTCATGTGGTGTGTGCAGTTGTGCCTAGTTGAGGAGCAGCGTCTTGAGCTTTCATCATGTTCTCAGAATTACTTGACTGCCTTTCCAATGTAGAAGTCCTGTGTTCACAGGCACACCGCTCAATGAAGATCTCTTTCAGGGGATGCCACGTTGTATCAGTCCCTGACCACTCTGGCCCGGGCCCTGGCGCAGTATCTGGTGGTGGTCTCCAAACTGCCTGTCAGTTTGCACCTTCCTCCTGAGAAGGAGAGGGACATGGTGAAATTTGTGGTGATGACCCTCGAGGTAAGAGGCAGCTCAGAAACCTGGTGTTTCTGTGGGGAGGTGACACGTGACCAGCACTAGAGAGAGTAAAGCAGGCCTATTTGAAAACCGAGAGCTCTGGCCAGTCTGGTGTACTATTCTGCTCCATCGCAATGACAGTGCTTATCAAGTTGTCCTGGCCATCCCGCACTTTACAGAGAGCTCTCACACCTTCACCGCCCTGGCCCCAACAGTGACTTGGCAAGATGGCCCATCTTATGTACTCTACAAATGTGGTGTGGATCCTGATTTTAGACTTAAAAAATAATAATCCAGGAAGTGCGTTATGTTTTAAATTGAGCAGTAAACCTGGGCATTTCGGCCGTGAGGGATTGAATGCTTGGTTTGTGTCAGCCCCTATGATTGCCCAAGCAGTGTGTGTGTGCTACGGGCGCATTGCCTTTCCTGCAACTTCTGGTGAGTAGAGTTGGGCCTGAACTCTTACGGAGCCAGAGCTGCACTGCCCGTCGTCAGCAAAGGCACACCTGCCTGGCGCGGCACAGGCTCCGCCTGCCACCTCACACTGAGGAAACCCCGAGTGAGCGTTTGCTCTGAGCCAGGCCAGGTCACACAGTCTGTGATCTTGCCCTTGGGTTTCAGCCTAGTGGGAAGACTGGAAAGCAAACATATGATTACAGTACAGAGCTATTGCTACCAATTATATTATGCGCCTGCTGCACGTGGGATGAAATACTTTATCGTCTTGTTTGGTTCTCACAACAGCCCAGTGAGGTGGACACTGTTACTCCATCTTTCTTAGAGAGGTTCCGTGATGTGCACAGGTTCACCCAGCTGGGAAGTGGCCAGTCCAGCATTTGAACCCAAGGCCTGCCATCCCCAGAGTCACGCTCTCAAATTCCACCTCTGTGCCTGTGACAGAGGCAAGGCCTGATGCTGTGGGTGCCCTAGGGAAGAGCCTCTGTCCTGGAGGCCATGCGACCCAGGAGAGTTTTCTAGAGAAGTCCACTGAGCTGAAGGAAAAAGATGCAGCCAGAACAGGGTGGGCATTCTGGCAGAGAGGGGAGTTGGTGGGTCAGGACCGAATGGGAGGGAGCCAAGGTGGATGCCCAGGACAGCTAGGTCAGAGCCATCCTTCTGGACCTGCTGACCTCTTGATGCATTGAACAGTTCCACCCCAGCTGTGAGTCGCACTGCTTCCCTGGAGGCCCCCAATTCTGGAAGCACATATGTGGATGTTCTTCAGCACAGACTTTCCCTCCTAGGCCCTGTCATGGCATTTGATCCACGAGCAGGTCCCACTGAGCTTGGATCTCCAGGCGGGGCTAGATTGCTGCTGCCTGGCCCTGCAGCTGCCCAGCCTCTGGAGTGTGGTCTCCTGTGCAGAGTTTGTGACCCATGCCTGCTCCCTCATTCACTGCGTGCGGTTCGTGCTGGAGGCCAGTAAGTCCATGTCTGTGAATGGGTTTCTTATCCTCGGTCAGTTGAACCAGTAATCAGCAGCAAATCTGGTAAAAACATTTTTATTTTGTGCCACCTATTTGGCAGTTATGTAAGTTACGAACTGGGGTAGAGAGGTGGGTAAAATGTAGGCCTTGCTTTAGGAAGGGCCTGTCTCTGAATCTCCAGCATCTTGGAGTCTATACCAGAATTTAACTTGAACTTGCCAGCTTTCATAAAAGTACTTCTAAATTTAACGTCCATTTGATCTCTGGTCCTAGTTCCATGGATTTAGTCCTAAATGATGATAAGATAAATAAGATTCTATTCAAAAAATCATTTGTTTTAGAGTAGAAATTGTTTCTATACTGCATTATAATACTAATATATTGTAAAATAAAAGTGACTTATTCTTTTCAAGGAACAGTGTCCTCAACAAGGGTTATTTGCCAAGATTTTTAAAAAATTGAACATTACAGTTTACATGTTAGAGGGCGTTTTGAAGTTTTGTATTTTTAAATTAAACATAATAGAGTGATATTTTGATGTTTTATTATTTAAATTGTTCTCATGTGTGCATTGTAGTCAACTTGAAAACAAAAATCCAGGGATTAATTTTTAAAAGCCAAACTTCTTGAGGGTTACAGTGATGCTTTTAGTAAGAATGAATCATGAGCTGTCTGATAAACCCTTCAGGGTTAGAGATGGCAGACAGCAGACGCTGGGGGGATTTGGAAATCTGAATGTGGAAGTGTAAGTCTGCAAACATGGATGATTAACCAAGAGATTGCTACCAAGTCTAGTATGGTTTCATCCAGGTTGAGTGTCCCTTATCTAAAATGCTTGGGACCAAAAGTGTTTTGGAATTTGGATTTGTTCAGAGTTTGAAATATTTGCATTATACTTACTGGTTCGCATCCCTAATTTGAAAATCCCAAATCCAAAATGCTCCAATGAGCATTTCCTTAAGTGTCATGTCTGTGCTCAAAAAGTTTTGGATTTTGGTGCAGTTTTGATTTTTGGATTAGAGACATTCAACCTGTATTTTCTATTTGTCCAAAATTGGTTCTAGGGAATCTAGACCTCATTTGACGTCGTCTGTCACTTTGAATTTTCTTGAGGCTGCACAAGTGGACTGATACAAGTGTTTGGGAGTTATGTTTGTTCTGTTGTAATTTTAGTTGCAGTGCAGCCTGGAGACCAGCTTCTTAGTCCAGAAAGAAGGATAAATACTCGAAAGGCTGTCAGAGAGGACGAAATTGGTTCAGACACACAGAGTAAGTCCCAAGACCCATCTTTCTTACCTGGGTTTCTTCTGGGACTTGGTATTCATTTTCATTGTAAAGTGGTAACTGTGGACTCTCATAAGCTTGCTTTAACTGGGTGTCCTATCACTTATCCCTAAACTCGAGGGGGACTTTAGTCCGTTGTTTTGTGCATGCTCTTTTCTCTGCTTAACCACCCTGTGAACAGCCAGGTTGTCACACTGCTGGGAAGCCCTCCCTGATCTGCATCCTTCCCTGCAGACCGGGGTCTGCGCCTCCTCTGGAAGCTCCCACCCAGTGTCAACACTCTCCACACTGTCAGTTGCTCTGTGCTCCTTGAGGGCAGGGAACATGTTTTCCTTCTTTGTGTTCTCAGAAATTAATGGCTGGCCCGTTGTAAGTGATCAGCACACGTTTGTTGAATGGTGAGTGAGTGAATAGAAATAGCAGGGAACTTGAAGTCAGTGGAAATAGTCACATGAGTGTTTGGTGACCTGAGTGTCTAGTTCAGCCATCTCTTTTGGTAGATTTTTAAAAGAAAATTCCTGCTCTTCCTAGAGAAAAAAGAACATCCAAATCCCAGTCATTTAAACCTATTCTAGGCTTAGACACATACCATAGCTTTTCATGTCTTTTCCTCCCGATTCTAGAGTTAGGTATTTTACTATGAAAATGATGGCAAGGCCGGTCGGGAGGAGGACTTTTTGGCCAGTGGACTAACTCCTTGTCCTCACAGGGCCTCCAGGCTTCTGGGGCCATTTCAGCTCCTTCACTCCAGGGTCTGGCTGGGAATGTCACCTGCAGCCTGTCCCAAAAGGTGGGAAGATATGCCTCACCTGGTGGTCTTGTATGTCTTTTGTATGGAGCACTCTTACTTGGAATACCATGTGTCTTCTCCATGTTCCATGGCTCAAGAAGTAAGCCTTTTTAGCCATGAGTATGTACACACTTTGGATCAGCTGTAATGCAACCTTAGTCGTGGATGGAGCGTTCCTGTCTTTAGTCTTAAGTGTAGTATCTAGTTCAGTGTTTGAGGTTTGTACTTGCACAGTGATCCATAAGCAATGGCATTTCAGTACACAGCCAAGCTCTTCTCTAAACTTTTATCTCGAAACTCTATGGTTCTTTCAGCCCTTAGTTTGTGATTTCATGATTTCTTGTTGATAGCTGAGGAGTATGACGGCATCCATCTCTCGGCTCAGCTGTTTCCTAGCTGAATGGCAGCTCAGGTTATTTATCCTGTGCTTTTGCAGTGAGGAGAGGAAGATTACCAACCTTATAGAGCTGGTATGAGGATTACGTAAATTAATGCATGTAAAGCACCTGGAACAAATGCCAATCTTGTTATAAGAGCTCAGCAGATGCTACTATGATTTTAGTTATAATTCGAACTTTCATTGCTCTAAAATAGTTAAGACATTTCAAGGGATTGAATCAGAGTAGGCTAGCCACTGGCTGGAGCGTATTTAGTTTGGGTTAATTGTGCTCATTCTCCACGGCCCTTCTTAAAGACTGTCCAGTTGATATTATGAAAGCCAACCTGGTTTCTCTTAGCTTGGGGGTGGATTTCTTGAGTCCAGTAAGAAGTCTTTCTCTGTATTAGGAAGTTACCGAAACTGTTGAATCTTCACAGACTGAGGGTAATATCCATTCACTAAAGATTTATCAACTCAATGAAGAATTTTCTTTTACGTACTATGTGCCACACTCAAAGTGAATAAGGAGTAGTCCCTGTCCTCTAGAAGCTGAGAGGCCAGTGCCGTGGTCTTTACCTGAGGGTGTGCAGTTCTTCTCTACCTTCTCCCATGGGGGTTCCCATCAGAACCCCACCTTAGCCCCTTGAGAACCCCTGACCCAGGGGAGATGATTAACCAGGGCCACAGCATGGTCTCTGCATACTAGCTTAGGGACAAGCACCAGCTCCTGGGAGAGCCAGAGAAAGCCACAGGGCAGTGGAGGCCTGGAAGCAAGTTTGAAGCCCAGGAAGTACAAGATTGCTTTTAGCTGCATTAGCAAGCTGCTGCCAGCTGCATCATGGAGGGCAGGCGAGAGGGCCTGGGTCAGAGGCAGAAGCTCAGGTTCAAGACCTTCACGGCAGTCCTGTCAGAAACAGAGATCACGTGGTTTAGACAGACAGGAAGGAGGTCAGTCTGCAGGCTTCAGTGACCAGCTCAAAGTCTAGGTGCACCCTGGCTTGAGCGACTCTTTGTAGGGTCGTGCTTTTCCATGGGGTGGGTTTGGAGTGTGTTTTGACAAAAAGTGCTCTCCGCCATGGTTGCTTCTTCAGGTCCTAAGTATATCATCACGGCCTGCGAGATGGTGGCAGAAATGGTGGAGTCTCTGCAGTCGGTGTTGGCTTTGGGTCATAAGAGGAACAGCAGTGTGCCAGCGTTCCTCACCCCTGTGCTCAAGAACATCGTCATCAGCCTGGCCCGCTTGCCCCTTGTCAACAGCTACACACGCGTGCCCCCCCTGGTGAGTCTGGCCCCTTCTTTTGAGAAGACCAGAATAAAATGAAGTCACAGGCAAGCCTCTGGACTGACCATGTTCCAGAGGGTGAAACAGTCTCAGCTGCCCAGGTGCTTCCATGCAGTGGCTACACATCTTGTCTCCTGTGGCTATGGCCATGGGTGGCTTCCTTGGGCATATTGTGTGGTGATTTTCTAAGTTGAGGTGAAGTGTTATATCACTAGGTAAAATTTCATCTTCCATAATAGATTAATGTTAGATGTGATTCTGAAGTAATCCAACTAATTTCTTTAGTGGCAGACCAGAAATTACACCTGCTCAAGTGAGTATTTCTTCTAAAGGTGGTTGCCCTTGGAGATTATTCGTGCATTTTGGCAAAACCACTTTTGCAATTCCTCTTTTAAAATTGTCTTCAGAATCAGTTTAGAATAGGCATGATTGGGCTGGCCTGTTACTCATTTGGTTAGAGGGCAGCCTTATAACAATGAGGTCACAGGTTCGGATCCTGGTACCAGCCAGCCACAAAAACAGTGCTGCTGCTACTGCTACTACTAATAGGCATTATTGATGAGAACTCTTGTTTCAGGTAATAGAATCAGTAGGTAAAGGTTAGCCAGAACAGAGAAAGGTCCCGAGGGAAGGGGCTTGTTTCTGCCTGGAGAGGGCTTATGCCTGCCACCTGGCACGACCTCCCTGTGTGTGTGCATGTGTTCATGTGGGAGATTTTGGGGAAGCTTGCATTGAGGAAGTAGTGGTTTGACCCTGCAGGATGAGGAGGGTTTTGCTGTGGAGGCTGAAATTATTCCAGATGGAGGGCCCATTCCAAGGAAGAGCCCAGCAGGCTGACAGTGCAAGCACAGGTAGTTGCTGGTGTTTCTGGGAAGAGGAGGAGCCTCTGGAGAAGCTGCCCGTTGTGATCGTGCAGGACTTGCTCTCAGCCCCTTCTCTGCACACAAGGAGTCCCTGGTTCTGAGTATGTGGTTCTGAGACTCTGACTGCTCCTTTGGAAGCGCATGGGGAGAAGATGCAGGAAGGCACAATCTAGAGGTCACGTTGTCTGGAGCACACTCCAAGGATATGCCAGCATGGGCTGCTTGCTGTAGATGGCACTCCAGCAAGGGCTGTTAATTTACACCAGGGAGTGCCCTGAAGTGCCCTCATCTGGAAGGTGGCTGTGACAGGCACCACATAGCCTCCCTCTGGAAGTGCACAGAGATTTTTGTGGGTAGCCTAAGAGATTTAAAGAGGGTCTCCTGTGGTGAAGTGAGAGATCGGCTGGCCGTTATCAAAGGCCTCTCTGCCCTCACACAAACCCATAGCTGGCTACAGGAATCCAGAACAGGGCTCTTGGCTTGGGCTCCATTGGGTCCTCTGTCGCTGAGCTCGCTGGGTGGTCTGCTGATCTTGCTACTGGAATAGTGTCAGGTCTGCCTCCGGGCATCCTTCTGTCCATGGTGTTTGTTGGAGCACTTCACAGACAGAGCGCTTGACTTCTTGGAATTTACAGAAGTGGTAGTGTGGTTCTTTTTCTGGCCTGCTTGCCAGTACGCTCTTCTGTGTGAGACTGAACGTCGCTGACATTTGTCTGTACTCTGACATGCCACCTGTTACTTGTAGACGAGAGTGCAGTCTGTGCTCCTCTGCCTCTACCGGCAGTTCCATGGAGAACCTGATGGTCACAGACAGCGGGCCTCAGCCTGGGGGAAAGGTGGTGGGCCTGGCCCAGAGGACAAGATGAGGCTGGAGAGCAGGGGGAGGAGGAGATTTGGGAGGTGCACTGATGGGGAAGAAGTCCAGGGCGAAGGACTCTGAGCTGCTTTCGGGAAGGAGCGCACTGGCTCTTGGCGGGTCTGTGGGAGTGGGAAGGGGCAGCTGGCCCGGCCTGGCTGGGAGGAGAGGTGTTGCTTGGCTTCTGCACAGTGTGGCTGTCTTGACTGTAGGGGATTACGTTATTTCTTTTTCATCTTCTTAGGTGTGGAAACTCGGATGGTCACCTAAACCAGGTGGTGATTTTGGCACAGTGTTCCCCGAGATCCCTGTGGAGTTCCTCCAGGAAAAGGAAGTCTTTAAGGAGTTCATCTACCGCATCAACACACTAGGTATTCCCATGACTTCTTCAGCATTATCAGACGGTCATCCAATATCTGCCGTGGGAGACCCAAAGCTCCAGCATTGGGATCTTCTCATTTTATTCCAAGAAAGATTTAGGGATGGTAACCATATAAACCTGTGTGAATACATTTTGCAAACTCTGTATTACAGTGAGAAATTAGATCCAAGTTTGTGTGTGTGTGTGTGTATTTAATCCCAGGTCTTTGTATACCAGGCTTGTTTGAAGTCAGGAGAGGTATACATGTAATTGATAACAGGAAGCTGAATTCTGTCTTCAAGTTATGCACTTGAGCTAAATAGCAGGAGGGATTTTCTCCAAGTACTTTCTTGTGTTCACCAGCTGATCCTGCTGTCTTGTCACTGAAAGAGCAGAGCAAGGAAGGTGGTGGCCTCAGTCTCCTGGTACTGACCTTCCCGGGAGCCAGGACAGTGGTGTGCATAAAAAGTAGACTTGGGAGTCGGACAGCGCTGGGCCCTGCTACTAACCCCTTAGTTGTGTGCTGCGAGGCAGGTCATTTTACCCTCTAGGACCCTCAGTTTTGTCGTCCGTAAAACAGGGATCATGACTATTTCATGAGAATAGTTGCTCGTTTAGAAATTAAAGTATGTCAATAAATGGTAGCATTAGTAGGCTTCCTGTCAGGATTCTTCTCTGCCTTCTCAAGAACAGTGTAAGATGCTTTGTTTTGTCCATGTTTTATGGCCGGAGGCATGTTCTGGTGGTGGGGTTGTCACCAGTAAATCTTGAGTGGCTGAACCCTGCTGTGGCATTTCGTAAAAAGTTCGTCTCATCCTGGGAAATCCTTGGTGGGCTGTCTGATTCCACCGTTGGGTCCACCCACAGTCCCTTGGGCTTCTGCAGATTTTGTGCTTATTTTGGTCCCAGAAGGTTCTGGCAGCAGACACCGTTTGCCTGTACCTTCCTCTTTAGTCAACTAGGCATTTCATTTTCCTGTCCGAAATGAAGTTGTGTAGGTGTCTGACGCCAGCTACCTCAGGAAGCTTTTCCTCTTTCCTCTCCTTGAAGGCTGGTATCAGGCAGCCTCCCAGTCTCTTCCGCTGCCCAGTTCTGGCTCCTTTTCTCACTTAGGTCTCCTCGTTCTCGATCGGTCAGCCAGACCTGCTGACCCGTGACAGTGCCACGTCTTTTTCTGATATTTGCGCTTGCGCTTGCCCCTTCTTCTTGTTCATCTTTTTCTTCTTTCCGTGTGCGAACTGTCACGTGTGCCTGTCTGTATCTATATCTATCCTTATCTAATCAGTCAGTCTCTCTTTCTATATCCAGTTTACCAAGGAGGTCCTGACATTTGGTGCTTTAGTTTTCCTGTCCTCCACACCCCCCATCTTGTCACTTGTGACCTTAACACGAGTGGCGTGGCCTCTACCTCCCAGGTCATTAATGGGGACGTTAGGCGCAGGCCTCAGAAACAACTGGTGATGGAATTCCACTTTGAATGTAGGTCATGGATGGCCATACTTGAGAAGGGCCCGTAGATATGCTGCCCCTGAGTCTCGAGTGTTCTGCCCAGCTTACGTTCTCTGTAGAGCTGTTCTTCTAGACAGGGTCAGAGGAACCATTGCTTTAACTTTCTAGTTTTTAAGCTCTATTGAGATAGAATTCACACGCCACACAAATTGCCTGCTTAGAGAGCACAGGTCACAGAGTTGTACAGCCATCGGCCTCACCACTGTTTTGACTTCAGGAGACTTCTGAGCTGCCTTCTGAGCAGGACAGAAGTGGCTCTGATCCCACTCAAGTGCAGCCCATGTGGACAGCCTTTCAGTGTCACTATGTCCACACAGCTGGCCTGTGCCACTGACTTGTCATATAGCTTTGGACAGTGGAGCTGACTTCTTTGCTTCAGTTTCCTGGTTGATAAAATGGAGAGAGTAGTGCTCCCTACCATCATAGAATTGTTGTGAGGATTGAAGAAGTTGCTGTAAGTGGCACCCTGGGAGCATTGCCTGTTCCACGGTCAGTGCTGTAGCAGTGTAACCATCAACACTGTGCTGACAAGTTTGAGAAGTGGGTGGAACTGTTTAACCTAACATTTGCATTTCTAGGGTGGACCAGTCGTACCCAGTTTGAAGAAACTTGGGCCACCCTCCTTGGTGTGCTGGTGACGCAGCCCCTTGTGATGGAGCAGGAGGAGAGCCCACCGGAGGTGAGGCCACACACCACCATGACTTTGCTGACCGCCCCAAGGGGGTCGTGGCATTGTGTGTATCTTCGGTGGTGGGCACGAGGAAGGCAGGAAGCTGGTGTTTTTCTGTCTTACTTTATTTTTAAATGAGTAGCCAGATCATGTCTTGGCTTATGTTCCAGAGCAAGGACAGATCTCCCCTAAAAATCTGTCCCGTGGGACCTACAGCTGGAATGCATTTCATTATGGTACAGTCCACATAAAGGACCAGTTAGATAGTATCCTTTCTTGAAAGTATCTTCAAGTTCTGTTTAGTTATCAATATTCAGAGAGTGTGGATTGAATTAAAATGAAAAGGCACTTTATGAAGACCATGTGTATGTACCTACTTTCATTTTTTAAAGTGTTTTGCAGAGATTTTATTAGGCTTCTTGAAGTGTTAATGATATTGTGTTAGTATGATATTGATAACAACCATGTTCAGGTAAAGCATAGCCTGAGGTGTTAGAAGTCAGGGACCTGGACCCTTAGCTCTGATGGAAGGTGTGGTGTACACTTGCAGAAATGCTGGTTCAAAGGGTGGACACATGTCGTAAGTCATGAAGGTTGTCTTTAAGTTCATCCGTAGAAGCTAGCAGGTTGTCGTATGCAGTACCCCTAAAATTAGTGAGAGGATTTAAAGACAGCTTCTTAAAAAGTAATTTGTATTTTGGAGTTTGGGGAGACCTTGCTTTGAAAAGTAGACAGTTGCCCGTCAGATCTGTTTCAGGGCCTATGCCGTGGTATACGCAGGCAGCCAGAAGACCCTGACTGCGGGAAGCCACATCCATCCCTGGCACTCAGGCTCCACTTTCTCCCTGCAGGGCCATGTGGCCTATGGGTTCTACCTACCAAGTGGAGGCGGAGTTGGCTGTTGGTGTCTCACTGTTCGTGTTGTTAACGTGTAGGCTGTCCTTCCAGGAAGACACGGAGAGGACCCAGATCAACGTCCTGGCTGTGCAGGCTATCACTTCCCTGGTGCTCAGTGCAATGACTGTGCCCGTTGCCGGCAACCCAGCTGTGAGCTGCTTGGAGCAGCAGCCCCGGAACAAGCCCCTGAAAGCTCTTGATACCAGGTTTGCTTGAGTTCCTGTGTGTCTCCAGGGCATGGCCAGTGCTGGGGACAGTGAGGTGACCCCCACCCCACCCAGTGACCAGCAGCTTCACCCAGGCCCTTTCCTTTGTTGCCAGAATTGAAAACAAATACACTGTGCACGTAGCTTGCCACAGAGGTGCAGATCAAAAAGTGGTCTTATGGCCAGTGACAAGTTGAAAATGCAGCATGAAAATACCTGAGGTCATTGAGTGTTTAGGGGCAGACTCCAGCAGAGCAAGAGTGAGCAGGCTCATAGGACGCCCGCCTCAGGGTCCTCAGACAGGAGACCACTCTCAAAGTGAGTTTCCTTTAGGCAAAGCAGGAGGGAAGTCCTGGGGTTTGTCACTTGTAAGATTTTGAAGGAACCAAAACGGTCTTTACCTTTGTTCTGAATTTTAGGATTGGGAGGAAGCTGAGCATTATCAGAGGGATTGTGGAGCAGGAGATCCAAGCAATGGTTTCAAAGAGAGAGAATATCACCACCCATCACTTATACCAGGCGTGGGATCCTGTGCCCTCTCTGTCTCCGGCTACTACAGGTACCTGGGGGAAGGAGGCTGTTGAACTTGGGGTAGAATGAGAATATGACCAGCAAACTCACCCCCTGTGAGACAGGCAGGCCTGGATTATGTGGGGAGGCTGCGGTCCCACATACACTGCCCTAGTTCATAGGTGGGAGTCTCATTCAGGCCTGGGAAAATTGTACAGTCTTGAGGAAGTAAAACTGGAAATGTACTAGAAACACTGTGTCTTGCACCAGGCAAGTTGTGGGAAACGAAAGCGTTCTCAGAAACTGAAAGATGGACAGCCTACGCAGGATTTAAAGGCCAAATTAGCTACTCACATTGAAAAATCAACAGTTTATCTGAGCAATCTGAATCTCCAGCTTCTCATAAGAAAGCCGATGTGGCGGGAGCACAGTGCCTTCTCTGACAGCCCCGTGGGGCTGGGGCACACCTGTGTCTGTGCTCCCTACTCCCCACACCTGCCCTCTCTGGGGGCTGCTCAGAGCACATACCCTATTAGTGCCTGCTCCACAACAGGAGGCACTGGAGTTTGTCACCCTAGGGTAAAGAAGGGAGTTTTGTGGATTTTCTTAAAAATGCACATCTTTTGTTTTGCAAATAGTATTAGCATAAAGCTGTGGTTCCCTAGTTTTAGGAGTTGTTAGATGCTGTAAGTTTTAGTACCTCAAAGGCATCACTTGGAAAAGGTTCTACGTGGAAGTGCAGTGAGTTGTGTGCCCCCAGATGTTTATGGGGTTTTGAATTAATGAAAAATGGTGTAACCGTCACAGAAGACAGAAGGGAGAGGTTCCTGGGAGATGTACAGACAAATGGCCTGGGAGCTCCGATTAGAACAGACACTTCCAGGGAGAGAGGTGGGAAAGGCTCTTGGGGCGGGTGGGTCAGTGCTCAATCTGGGGAGGGTTAGCTAGGGGCATCCGACCAGGTTGTTGGTGGCCGGGAGATGGGGGTGCCAGGAGAGGAGGTCTTCTGGTATGTGGAATGGGGGGCATGAAAGGAGTGTTGAGTGGGGGCATCGTCCTATACCCTGCCCCTGCTGGGAGTCCCCAGACAACCTGGGTACTGAGGCATAGTTCCGGAAGGTACTGTTCCCCCCAAAGTGGTTGCCGGGGGCCTCACAGAAAGCTTGCTGCTCGGACTGTCGCCTCGCCTGCAGCCGCTGGTTCTGTTAAGCTTTTGTACCTTAGCCTACAACCAGTTCCATTCAGAGTCGGAAACTGAGGGGTGGTAGATGAGTGCTGCAGTCGTGTCTGCTACAGGGAAAGAGTGATAGTCCATCTGCCCACCAGTCCTGCCAGCTTAATGGGTTACGAAGTTTCAAAGAAAACCCCCAAGAACATGGGGCCCTGCACACCCTGGGCATCCTGCCAGTGGTGAGGGCATGCAGCTGGGGCAGTGGTGGGCTGCCCCGCACCGTGCTCACGCTCTCGTTGCTTTGCAGGCGCCCTTATCAGCCATGAGAAGCTGCTGCTGCAGATCAACCCTGAGCGCGAGCTGGGGAACATGAGCTACAAGCTGGGCCAGGTCAGTCCCGCCAGCGCCACGTCCCCTCCGTAGTCTTTGTTGTCTCTCCTCACACTTCAGCCACTTAATCTGGGAGAAACAAAAAATTTTTTTTTTTCTTTTTATCTTTTTTTGTGACCGGCAACGGATCGCAACCCTCAGTGTCGCGCCCGTACCGGACCGGGACCGGCAACAGGATCGCAACCCTCGGTGTTGCGCCCGCACCTCGCTCAGCCAGTGAGCGGCCGGTCTGTATATGGGATCCGAACCCTTGGCGGGAGCGCCGCCGTGCTCCCAAGCGGCGCACTGTAGCAGTGCGCCACCGGGCTGGCCCTTGAGCTCATTTTTTGAACGAAAGGAAGTTTTGCTTTTGTTTTGGTTTATAGCCTTTATTCCAAAAAGGTTTAAAATATTCCATATATGACGTTACAGATTGAGTTGGAATTAGGAAAGGATTGCAGGACGCAGAGAGATGGGTTGAGGATGTAGCATGGAGCCAGGTGAGAGCAGCTCAGGCGGGAATGGACACTGGAAAGGGCCCCGCTCTAATGGCCACAGATTTGGCCGCGGCACCCCAGCTTCTGGCTCAGAGAGATGCGGTGACACAGCTTTCAGTGTACAGATGGACAGCATGACCCCTTACTGGGCTGGTCATAATGTTTGGAAACACTTGTTAGTTCTGAGGATTTCCACTTCATAGCTCCCGGCCCATAGCCTACACAGCAGAGCCCTCTGGACATCTTGCTGCTGGCCCTGTCCCCTGCTCTCTGCCTGCATGGCACTCCTCTGGTCCCCTCGGTGCCTGTCCCTGTCCCCTGCTCTCTGCCTTCATGTCACTCCTCTGGTCCCCTCAGTGCCTCTTGGCTTCAGGGAGCAAGGAGCTTGGGCTTTTCTGACTTAGGTGGAATGAGGCTGCAGACAAACCTCCGTTCTTTCACCTTTGCAGAGGTTCTTTCACCCCAGGATCATTGGAAGTGACCTTTAGAATCTGATGTAATTGTTATGGATCTGTGTTTCTGAAGGGCCAGCTATGAGTGGGAGGTCTGGGGGCTCGCTGGGTGCCCGTGGCCTTGTCTGGGGTCTGGTGACACTGGCTCCATGGCTGAGCTGTTTCTTCTGGCTCTGTCGCTGTTTTCCTGAGTCTTCTTCCTTCTGTGCTTGGTCCACAACCAGCCATTCGCCAGCCCAGTGGGTGGGATTACATTGGGGCTGAAATATAATTCCACCACTGCCCCATCTGGGATGTCTGTTGGCCTCCAAGTGCCACTGGTCTGAGTCCCCACTTGCTTTTGGGAGAGGGGATGGAGTCTGGGCAGGTGGAGCACAGGGGCCACTATTCCTCTGCTTGAGCAATGCTTTTACAGACTCTCGGCTTGCCTGCCCACTGCCTGCTCTGCAGGCTACTAGGGTCAGAGGGAGAAGTGGCTGTCGGTGTTAGCAGCAGGAGCTGGAGCTACTGTCACCAGTGGTGGGGAGCACACTGTGCACGGCTGCTGTGCTGAGTGCTGGAGGATTCCCAGGGAGCCAGGCAGAAGGGAGGACAAAGGCATTGTGCTGAGGGTACGGGAGCCATTTGTCCTAGAGTGTGGGAGCTCTAGGCCACCTCCCGCAGCTGGGCGCCCTCTGTGGGGACCGACCAACAGCCTCTGCTGGCTGCCTACTGCCCCCCGCTGGGCACCTCCTTCCTTCCCACTGCCATCTCCAGAGTCAGTTTATCACCTCTTGCATTCCAGGGGCTTTTTAAAGAGAATAATCCAGACAAATGGGCTTTACCACCAATGACTACCAGTGAGGGAGGACCAGATGTGAAAAGAAATCCATGTGTTGGTTCCCTGTTTTGCTGGGTCTTCATTCAGATGTCACCTAGGAGCTAAAGTGTCCCTTCCTAGAGCCTCTTCCCTCCCCCTCCTCTGCTGCTCCTGTGGGGTTGGCCGTGCCTCACTCCAGGTCTTAGCCTGAGGTTGAAGATTCGAATCTGGCCCTCTGCCCCAGCTGCTCTGTAGGGCTTCTGTGCCCCAAACTTGGGGGTCTCAACCATTTCTGCTAAGGGACAGGGTGTCCCAACAGGGAGGTGTGCTCAGTCCAGGGAGTCAGCCACACCTGCTCACACTGCAACACCTGTGCCCTCTTGCTGAGCTGGGTCCCATTTCTGTGGCAGGTGTCCATACACTCTGTGTGGCTGGGAAACAGCATCACACCTCTGCGACAGGAGGAGTGGGACGAGGAGGAGGAGGAGGAGGCCGATGTTCCCGCACCTTCATCAGCACCCACATCTCCAGTCAACTCCAGGTTTTCAGTGGGCCTTTTTTTTAAAAAAAAGCAATTTGAAATTTAGCAGTCATTTGATTTGTTTGGGGTGCTTCTTGAAATGAACCTTTCATCTTGTGTACGGGGAAAATATCCTTGTCGCATACTCTGCAGGAAACACCGGGCTGGAGTCGACATCCACTCCTGTTCACAGTTTCTGCTTGAATTGTACGCTCGCTGGATCCTGCCGTCCAGTTCGGCCAGAAGGACCCCCGTCATCCTCATCAGCGAAGTGGTTCGATCTGTGAGTTCGCCTTCCCCGCTTTCCCCTTGCACACACATGTGCCCACGCACACCACATGCACGCACGCGCCACAGAGACACACCCCGTACACACCACCCACCACCCACATCAGACCACACACACCACACAACACCACACCACATTACATGATACACAGACAGACACGACACACCACACCACACACGACACACATACCACATTACACGACACACACAGACATGATACACCACCCATACACAATACCTACCACACTATACACACTGCATGCATCCCCATACACACTCTGTACTCCCCACACAATACACACACATCACCCACACAGCACCCCACACCTACCACGCACACATCACAGACACACCCCACAGACACACACACTCATGGTTTGTAATCTCTCAGAACCTGTGATGGAACCCTTATAGATTCACAGATATAGAATGGTAAATTAGTATTTCTAAAATAGGTGAGGAGGGTCTGGTGTTTTACATGTCCAATCCATGGTAGATTGATACTCTTTTAAATATAGTTGAGGTATCGTGGAAATACACATTGCTATCAGAGTGCTGAAGGCTCACCTTCCTGTCTGTCTGCCTCCTGCAGGGCCTGTGACATGCAGTCTCACACCCGTGGACCCCACTTCTGAGAAGCACCAATTTAGAACAGGTGTTCTAGGTAATTAGGCTCAGGGTCCTTTACACTCTTCAGTTACTGAGGACCCTGAAGAGCATTTGTGTCAGTGGGCCGTAACTATCAGTATTTACAGGTTTGGAAATGAAAACTGAGAAGTTTTAAAAATAGCTACTTAATCCATTTTTAAAAATGACAATTTTTATAAAAAATAATTTTGTTGGGCCAAGCCCGTGGCGCACTCGGGAGAGTGCGGCACTGGGAGCGCAGCGACGCTCCCGCCGCGGGTTCGGATCCTATATAGGGATGGCCAGTGCGCTCACTGGCTGAGTGCCGGTCACCAAAAAGACAAAAAAAAAAAAATAATAGTAATAATTTTGTTTTACATTGAGAACAGCTTTGTTTTACATGTTTTCAAATCTCTTCAACATCTGGCTTATCAGAGTGCAGCTGGATTCTCATATCTGCTCTGCATCAGTCTGTTAATATTGTCTCACCTGTAGAAAATTCCACTCAGGAGAGGACAAGGGTGAAAAGGCAAATAACGTCTTCGTGTTATCCTGGAAACGGCTTTGACCTCATGAGCCCCTGGAAGGATCTAGGTATCCCAGCCATCCTCAGACCCCTCTGAGGACTCTGATTTAGATGATTTACTGGCTTCCAGCCTGCTTGTGGCCTCCATGGAAGGGCCACCCCAGCCTGCCAGCACAGCTCCACAGAACAGGGGCATTTGTGCCTGTCGAGATTGTTTTTAGGTGTAACGTGTGGAACTGAATGTTAGAGAAGAGAGTGCTTGGGAGACAAAGAGAACAGCTGTCAAAGCATTTATTTCTGAAATGAATAATCGCCCATTTCTCTCTTCCCGGGTGTAGGGAGGAGCTGGTATTTAGAAAAATAACAGTTGGTAGCCCTTTTCTGTGGTGAGTGTTCCCACACAGGTGGTAGCTGAGCCCCGACTTGCCCTCTGTCTGCGGCATGTGTGTGCAAAGGCATTTTTAGCAGGACACCTGGTTACCTGTTTCTCTTCACGTTATGTGTTTGCCCTGTTTTAGATTTGCAGGTTCTTGTTGATTTCTTTTCCCAGTAGGGCTCCTGTGAATCCCGTATTTTGTTTTCCCTTGGATATGGGAGCGTGCCTTGCCACCAGCAGTGTTTGGGACTGCGCTGCTGACATTCATAGCATGTAATTCTCCCCTTCCTTTCCTGATGTTCCTGTCTCCAGCTTCTGGTCGTCTCAGATTTGTTTACTGAGCGCAACCAGTTTGAGATGATGTACCTGACGCTGACAGAGCTGCGGAGGGTGCATCCTTCAGAAGACGAGATTCTTGTGCAGTACTTGGTGCCCGCCACCTGCAAGGCAGCCGCCGTCCTTGGAATGGTGAGTGAAGGGTGCAGAGGCTGCCCGTCTAAGCCACTCGGGCCCACTCTGTGCTGGGGCCTGATGTTGGTCAGAGGTGCTGGTACAGCCACCTCCTTCGAAGGCCTGTCCTGAGCTGAACTCCCACAACACCGTGAACCACAGCATCGGTCAGCTGGCAGGATCCCATTAGTGCTGGTACCATTCCACAGGTCGTTGTGATGTGTGTTGCAGTGGCCAGGCTGTGGTTTGGGGCTCCTGTACCCCTTGGTTCGGTATGTCATTACAGAGGCCATCCCCACAGGGCCGTGGTATGTGCTGGCACTAGGACAGTGTAGATGGTGGAAACGTGACTGGCTTCTCCACAGTGTGCCCTGCAGCCTGGTGGCCCCCCACACCTTCTCAGATGTGGTTCAGATACCCCTGGGCTTCTCAGTCAACACAGCCTCCCGCCTGGGGACTGTTTGTCACAGTAACCCTGCATTTCCACTCCCAAAGTCTGGATACTGTAGTCTGTTCTTGGCATCAGGGTTATTTTAGTCCATTTGGGCAGCTGTAACAAAATACCTTCGACTGGATAATTTATAAAGAACAGAAATTTATATCCCACAGTTCTGGAGGCTGGGAAGCTCAAGATCAAATTCAAGATCAAGTTCAAGATCAAATTCAGTGTCTGCTGAGAGCCCCTTTCTTGCTTCATAGACGGCGCCTTCTCACTGTGTCCTTGCGTGGTGGAAGGGGCAAACCGGCTCCCTCAGGCCTCTTTTATGAGGGCACTAATCCCATTCAGGAGGGCTTCACTGTCATGCCCTAATCACCTCCCACAGGACCCACTTGGTTAATACTTTTGCACAAGGGATTAGGTTTCAACATATGAAACGTTGGGGGACACAATACTCAGACCGTAGCTAGGTCAAGTGGTCTTCCTTCTGAGTTCCTCCTCATTCTGCTGCTGATTGCTCAGCCATTGCAGCATGGCTCCGTGACCCCAAGCCTGACTCTCACCCCCTTCCCAATGCTGCCCCTAGACCTGCCCTCTGTGAGCCAGGATGCTAGAGCAGGGATCAACCATTGTCATGGGTGGCCTTCAGCCTAGTGCCCAGTGGCGACTTAGAAGCCATCCTGAGAACAGCAACAAGGAACATGTTGGTTTTCTTAGTGCAAACACATCTTTTCAAAGTATACACCCTCTGGTGTTTCTGAGATGTTGTCAAGCAGCTGGACTTGTAAGGACTCCATTTTTCTTTGTGGGGAGTTTAGCTGCTGAGTTAATTTTAATTGTCATTGTGTTTTTGTTCTCAGGCCCCAATCCCCTAGGCAGATATTGTGCAACAGTAAATCAGATAAGTAGCGGTAATTTTTAAAAGCAGACCCTAAGGCAGAATGACACATGGGCACGGGTTCCCAGTCTGTGCACATGCTATTTTTCCTTGAAGACGGTCATCTTCCGCGAGGGTTTTTGGTATGTTGTGCATTGGTGCCGATAGTATTATTCTGTAGCATGTCATTCTTTTGAGATGTGTGCCCATGGTGGTGACACCTGCACTCTCAACAGCAGATTCTGGTGCCATGCCTGAGAAGCAGGACCCAGAGGTCCGTGTGGGAGCTGATCTTTGGGAGATGCCACATAGCCGCATGGGCAGGACCAGCACAGAGGGTGGTAGGGACGAGAAGGAACTGATCAGCAGCAAACGTCATCCTCTGCAACCTGAGACCATGAGGATGCAGAATTCCCCCAGAGGCTGGGTGGCCAGCCAGCATTAGTGGCCTTTCCATAGGGGAACAATCTGGAAACACTGAAGGTGCTACCACCTGCAGGCAGTGTTTTCTGTGAAGGTCTTCTCTTTGCTGTTGAGCGAATCTTAAATGAAGAGCATGGTACTGAGTGCTTAGGTGTACACTAAACTCCATTTTATTAGAACGCTAAGTGAAATTGATGTCATTTTGGTCCAAGTTCACATAGACCAGTGTCAGGGGACACCCTCCCGACATCCCAGTTTCCAGGCACCAGCCAGGGGCCAACCCTGCATGCAGGCTTCTTTGAGGAAGTAGTCTCAGCCCTTCTGTGTGGACTCCTTTGGGCACACTGGACTTCCACCTTAGCATGACGGCAGCCCTCCCTGGGCCACAGGGGAAGCAGGCCACTGGGACCTGAGCTGTCATTCCGTGTGCTTGTGCCCCAGGACAAAGCCGTGGCAGAGCCAGTCAGCCGCCTGCTGGAGAGCACACTCAGGAGCAGCCACCTGCCCAGCAGGATCGGAGCCCTGCACGGCGTCCTCTACGTGTTGGAGTGTGACCTCCTGGACGACACTGCCAAGCAGCTCGTCCCCGTCGTCAGCGACTATATCATCTCCAACCTCAAAGGGATTGCCCAGTGAGTGGAGCCTCTGTAGCGTGGGGTGGGGGTTCTTGGAATGGGCTGGGGAAAGAGGGACTTTACACCTTCAGACTGCACACCAGGTCCCTGCCCACACAGCCACAGGTGTAAGCAGGAATGCAGGGAGGAACCCTTCTCACGGGGATGCAGGGACGTTCCTGAAGCTCTCTTGGGTGTCCCCTGAGATAGGAGCTGCTGCTTTCTCTACATCCCTCTCCCACTCCACACGTCCATTTCCAGCTCATGTTCCTGAGGCTGTTAGCACTCGTTCTGTGCCCACTGAAACTGTTCTTGTTCCCAGGCTCTGGCCTCCTCTTGCAGCGTCCCCTGACTGCGAGTCCTGTGCTCCCCAACACTTCCCTGTATTCCCACCCACCTCACCTTTTCTTAAAGCAGCTACACGTGCAGTTCTGCACAGATGTGTTGTGGATAAAGCACGGCTGGCAGCAGAGCCCCTTGGAAGGCCAGACAAGCTTGTTAGAGTGTGTCTTGGGAGCTCCATGTTCCTGCAAATGCAGAGTCTTGGGGCAGAGACGGGCAGCCCTCTTGGGGCTGAGGCCTCTGTAGCAGTGCTGTCATTAGAACCCACGGCAGATGAAGGGTGGAGTTGCATCAAACAGATGCGAGGGGGAGCTGAGGGAAGCGTTAGGAGCAAAGATGAGTAGGGGCTGGGAGCAAAAGCTAGTTGTCCCCTTCGTCAGGTGCAGGGTGGGGAGGGGTCAAGTTGAACGGAAGGTTTGGAGGAGAAGAAGAGTCTCAGGAACCCTCACTGGCACAGTTGCAGTGAGAGGCGGGGCCCAGATGGATGGAGGTGTGAGCAGGTCATGGTTTGATGGCCTGTCAGGCTGTGTTTGGGATGGACTGGGGCAGGGCAGGTGGCACACTAGAGGCCATTGTGCTCGTGTAGGCCAGGGGTGGCGCAGGCCTGTTGGGAGGCCCTTTTCCTTAGCTGTCCTCACTGGAACAGAGCTGGCACAGAGCCAAGTCATGCAGGGGACGCAGAAGTGCGCATTGGGAATGGGCCTGCCTCAGTGCCCATGTGTCGACAGTATGCGTGTTGGTGCAGCAGTGTGATCTCAGAGGGGGTAGCCCCAGAATAGGTCCCAGACTGTGGCAGAGGCCCTGACTATGCTGATGGGTGCCACTGCTCAGGGGCTCTGGGTACCATGGGTGCAGAGGACTCAGGAGGAGCAGAGTTGGGGATGCAGGAAGCTTGCGGTATCTAGGTAGAAAGGGCAGGCAGGGGACAGGAGGTGAGGCCGCCGCTGCTGTGGGGAAGGCAGACCTGAGACCACACAAGTCAGTGTGTTGTGAGATAATGTGTACCACACAGAGCAAGTGCAGGGCACTCTGAGAGTAGAGGAGACCTGACTCGGCGTTAGGGAATTCAGAGGCCTTTGCGAGGGGTGGGGAGGGAGTGGGAAGTGGCCAGGACAGAGACAAGGCGAGGCGATGGGAGGGGCGTGCATGGCCAGAGGTCTCTGAGAAGCTCTGGAGGTGGCAGGCTGTGGGGGAGGTGGACAGGCTTTCCTGCCGGAGAGTGGCCGAACAGAGGCTGGAGGGTCAGGCCAGCTTGCAGAGGCCTGTGGGAGCCTGCAGGAGCCTGCAGGGCGGGCGCACTCCAGGAGGCAGTGGAGTGCTGCTGTGTAGGCTGAGCTTGGTGGTTGTCTCCCGTTTGCAGCTGTGTGAACATCCACAGCCAGCAGCACGTGCTGGTGATGTGTGCCACTGCGTTCTACCTGATCGAGAACTACCCTCTGGACGTGGGGCCAGAGTTCTCAGCATCAGTAATACAGGTGAGCAGCCTGGTGGTCTTCCTCTGGACTCAGGGAGTGGGCTTCCATGCCCTTGGCCTGGTAGGATTGTACAGTGGCCCAGTGTCTATTTGGGGGAAGGAGGCGGCAAGAACACCCTGAGCTAGTGTAATGCGTCTTGGACTCGGGAGACTTTCTGTTGTCCAGATGTGTGGGGTGATGCTGTCCGGAAGTGAGGAGTCCACTCCCTCCATCATTTACCACTGCGCCCTCCGAGGCCTGGAGCGCCTCCTGCTCTCAGAGCAGCTCTCCCGGCTGGACACGGAATCCCTGGTTAAGCTGAGCGTGGACAGAGTGAATGTACACAGCCCACATCGGGCCATGGCGGCCCTGGGCCTGATGCTCACCTGCATGTACACAGGTGAGCAGATACGAATGCCGTGGGAACGCCTGGGTCCTCTGCACCTGACAGTAATTGTAGCCCAACTTCTGTTCAAATGAGACAGGCACTTACTCGAGGGACATGAACCTGGGTCCCCTCTGATTGGGCATCTTTAGTGTCACCTTAAGCCAGCCCTGTCACTTGGTGAGAGATTCTGGAGCTGAGGGCATCTCACTGCGCAGCTATCAGAACCCTGCCTCTGGCACTGCATCCCATGTGGCTGGGCCACAGGAGCTGGGCTGGGTCCTGGGCTAGCAGGGGGCGCCTGTCATATGCTTGCATATCATCTCTAGGAACTCAAACTCGTGTGTTCAAGGCACCATCTGTAGAGCCTGTTGGGTTCTACAGATTATGTAACCTTTGTACTAAATGCTTTTGTTTCAGGAAAGGAGAAAATCAGTCCGGGTAGAGCCTCGGACCCTAACCCTGCAGCCCCAGACAGCGAGTCAGTGATTGTTGCCATGGAGCGGGTGTCTGTGCTTTTCGACAGGTGAGAAGCAAGTCCCTCCCCTCAGCCACTAACTGCCCTGCTGCAGCTATGGCTGGGAGCGCTGCCCTTGCGTGCTGCTTGTGCTTTTCACGCTGTGTGGTTCCACCGACGTTTCCCCACCACCCCTGACAGTGGCGGACCTGGCTCCAGGCTCCTTGGACCCCATCACTCAAGTATGGTGTTGACCGACTCCAAGGTCATCCCAGGAGCTTGCCCCTCTCTCCTGAAGTCCAGGGAGACAGTCCCCAGAGGTTTGGTGTTGTAACACGGGCACATGAATGATTCGGTTGGAAGGCGGGCATGCTGCCTCCTTGGTGATTAAAGCGTACATTCCCTCTCGCTGCCTTTCATGAGAGAGGGTCCCATGGTGCAAGCCGGCGCCTGCCCTCGCCATCAAGGGCTGTAGGAGGGAGTGCACAACCCCCCGAGCAGTGTTAGGAACGGCGTGAGGAGGAGCAAGGGTGAAGACAGGCCAACAAGAGCATCTCCGCAAGCCGTGTGGTCGGTGCTCACCCTTCCAGCCTCCTACCTGCGTGCGTTTTTGTTCAGAATTGGCTTCACTTGTGTGTTCTGGAAAATGGGTTAGGTGCCTCGTCACGCTTTTTTTCTGAGGACAAGTCCACATGTTTTGTTCTTGGGCCTCAGTCCCAGCGACCTGATGCGTCTGTGGCCTCCCCCGCACTGTGATCTGCAGTCACTCCAGCTAATGGGCAGCCACTGCTCAGAGGGACTTGGCCTGTGTCACTCTGGCCAGATGAGATGTCTGCGCAGCTGAGCATGGCTGCTCTGTTTCTGTGTGGACTGTTACAGTGAGCCTTTGTAGTCGTCCTTCCAGGGCACACACCTTCCCTGAGTGCCACCCGTGCTGGGCACTCAGTGGCAGCTGCACACACGAAGGTGGCATGGCTAAGTCCCTGTCCTTGTGGAGCTTATGGTCCAGTGCTGGGGACATAGACATTCCAGTGAGTGCACTATAGGCACTCAGCTTGGCCATGTACCCGGCACCATGGGAGGCACTGGAGGAAGTGGCAGAAGTAGCTCTCGATGGAGGGTCCTGGCACTGCCGGGTGAGCGGGATGAGCAGGCCTGGCTTGGGGAAGTGTGATTCAGTGTCTGGCTCATGGCCAGCTTCTCAGGTGACATGCTGTCAGCTGTGCACTAACAGGGTAGTCATGTGGCGGCCGTCTTTTAGCATCGAAGAGGATCCTCTCAGGCGAATTACAGGATCTGTTGAGACAGAAATCGACAGTAGCGCAGATGGGGTCCAGCTTGTATAAAAAGAAAGAAGTCAGAATACATTGTGTCAAGGTTCATGAAGCATTTTGATGTGGAATGAAAGAAGTCAATACATTGTGTCAAGGTTCATGAAGCATTTTGATGTGGAATGAAAACACAATGAGGACAGTTCTCTTTGTTGTGACTTTTTAAATCTCTTCTGTGACATCACCCGAACTGTTTCTGCTTATTCCCTCACATGGCTTTCAAACCCTTCTTTGGCTCCTTGTCCCCCGGGTGGGGAGCCCTGCGTGGCAGGTGGCATGTCGCTGGTGAGGTGGGCAATGGAGAGCTGGGGCTTTGCCTTCTTGCTTTCAAAGTTCATACTGAAGCTGCCCAGCTCTGACTCTTACCTGGACAATGTGTGAAGGTCAAGGACACCTCCAGCCCTGGTTCCACATCAGCATTTCCCAGCCAAGGCTCTCCCGGGCAGGGCTGAGGAGCTGTGGGGAGCCAGGGGAGGCTCTGACCCATGTCCCCTCTTTCTAGGATCAGGAAAGGGTTTCCCTGTGAAGCCAGGGTGGTGGCAAGGATCCTGCCTCAGTTTTTAGATGACTTCTTCCCACCCCAGGATGTCATGAACAAGGTCATTGGGGAGTTTCTGTCCAACCAGCAGCCATACCCCCAGTTCATGGCCACTGTCGTGTACAAGGTAAGGGTATCTGCTTTGGGGCAGGGGAGGTGGGGTCAGCCCCAGATGGCCCAGGAGGTTTGCCAGTAGGACCACATTCCTCAAGCGGTCCTTGACCCCGGTGTGGCTCCCCTCTCCTCCCATGCCCATGCCTGATGCTCAGGCTCTTGTTCCCTCAGGTTTTCCAGACTCTGCACAGCACTGGGCAGTCATCCATGGTCCGGGACTGGGTCATGCTCTCCCTCTCCAACTTCACGCAGAGGACCCCGGTCGCCATGGCCACGTGGAGCCTCTCCTGCTTCTTTGTCAGCGCCTCCACCAGCCCGTGGGTTTCAGCCATGTATCCTTCCTGTGTCCCTGAGCGCCAGCCGGGCCCCCTTTCCACCGCACCTTGCAGAGTCTTCTGTCAACATCTAGGATCATGTTTTGTGTTCAAGGTTTTGAAATGTAACCTTTGCAAAACCCCTGCAGATGTCAGGGTGATATTTGCCTCAGCTCCAAGGGAGTAAAATGTTGACGGGGATACAGATAACACAATGTCCAGCCTTTTGCTGACCAAGCTGTCCAGAAGGGCTGGCACGGGTGGGAGGGTTGCAGCTGACGTGCTGCCCTCCACAGGGAGAGCTGGAGGCACGGGCAGCTCGGGCAAGTGTCTGGTCTCTGTGGATGCCCCATCCACTCACGTGCTCCAAGCAGCCGGGCTCTTCCCAGTGCTGATTCTCATTAGCTTTGCCATTGGGCCTCCATCACCCTCCTGGGGAACAGCTTAATTCAGGATCCAGTCCCCGCCCCAAAAATGCTGGCTGCCAGGAGTGCCTCTTTTGGCAGCCTTTCCCTGAGACAGACCACAAGAGCCTCCGAGCAGCGCGGTTGTCCTTGCGCCGACAGCACGGTCTTACCCAGCGTGCCTGGGAAGGCCCGGGGAGGCAGGGCCACGGCCCTGCCCTCACCGTGCCCAAGCAGAGCTAGCAGGAGCACCGGCTGCCAGTGCTGCCCGGGAGCCAGGCCAGGTAAGTGCTGTGGAGCGGAGCCTGCCAGCAAGTGCCCTGTCTGGGGGCTCCCGATCCCTCAGCCACCTCTTCCCATCCCATCCCCACCCTGCTAGGCCTCCACCCAGGAGAGGGCTGTAGGAGGAGCTGGAGGCAGCTGGTGCGGTCCAGGCCACCCCATGCTGCTGTGGTCACTTCAACCTTCCCTGGGCGGTGTACGGGCCTGTGTCAGGAAAGGAACTCCCGGCGAGGAAGGTGGGAAAGTTCCCCTCACTTGCCAGTGTTCTCCCTTAACTTCTCCGCCAGCCTTCCGCACGTTATCAGCAGGATGGGCAAGCTGGAGCAGGTGGACGTGAACCTTTTCTGCCTGGTTGCCACAGACTTTTACAGACACCAGATAGAGGAGGAGCTCGACCGCAGGGCCTTCCAGTCTGTGTTTGAGGTGGTTGCAGTGCCAGGAAGCCCGTACCACCGGCTGCTGACTTGTTTGCGAAATGTCCACAAGGTTACCACCTGCTGAGTGCCCGAGGTGGGAGAGGCCAGGAGGAAGTGGTGGTTGGGGCCGGAGCCTCCAGGAGCCTGCGCCTCCAGGAGCCTGCGCCAGGCCAGCTCAGTCACTGCAGGCTTCCGCTCATGTCACACAGGCAGCCCAGCAGTGTGTGGGTTTTTGCCACGTGGCAGAAGTGTTCCTGCAGCAAGCTGGTTGTGCAGGGGACATAGGAGTGTTGCTGGGGGAAAGCTGAGCCCTTAGAGAGCAGGAGCTACGGTATGGCTGGCCTTCACGCTGCAGCCAGGGGCAGCACCCACTGACAAGGCGTTTCTTTCTCCCAATGTTCACCTTTTGGTTGTCACCAGGTTGCAGCTGCCCTTGCGTCTGGGACAGAAGTCCTCATTCTTGCAGGCTGGCCATTGGCTCCTCTGCTACCCCAAAGGTAGATCACGTCGCTCACAGGCTTTGAGAGCACGCCCCGTGTCTCCCAGTGGTGTGCTCCCCGCACTCTCTGTCTGCACGCACAGACACTGCGGCGGGTGCCAGGCTGGAGGCTGGGAGTGCCAGACACCCAGCGCCACCCCCCTTTCTCTGTTTTCTTCTCAGGATTCAAAATTTAATTATATCAGTAAAGAGATTAATTTTAATGTAATTCTTCTATGCCCGTGTAAAGTATGTGAACGGCAAGGCCTGTGCTGCATGAGACAGCGTCTGTGGAGGTGGACAGGGGCCCCTCCGGCCACTGTTCCCTCTGCCATAGAGACTTGCAAACCCTTCTTAACACCCGGTGACGTTTCTGTTGCCCAAGTCCCCCTTTTTTACTCATTCCCGTTTAGTGAGATTGTGGAGAGGGGGTGGTGTTCCAGCATCCACAGCAGGAATTCTCCCTGGGACCCCACTCTGAGGAGGGTGAGGAGGGGGTGTAGGAGGCCATGCTCACCTGCAGCACCCTCCTTCTCAGCACCGACAGCTTGCACATTCTCTGCCCACCAGTAGGGGCAGCGGCTTCCCTGCTCGTTAGCTGACAAGACCACCCACCTGGCCATGAGCTACCTCTGTTGTATCCAGAGATGTTGACTCTGACATCCTCCAGTTCTGGTCCCAGGCTGGCCCTGGGCTGTGGTCTGCCCTAGGAGCTGGTGGCTGGGGTTGGGACCTGCCATCCCCATGGTCTCCTCTGCATGTCGGGTCCAGACAGCTCCAAGGTTGTCACTGAGCTGCATGGAGCCTGAGCACCTCTTGGGTGAGAGCAAAGTTTGGTGTCTTGTTAGCTGTTAGACCCCAACACCTCTTCTGCTCCGTTCCCAGCTCTCATCTATACACTGCGCCTCCTTTCAGCTCAGGACAGTGCATATCTGTGCCCACCAGAGCCCCTGTGGTGGGGGGGATCTGAGGGGCAGGAATGAAATGGGTAGGTGGGAGGGGACAGTGACTTGGCCTAAGATAGCTCCACACCCCTGTCAGCTGCCGCTCCCACCCCTAGGCCCTGGGTTCTGGACCAGCCTCCTGCTTCCAGGCCTAAAGCAGCCCGGTGGTTAAAAATGAAGATGCGCCCCGGGTGGGAGGGCTGCTCTTGTCTCAGGCCCAACCTGGGAGCTCTGCTTGCTGCGTGACCGTGAGCCCCTGAGGCTGGCCTGGCTCGTTCAGTGACTGTCATACTGGTCAGTTTGTTCCTGACAGTCAATGTTTTAGGTACTTGACATGGTAAATGGAGATGATTTTGGAGCTATTTTCCAGAATCTGGAAAGGAGGAGAATCTTTTGGTACATCAAGTTAACCTCACATCCGTCTGAGCAGGTGCTACCTTGAGACCCCAGAGCTTCCTCTGTCCCTGTCCTGCTGTGGCATTTGGAGGGGAGCTGCGATGCCACTGCCCACAAGCTGGAGGGGAGGTTGCAGGCCGCTGCGAGGCTTTCCCTGGCAGCTCCCTGCAGAGGCCTCCCGTACCAGGACCGGCTCTCCCTGGTGTCAGGCACAGCACGAATGGTAGAAATGGATCCGATTTTTGAGGAGGACCTTAAGGGAAGCTACTGAATTTTAACTAAGAGAAGTAAGAAAGTTACCTTCTCCTTACTGGTTTTGGTCTCCCATTTCTCATCCTGCCTTTTCCCGTGGAAAGCCTATTAGAAATGTTTGTGGATGGTGGGAAAGTTCTCAGAGCTTGTTGCTGCCCCTGCCCCAGGTTATTTCAACAGCTCTGAGACAGGCATATCATAGGCAGGAGGCTGTTCCTGGTTAGATGTTTACATTTGTAAGAAATAACACTGTGAATGTAAGAATTGGAGCCATTCCCTTTAGAGTTCATATCACTGGGCTCGACATAGAGTTTAATTGGCCTTGTTTATCATGTGATCTACAGTAGTCAGTTCTTAGCATGGGGCTCAGAACCCAGCTCTGGTGATAGGTGGCAACCCAACGACCTACCTGTGCACTTTAGAGATGAATATGAGTTCATTAGTAAAATTACTTTACCCATGCCTAAGTCTACATGTATGTACACATATATGCATCTATAATTTTATGTACACACACACACATCTCAAGATAAACATGCAAGGCCTCCGAGAATGCCCGCGTCTGTTCTTCCTAGAAGTTGACTTTTCTTAGACCGGCATGTAAAGTTGGCTGTGTGACTCGGACATCTCAGAGTGGGACTCTATAAAAAACAGGGCTCATTGCTCATTGAAGTCCCATGGAGAAAGTAGTCCACCATATATCAACTGTCTGCAGAAGGAATTAAGACTTTGTTAAGTTCCTAAAAATCTGTGGCAAGCACCAATCATATTATCAATCCAGATTTTATCAAAAATGTCATTAATTTGGTTGTCGAGTTTTTTGGGGAAGGCCAGGGGTTGGGGGTTTTGTTTCTCTGCTGGTGATGTCAGGAAAGGTTTTAATGAAACCAGGGTAGAATTGTTCGGCAATGCACTTAACGCGTGTCTCTTCTCCCAGGACGTGCCTCCCTCCCACTGCTGGCCCCGGCTGAGGTGCGGGGGTGACTTTCCAACTGCCAAGTGCCCTTTGTTACTGTTCTCTCATTTTTGTCAGCACGTGTACCTTTTCAGGAGGAGAGAGTGAAGCTGAAACACCTCCAGACACCCAGAACGTAGCATCAGAGAAGGCTCTGTGCCGCAAAGGGACGCCCTCCCCCCACCCCACCCCACCCCCCGCCTCATCTACGGGCCCTCTCAGAGCAGCAGCTCCTGGTGGGCTGAGCCGAGCCCTGCTGGCACGCTCTGGAGGGTGGGTCTCACACACAGCAGTAGCTCAGTTCATGGCCATTGTGCACATGGGGCACCCCCTCCCCACTGCAGGGGCAGAGTGAGTATGGGTCTGTGTGTTTGGGGCAGCGGAATTAGTTTCCTCGTGCTACCTGTGAGCATCTTTCCTAGTGAATGTCCTCACTCAGGGCTTTGTCCTGCCTCCCTCTGCGGTGAGTGCCCAGGACCATAGTTGCTGGCTGGGGTGGACTTGGAGCTGTCCTCTGATGGAACAACATGTGGGAACAGGGAGAAAGACCTCGAGAGCCACTGAGGCTAGGGGGAGAGCTCAAGGTGGCTCAGACAAGAAGACTGTTCCTCACTGGGCCTGCTGCTGCTGCAGGGGAGGGGGGACCTGCTCAGACAGCCATGTGACAACTGAAGGCGACCTAGAGGGTTCCTGGGCCACTCTTCCCTCGTGTGCCTGTCACGCTTTAATGCAGTCAGAGGAACCCCTCCCCTCAAGTGGTTCGGGAGCAGAGTCTCCTGCAGACTGGGTGTGGACCGTAGCCATCATGGACCTGCCTGCAGTATTTCTGTTCTGACCTACATGGGCTTCGCTGCTCTGTGCTGTGGGCAGAGTGGATGTTGGCAGGAGTTGGAGCTCTGCTGGGAGCCAGCAGGGCTGTGATGGGAGAGTCCCGGAGCCCCAGCCCTGACCTGATGGTCCACTTCCAAGAAGAGAGGGAAAGACTGATGTGAGATGTATATTTAAAATTTTTAAGCTGCTCCAAACATTGTACATCCAAATTAAAGGAAAAATCAAACCATCTATTGCTGCTGTGCAAGGCTTACTTTGTTTATTGAGAACCTAGCCCCTACTGAGCTGGTGTCTGAGGAGACAGTCTGCAGCTCTTCCTGGGGTGGGGGTTGTGCGTGGGGGCACACCAGCTAATGTCTGGCACCGAGGGGGGTCCCCTGGGCAGCTGTGAGCAGGCACAAGCCCTGTATTGGGAGCCACAGACGAAAAAGTGGTCCCAAGCCCCCACCTAGCTGGGTGCTTCCTGCCAGGGTGTCACCTGCAAATGGTCTTCCTGCCCAGCAGATGTGGTTGCCAGAGCTCTAATGATTCAGTGACGTTGGAAGCTGGTTACATAGAGGCTTCAGGGTTTGAGCCCTTAATTTCTGCTTCTACATTTGGCCCAGGACCTAGGAGGGGTGAGAAGGGCTGGCACAGAGGTGAGAGCTGTGCCCTCATGCTACCAGGGCCCCACTGCCCCCTTCCATCTCCTTGGCCGTCGGCACCCCATGCCCCTGGTTCCCATAATAACTGGTCTGGGCCAGTGTGCCTGCAGAGCCTGCCCCCGTCCATCTTAGCCCACAGGTTTTTCTTGTCTGAAATACCACCTCCTCCAAGAAGTCTTCTCTGCTCAGCTCAACGGGGGTGCCTTCCTAGCTCTGGCTGATCCCCTCCTCTGGAGCCTGGTGGTTGGGGGTGTAGGAATCCTGGGGTCCAGATATTTTACTCACCAGTCTACATAAACAAAAACCCTGGGCTGTGGGTTTCTCCAGGGCAGGGTACTTGGTGAATGTTTGCTGAAGTCCCATCTAGTTCTGGCTGATTGGTGGGAGCCATCCCCCCTTCTCTGTGGGTGGTGCCGGGGAGGTCCCGTTGGCTGAGGTGGCATGGCCATGTGTGGGGCCTTCTTGGGGTTCTGCGGCAGCTCGTGCCACCTGCACTCCTGCTGCATGGGGTCCCCTTTCTCTGAACAGGGGTAGTGAGCACTCGGCGGGAGGGCCTGATGGTCAGGCCCAACCAGGTTAGGTTCTGCCTCAGATGCTCTAAGCGTTCAGTGGGGGCGAGTCGCCTGAGTTGCTTCCGTTCCCTCTATCTGTCTCCTCATCAGTGACACAACCCCAGAGCCCCAAAATTCTGGTCACTTCAGGAAGACAGCACTCCTTTCTCCTTGGTCTAGGTGTGCAGAGCCAGGCCCTTGGCACACCTGAGCACACCAAGTATGGCTGGTATTTCCTGAAAGGGAAGGGGCCCAATCGCGTGGGAGCAAGTGGCAAGCCTCCCCAGTGCGCCTGTCTGCCACAGCCGTCCACCAGTGTGTCCTGAGCACCTCACCCAAGGAGTCGCGACGAGGCTCAGAGCTGCAGGATTTAGGGTCCCTCCCTGCCCTGCTGGGGACTTGTGCTCTGTGCCTTCAATGGTAATGGTTTCTAGCTGCAGCTGGCTTCGTTCCAAAAGGATTTTGAAGCAATTTCCCAGGTGTGGAGTTATAATATTTGTTAACAAGCACGAGTCAGGTGAGGGAAGTAGCCAGGGCGAGGTGGGCACCAGGTGGCTCCAGGTCGGGACTGGACATAATGTGATGCAGCCACCCCTGGACAGGAAGCCCCTGCTTGGTCAGTGTGGGGGTGACCTCAGGGCAGCCTGGCATAGGGCCAGAGGAACGAGGCAATCTGCGACCCCCAGGACCCGTAGTTTAGGCGTCATGGGCACAGAGGTGGACCTGGCCTCGTGGAGTCACCAAGACTCCTGGGAAATGCTGAGCACCTCCTGCAGTGCCGAGGGCTCTGCAGCCTGGTCCCCCATCTGATTAGATGGCTCATCCTCACCTGCCGGATTCTCGCCCTGTCATGGTCATGTCCTCCAGAGGCACTGCAGGCGGGGTCAAGGCTTTCCCCACCCTCGCGGGGGACAGAGGAGGCCGCTGGCCAGGCTGCCACTTGTCATGGCCCAGGGGGTGTTTAAGCCATGGGTGGACCCAGGGGAGCCATCGGGTCAAGGCTAGGGCTGCCCCCTGAGGCAGAGGGCTGACAGTGAAGGGTCTGGGTCCCTGCTGACATGGGGAAAGGGTGACAGTGCCCACAGCCCCCTTCCCTCCGCTCTGCGGCAACAGGCCAATGCTGAGGTGGGTTGAGACCCCCCTCCTAGCCCTCAATCCACTGGCCACACCCCTCCCCTCCTGGCTCTCATTGCTCCTCAGCCCTGCTCGAAGCCCCAACTCCTGGGTCCTGCCGCCTCCCCCAGGACTGCACCCCACGCTCCCCAAGCCTCCCTGCCTTCCAAACCCCGAGTTCTGCCAGTTTCTCCTGCCTGTTATCACAGGCTCAGTTCTCAGCTGCCTGCTTCCGGGAGGTGCTTGGTGTCCCTGGGGGCATACCACTTCCTGCTCTGGGCTTCCCTTGGCAGAGCCCTGCTGTCCCCATCCATGGTCAGTCCTGGTTTACTGCTGGCCTGCCAGGCTGGGCAGAGCAGCCACCATGAATGCCGAGTGGAAAGAGAGTGTCAGGTGAGCCAGCCTCGTTATTGCAGGGGAGACCACCCTAGAGAACACGGCCTCACCTGAGCACGGCAGGACCAGGCCTGGGTCCCCGGGTTTTCCCAAGCCACTCCAGCAGAGGCCTGACCTGCCCCTTCTCCCTGCAGGTGCTGCTGGTGCCCAGACCCGGGCCCTCTGCCTCCCGAGCCACGGCCACTGAGGGTCCCAGCAGGCCATGCAGCTGTGCCAAGGTAGGAGCTCCTCCCCAGCAGAGGACAGACACGGGCCCTTGGAGGGGCAGTGGGATGCTTGGCCCTGCCCTCCCCCTGCCTGCCTGCTTCTTTCTTGTCCCTGGAGACCCAAAGTGAGAGTGCTGCTTCAGGAAGTGCTCCAGAACTCGCCCTGTCCAGGCGATCCTGGTGGGGCAGAGCCTGAGATGGCTGGACTCAAGTCCTTTACCCTCCCTTCCCAGAACTGCCGCCATGAGGGCAGCATGGGCATGGGGCAGCTCCCTGCTAGGCTGGGCTCCTGCCGCCCTGTGCTACAAGAGCCCAGGCAAGCAGGGGGTGTAGATGCCCCCTCTAGAGCTGTCTGGTTGCAGGGCCTTGAGCACCAGTAGTGGTGCCTGCTGGCCAGCAGCTGCCCCTTCAGCCAGGACAGCGTGCCAGGCTCTGCACTCTCCTGAAGCTCCAAGGCAGATCCACGGAAGGAAGTGGGGGCAGCACGTAATGTCATGTGGCCTCCCCAGACTGTAACCCCCTCTTGGCCAGTACCATGCTGGGTGACTTAATAGTCATGCAGCCAGGTCCTGTTGTTCCGTTGTAGAGGTAAGGAGGCTGAGGCTGCGGGTAGGCGGGACCACAGCCACATGCTGAGTGGGCAGAACTGCGATTCAAAACCCACCTGATGCAGGTTGTGCTCTGCCTTCCTTCCCCTTGGAGCCCTGCATCTGCCGCTGTGCTGGGAGACACTGAGTCAGTTCGCCTCTGCCCTTAGAGTCAAAGCCGGGGAAGGGACAGTGGGCAGGTCCCTGACCTCACTCAGGAGGGTCAAGCCCTGTGCCTTGCAGAGCGGAGGTCTTCCTGGAGGAGGTGGGCCTTCTAGTCACTAACTGATTCTGCAGACGCTCCTGAGAGCTTTCTGGGCCGGCCCCCAGACCCTGCACTGGCACTAGGGGGCAGCAGCAAGCCGGCTTGGCCAAGGCCTGACCCTGGCAGTGAGTGGGGAGAATTTGGAAGCCCCTCCTGGGTGCCCCTGCAGGAGGAGGGCAACGGTGGTGAGCCTTCCTGGGGGCACCACACAGCCAGGCAGTAGGGATGGTGTCCCCGGGTCCCTAGATGGCCCCCCGAGGCTTAGAGAGGATGGGGCTGGACACATCACAGGGGACTGATGGTAGGGCCTGGCCTTGACCCAGGAGCCTGGTGAAGGGATACAGAGGCCCCTCTGAGTTTCCAGCAAACTCTTGGGGCTGTCCACCGGTCCCCCACTGCCCTCCCAGTGCACTCCCCACTCTGACTGCAGGGACAGAGCAGCTCCAGGCCAGCCCTCCCCGTGTCCCCATAGGGGGCCATGTTCTCCAGCTTCACCCCTGTCCTGTCCTCCCCTGAGAGCCTCAGCCAGTGAGCCTTTGCCACCCCGCCCCCCACGGTCTTCACAGAGGACATCAGGGGCACTGGCAGACGTGACAGACCCCTCACACCCCAGGCTCAGCTCCTCCTGTCCTGGGCAGCCCAGGCCTGACCTGGACACCAGACCTGGCTGGACACCGTGTCCACGCAGCATGCCTTGCACAGGCGCCTGGGCTTCTTGGAGTCTTGTCTGATTTTTACCTTTTACATGTTGGATGTTGATGCCTGGAGGTGGCACCTTCTCCCTGCTGGCATCACAGGCCCCACCAAGCCTGGACTCCTGCCCTCAGCTATTCTTAGGCTGAGGTCCCCTGGCCAGACCTGCAGAGAAGAGACCTACTCCCCAGCTGGGCCCTCGAACACACGTTTCCTCCCTGTGTGCTCTGACGGTGCCTGCCCCGCTGCCCTTGCCGGGCCTGCTTCTTCCCAGGGAGTGCCATTGGCCTTTTCCTGGTTTACCTGGCCCATCCCTCTTCATCCGTTGGGACAGAGCTTGCCTTCACCATGGGTGCTGTCCCCGGCTGGTGGTGCTGGAGGTCAGCATTCATGCTCCCTTGCTGCACCATTGGGCAGGGCCTGGCTCTGACCACCTGGGGTTTCCAGTGTCTGCCCCACCCAAGGCTCGGGGTTCTTGGTGGAACAAGCAAAGAGCAGATGGCATGAGAGGAAGGTGCGGCCCAGCTCTGTGCTGACAAGGCTGCTGGCCCTCCAGACCTCAGGTAAGCCTGGCAGGGTGAGGGTCCCACAGCCAAGGACCCCGCCAGGGCCAATGGCCACTTGTCCAAGTCAGTGTTGGAAGCATTGGTCTCCCTGTCTCCCTGTCCTCTCTCTGTTTCCCCCACCCCCATCTCAGGCTCTCCCGAGCCCCCTGGGCCCTCAGCCTGCATGAGCTGGGTGGGGCTGAGGTGGGGGCTGCTGCCTGTATCCCACCCATAGGGGGCCTGGCTGGTGTGGTTTGCGTGCCTCTCCGCGTGGCCGGTGAGGCCTGGGAGGCAGGGCTGAGCCCGTGGCCGGGTCTGGGCCAGCCCGCCCACTGCAGTATTGATGGCCCGTCAGTGCGGCCCTGATTCCTGTGCTTTCAGTTAAAAGGTTTCTGTTGTTGTAGCTTATGCAGTTGCTCTGTTGCTATGGAAACGTGACATCAAAATGACGTTTCCCGTTTAAAAGCTTTTAACTAAATTCCTGCCTGTCAGATGTAGGCCCCATTTTGAGCGTGGAGCTGCCTTCAAGCGAGCAGACCAGCCAGTGGCCGCCTCCCATCCATGGTGCGTGGGGCCAGGCCCGGGGCCTCACCTGAGCACGATCTTTAACCCCACAGGTGCCTCTAGCATGGCAGCGGCCGAAGTGCCCGGCTATGTTGTGTCCCCACAAGCGGAGAAGCATCGACGGGCCCGCAACTGGACGGACGCCGAGATGCGCGGCCTCATGCTTGTCTGGGAGGAGTTCTTCGACGAGCTCAAGCAGACCAAGCGCAATGCCAAGGTGTACGAGAAGATGGCCAGCAAGCTCTTTGAGATGACCGGGGAGCGCCGGCTGGGCGAGGAGATCAAGATCAAAATCACCAACATGACCTTCCAGTACAGGTAGGCGCCTCAGTGGCCTCCATGAGCCAGGACCGATGGGCGGCCTTCCCGAGAACTGCCGGGAAGGGCATGTGGTTCCTGGGGTGCATGGCCCACCTCTGGATCCCCTCTGGCTTTGTGGGGGCAGAGCCCAATGGTGAGATAGGGCCTACAGAAATTACTTGTGTAGGGCCGGCCCGGTGGCGCACTGCTACAGTGCACCGCTTGGGAAGTGTGGCGGCGCTCCCGCTGAGGGTTCGGATCCCACATACAGACCGGCCGCTCACTGGCTGAGCGAGGGGCGGGAGCAACACCGAGGGTTGCGATCCCGTGGCCGGTCCTGGTCCGGTGTGGGCGCAACACTGAGGGTTGCGATCCGTTGCTGGTCACGAAAAAAGACAAAAAGGAAAAAAAAAAAAAGAAAAGAAATTACTTGTGTAGTCTCCCACTGGGAAGGTGGAGAAACTGAGGCCCATCAAGGGCAGGAAACTGGCTGAAGAGCTGGAGGGGTGGCAGGGTTGGTGCTGGGCCACGGCCAGCACGGCTCTGAGGACACATGTTAGACCTCTGCTCTGTACACCAAGATGTTTCAGAGATTGGGCACCCCATGCAGGCAGCATCGACCTGACTTCCACTCCTGCCACCCACAGTTGGGAGACAGATTGGCCACCAGCTGGGCCTGGCTCTTCTGTCTCCACCACCACAGCCCCCGAGCTCAGGAGGGGTGGTAGGATCCTGCTGTACAGGTGGGAAAATTGAGGCCAGAGGCAAGAAGGTGGCTTGGCTCCCAGGCCTGCTGGTCCTGTCTGGTCCTGAGGCCCTGTGACTTCCAGCATCATCTGAGCCCCCAGCCTAGGGTTGGGGGGAGAGGCACTTAGACCTGACATCAGGGACCCCCAGAGTGCCCAGGATGGTGTCCAACTCATGGGCAGGGGCTTGTTTGTGGGAGGAAGAGGTGGAGCTCAGGCCTGGCCCCCACCTCTGCCTCCACTGCGCCCAGGTTGGCCCCTGCCTTGGCAGCCTGAGGGGAGCCTGGAGGGAAGTGCTGAGCCAGAGGCGGGTGCCCAGGAGGAGAGGGCATGGGGCCCCGGCCCATTTGGAGAGGATCACGGGCAGGGGTCACATGCGTGGGGTGAAGGTCACAGGTGTGGGGTGAAGGTCACAGGCATGAGGAGGGTTGCAGGTGGGGCAAGGGTCTTGTGTGGGCTAAAGGTCATGGTGTGGAGTGAAGGTCATGGGCGTGAGGAGGGCCTCATGTGGGGCAAGGGTCGCAGCAGGAGCTGGAAGCTGGGAGGGGCGAGAGCACCTAGCCCTGTGAGTGTCCTGGGTGAGTCTGGGCCTCAGTGTCCCAGGATGGGAGGGGCCGTCCCACAGGATGCTGGGTGCAGACCAGGACCTGTGAGCACCTGAGCCACACTGTGGGAGAGAGGACCTTCACTCGTCCCCAGCAAGGCAGGAGGGGAGCCCAGCCCTGGAGGCACGGGCCATCTCTGGGGGAGCCATGCAACCTGAACAGATCACAAGGCCACGGAGGCTCTGTTTTCAGTTGCTGTTTTTATGACCCTTGAAGGAATGGGTCCAGAGCTTGGCTCTGTCCAGAGGCCTGTTTCTGACCCACAGTCCTGGCCCCAGCCAGGCCCAAGAGCCAGAACTGAGGCAGCCGCTCAGGGTCTGCAGCGTCAGAGTTGCTGAGCATACGTGATGTCACATGAGTGCCACGGCTCCTGATGGGAGGGGTGAGGGGCAAGTAGCCCCCGCAGCCCCCACTCAGGGGCCTGCTAGGGAGGGGGCTCCAAGGGTGGCAGAGGCGGGCTGGCTGTTTCGCCGGCCTCCCCTCTGACTGGGGAATTTGTGGGCCATGCCTCCCTCGCTGCTCTGCTCAGCATCTGGCTGGTTCATCCATTATTTATCCCGAAAGCCTCTCTCCAAGTCCCAGGGGAGGGGTCCGTCTCCATTCCTGGAGGCCTGGGAGATGAGGGCGCTGTGGGTGGGCACTTCACAGTCACGAGGTGCTTGCACACCCGGCTTCTATGGCACCTCTGTCAGCCTTGCTCACCAAGGGGGAGACTGAGGCCCAGGGCAGCAGAGGGGCTTGCTTGAGGCCACACAGTCCTTAATAGGCCAAAGCTTGGCTGGGTGACTGGTCTTTATCTACCCCACCCTGTCGCCTCCCTGTAGCAGAGGCTGTTCTTATTTTTTTACAAGAGCTCTTTATATATTAAAGTTGTCAGGCTAAGGAAGTCTAAAAGGGTGGCTGGTTTCTGTGGAGCCTGGTTTGTTGGAACACCATGCGGGGACCTCGCAAGCTGGGGATTGGCCTTTCCTCAATTCTCCAAGGAGTGGGCTGGCTTTAGTGGGGCAGAAAGAGAGCTGGAGCCTCTGAGAGGGCTGGAAAGAAATCTGGGGTGGAGGTAGTACAGTCACCAGGCATAAACCCTTCCTCTGTGTGGCAACTGCACAGCCCTGGCCTCCCAGGGTGGATCCATGGTGCATCCCACAGCCAGGAATACAGGGCAGCCTGTGCACTACCCTGTGCAACCTGTCCCCGGCTCTCTGCTGAGGACATGGCACCAGTGGGGTGAGCCCCTGGGCCCTTAACCCTGCTCCCAGAGGCTGCCACCTCCTGCTGTGGCTGTCCACCACTTGCTGCCCAGCAGCAGCCCCCCCGCCCCATCTGGTTTTGCCTGTTTGCTGGGGGTGACATTTGGACAGCTAGCTCATTATCTCCAGTGACCAGTGGCCACACCCTGGTGGGGAGCCCCATGCAGGAGACAGGAGACATCAGCTCTGAGGATGTGGGCTGGTCCTGTGGTCCGGCCTCAGGCGCTCTAGCTCCAAGGCCTCCCCACATCAGACAAGCATTGGCAGTGGAGGGGGGCTATAAGCTGGAGTCTAGGGGAGCCCCAGTCCTCAGGAGGTACCAGGTCTGATGGGGCAGAGATTCTTCTGACCCAGATGCCCTGGGGCCCTCTGTCCCCAGCCTCACCTCCCAGAGGACAGCTGAGGACCAGGGGAGGCCCAGGCAAGGCAGGACCTATCTGCAGGAGGGCATGGGATGCAGGGCCTGAGAGGGGCTTGGGCCCACTGTGGGCAGAGCTGCCCTGTACAGACCCTTGGCCTGGGGGGCTGAGTGGTTATGGGATGTCAGGCAATGTGGGCAGGCTGCAGTTTCTGGCACTGGGTCCAGGGTCCTGCTTGGGGTGATGGGAACCACAGCAGCACCACCAGGTTAGGACCCCGATGTGACTTCCCACTGGGTTCAGCTAAGAATGATACTGGAGCCTGGCTGCTGTTTGCACGGGCTGGGTATTGTTTTATTAAACTGCCCTACAGCTCTGTGAGGAGCTTACTTTGATCATCCCTATTTTGATACGAAAATGGAGGCTCAGAGAGGTTAATGAACCTGCCCAAGGTCACACAGCCAAGTGGTGAAGACCAGTTACAGACTCCGAGCTATGGACACTGAAGCTGTGCTCTAACTCCTGTGGTTCTCTCCCCTTGAGGTGTCCTCTCTAGGAAAACGTGATTATTATATTACAGTATCTTATTACTGTATTTGTATACATATATCTTATCACAATATCTTATTATTGCTGGTTAACTTATTTAAAAAGCAGTATTTGTTCATTGCAGAGAGTTTAGAAACTACAGAAAAGCAAAGAGAAAAACAGTAGGAATCAGCCCCAGGTCCTAGCATTTGCAAATAGACTTATTAATGTCTAAGGCCACATATGTCCTGAAGACTGACTTCTAAGTCCAGTGTCACCCTGACCCTGGAGTTTGACCGATGTTCTGGGGAGGCCTGTGCTGGCTGAGTGGCTCCTGCCTGTGCCAGAGTGGCCCTCCCTGGGGTCAGGGGGACGGGGCTGGGCCCTGCTCTGTTTCTCACCCTTGGCTCTTGTGTCTCTCGTTTCAGGAAATTAAAATGCATGACAGATAGCGAGTCCGTCCCGCCTGACTGGCCCTATTACCTAGCCATTGATAGGATTCTGGCCAAGGTCCCCGAGTCCTGTGATGGCAAACTGCCGGATGGCCAGCAACCGGGGCCCTCCACATCCCAGACCGAGGCGTCCCTGTCGCCGTCCGCTAAGTCCACCCCTCTGTACTTACCATATACCCAGTGCTCCTACGAAGGCCGCTCCGAGGACGACCGCTCCGGCAGCTCCTCCAGCTTACTGTCCCTTAAGTTCAGGTAGTGTGCTCGCTCTTTCGTCCTGCCCTAGGCCTGGCCTGACCCCACCCCCAAGCGGGGGCAGGACCCCAGCCCTCCGGAGAAAGGGGCTGGAGCAGCGAGGGGTGGCAGTGTCCTCCGCCATCCTGGCTGCCTGCACAAGCCATGGTGGCACAGGAGCCTCCAGGGCCAGGCTGGCCTCAGACCAGTGAGGGCTTCAGTGTGGACAGGCTGGGTGTGTCTCCTGGCTCCATCACTTCTAGCTGCATGGCAAGTTCCTTGACCTCTCTGGCCTCAGTCTCCCCTATAAAATGGGGATAAATTGGTGCCTTCCTCAGAGGGTGTTTGGGGGCATCACAGGAGAGAAGACATGGCACAGGGCCAGGCACACAGAGGGAGCCCAAGCCCTTGCCCCAGGTGTGCCCTCCCTGCCTGCCCTCACCCCCAGCAGGCCCTGCCCGGGGTCCCCCGCCCCTGTGCCCTTGTGGGCTGCAGCCGGTCCTCTCAGCACTGGGAGGTGTCTTGAGCTGAGCCTCTGGAGCGTCCTCGTGACCTTGCGCTGGGCATGCCCCACGCCCGCTGCTGTGCACCACACATCAAACCACACCTGTGCTGGCCACGCGACCGTGCTTGTGAGGGACCCATACAGCAGCCAGGAGCCAGAGAGCATGCAGTAGAGACACCCTGTAGCATGGGGGCTGGGAACCCAGAGAAGGTGCTTCCGAGGAGGGGCACTCAGGGTGGGCTTCAAGGTAAAATAGGAGTCGGTCAGTTGGAGAAGAGAAGAGGAAGAATGTGGATTTGAGTCACGGCCGCTCCCCGGCAGCCCCGTCTTCAAGTCTGTCTGATGCAAGGTGGGGTGAGGAGGGTCCTCGATGCAGGGGCAGCTGCTTGATTCACACAGCGCCCTTCCCTGGGGGTGTTTGATTAAGGACCACACACAAAAACACCTTTGCTAACGGCCAGACCAAATTAGCAGGGAGGCCTGAGACTTATGGCCAATTGTTCCCCGTGCATTGAGCCTGGTTTCTAGACTCCCAGCTGCCCAGGGTATTGCACAGGGCTGGGAGGTGGGGACGGCTCTCCCAGCCCCAAGGTTGGCTTGTCACTCCTTTGCTCAGAGCACAGAGTATGGGCTGGGGGATGGGCAGGCACCAGGGCAGGGCCTTGCCTCCAGCAGGGGATGGTTAGACCAGGGATGCCTGCCACCCCAATAGGAGAGCCCTTGGAATGGCTACAGGGCTGTTCTACCTGCTTCTACCACAGGTTCAAGGCCCTGGGGAGGTAGCATAGGCCTTTTATAGAACCTGACCCCCACTAGGTGCCTGCCCTCTTGCCTCCTACACAAGGAGTGCTGGCCCCATCTCCAGGCTGCTGGGCCAGGCCCTTCCTTATGGACCTCAGTTTCCCCATCTGCCCAAGGCCAGCTGGGACTGGTGGTCTCTGGCTTCCCTGTGGGAGTGCCATGCATGGCCCACATCCCTCCCACCAGCCTCCATCTCACCCTGCGGGTGGCCTCTCCACCCTTGAGCCCCCAACTGGGCCTGGCCCTTGCTTGCCCAGCTCTGTGGATGGCAGGGTATGTCCCTCTGCCCCTTCCCCAGACTGCAGGGGCTGGGTTACCCTGTGACCCCAAGTCATTGGGGTCCCCTGCTAGTCCCAAAGGATGGCAGTGCCTGTGCCCATGATGCTGTCCCACTGTCCTGGGTAGGTGGGTTCTGGCCTCCTCTCCACACATGAACTGTGAGAACCTGAATGAGTAGCCTGACTCTCTGGGTCCTCAGTGTCCCCATTTGCCCAGTGGGGAGGTGGGGAGGGTCAGGCTGTGTGGTCAGCAGGTCCACAGCCAGCGTTGTCCCTGCAGGTCGGAGGCACGGCCCGTGAAGAAGCGCAAGGTGCAGAGCTGCCACTTCCAGAGGAAGAAGCTGCGGCTGCTGGGAGCCATGCTGCAGGAGCAGCGCAAGCTGAGCCGCGCCACAGAGGAGGCCTGCCGCGAGGTGCGCCGCGTGCTGGACCAGCAGCACATCCTGCAGGTGCAGAGCCTGCAGCTGCAGGAGCGCATGATGAGCCTGCTTGAGAAGATCATTGCCAAGTCCAGCGTCTAGGCTGGCCGGCCGGCGGCTGGCGGTGCAACTCAGGCCCAGCTGGGCACGGTGGCCCCGCCCCGCCCAGGGAGGGTCCCAGAGAGAGGGGACGGCCTTCAGCCAGGCCTCGGGTGGGCTGCTCCTGGGCGGGGATGTCCTTTCCGAGGGGCTTTTCGAGGACCCCACAGGCACTGGGAGACCATGAGACTCAGTCTCTAGCATTAACACCCTTCCTCGGACACAGGCCAGAGACTGCAGGGTCACTCACAGTAAGAACATCATAGAATCTGCTCTCCAGTATAGTCACTATGAATGACACTTGAAATGGCTCCTGGTAGTAAATGTGTACTGTTTTCGTTATTGCCTGGAAGCAGAGATCACTTTCACTGGCTTGGAGGGGATGCACCAGGCTGATCTGTCTTGGACACAAATGGACATAAGTTAGGGGCACACTGGCCCCGTGGTGGGCTCTGCCATAAGGGGAGACTGTCGTGTCTCCCTCACTGGGTCTGCTGGGTCTCCTGCCACGCAAATAGCCTCTGACACCCACTGGAAACCCCAGAGAGCCTGTGTTGCCTTTTATCCATCTCTGCGTAGAATATCCATCTCTCTACTGCCTCTTTCGTGATACCACCAACGAAAGTCATGGCACTGGCTCTTGAGCACGGCCCATTAACCTTCAGGCCCTGGAACTGTTGCGGGGGTTGAGAACAAGGCCCTGCCTTGCAGAGCGCACGCTACTGCAGGGGACAAGCAGCCAGTAGAGAAGCCACAGCAGGTTGTGACAAGAGCTGGAGGAAAGAGCCAGCCCACACAGAGCGGGAAGAGCAGCTCACGTGGGGAGCAGCCACTGCAGACGCTCAGAGGCAGGAGGACGCCCAAGCAGGCCCTGGGAGTGCAAGTAGGCCGTGCGGGCTGCGGCCAGGCCACGGGTCCATACGGCCTGCAGGAGGAGTTGTGGTGGTTTCCACGCTTGTTAGGAGTGTTCGGGCCACTGCCCATCTGGATCTGACTCCCAGGGGGAGGTGACAAGCTAGGGGTGGAGGTGGCCACACTGCAAGCCTACAACACTGCACCTGCCCAATGGAAAAACTCTTTCTAGAAGCTCCTTGGCTGAACTCTCCATCAATCATGTTGGCGGGGACTTGGGCTTCTGGGCACCCTGGCTGCAAAAGAGGCTGGGACCAGCTGTGTTCGATTCATCCTGGAACTAAGCAAGTCACTGCCCAAATGGAACAAGGTTCTGTGGTGGTGGTGGTGGGGGGGGCAGCAGGTGAGCGACACAGCTTGATTCGTGGTCCAGAAGAGCTCCCCAGCTGCCAGGTGAGCAGACCTTTGGGGATAGGAGCAGGAGCAAAGGTCCCGCCGGGTGCTGCTGCAGTCCTCCTGGTGTGAGACCACCAGCCCACCTGACTCTCCAGGGGGCTGCAGGGTCAGCCAGGTGAGGAAGTGACCAGGGGCTCTGCCCCGTGGCTGGGAAGAGCTGCATGCAACTGGCTCTTGCGAGCCAGTGAGTGCTGGCTCTAGCTCCCTGCTGAAGAACAGAGGGTAGCCCTGGAAAGATGGAAGATCTAGGGATGTCTAGTGTTGGAGCCCCAAGTTCTGACAGCTGCCCTGACTAAGTCTAGCTCAGGTACTCATCTGCCTTTCAGACATGACATCACCCCAACAATTTGTTTAACAGATGCACTGGGCTCCTGCTAGGTGCCTGTGCTGCCCTAGATGGTGGAGACCCAGCCGTGGCACACAGTGACCTGCCCAAGTGCACCTTCCCTGGCCTCTGCCCACAGAGGGTGGCTAACGACTCACGTGGGGCTAGCCATGGGGGGGTTCTAGGCCTCCCGACATGGTTCAGTTCCAAGCCTTCGGGAGGAAATGGTACCTGAGTGTGCTGGAGGCCAACCGCTGAGCGCACTTGCTCCCAGACTCACGGCCATGATGCCAGGCACTGCCCACCCCTTTCCACTGGCTGGAGCATAATCATTTAAGGTCAGGAGAAACACAGCATTGAAACCACGTGGGGGTGGCACCTTTCATAACAGTGTATCATCACCAACTTTCCAGTTTCTTTAGATGTTGGTCCATTAAGGAGAAAAAAAATGACTATGTCAGTAAATGCTAAAATATTTGATGAGATTTGGCAAAAACAGCACGTTAACACTGAAAACTAAAGTTAGGATCGATGCAAATGTGCTTGGTTTCACCATTATTATTTAATGCTGTTTCGGTGTTTATAGCTAATGCATTAAGATAAGTAAACACATAAGCAGGATAAGGGATGAAATGAAGAAATTAAAATTACTTTTACTTTCAGATAATTTTTTTGTATAATCAGAAAACCGAATATACAAAAGATCAAGAGCTCTTTAAACTGGCTTAAACCTGTTGCAAGTGAGAAGGAAGAAATATTTGTGATTAAAAACAGTAGAGGGCTGGCTGGTTCACTTACCTGGGAAAAGTGTGACGTCGGTAACACCAAGGTAACACAGGGTTCGGATCCCTGTACCTGCCAGCTGCCAAAAAATAAAGAAAAGAAAAACAGTGGAATATCTGGGAATGAATTTAACAAGAAAAGCATAGGACCTACATGCAGAAAACTACACAGTCTTCTTAAGGAATCTAAAACAGGACGTGAGCGTGCAGGGAAACAGCATACTTCCAAAAGCTCCAAAATAAATAAAATGTCATCCTTTTGTTTATGTCATTCCCACTATACTCTCAGTAACATTGCATTTTTTGTTTTGTAATGGACGAAACTATGTTTAAATTCATGTGAAAAAATAATGGGGCCACAGGTCCAAGGCCCATCTGTGTGAGAAGTCAGGGCAGCCTCAGGGGAGCCAGGGGACCGCAAGCAGACCACGCGAGGACCCCACCTCACGCTCAGGAGACCAAGTGGAGTGGGCCGTCGGGGCGGAACGTGCACGTTGCTCGTGGGGACATGAACTGATCCAGCCACTGCAAGGAGCATCTTGGCTTGACCTCCTCATGCTGAAGAAATGCACGCTCTGCAGCTCAGCAGCAACTCCTGCGTGTGCGTCGCCTGGGGCAGCAGCTCTCACGTGAGGTCTCAGGACCCCTGAACACTCTTGAATAGGACTGAAGACGCCAGACGGCTCTTGCTCTGTGGCTTCTAACTACCAATATCAATACCTACTAGAATACTTTATTAGAAATTAGACCTGAGGCATTCGAAGAATACTCATCTCAAAATAACAATAAACCCATTGCGTGGTAGCATAGATAACAGCTGTGTGACAAGTATATTTTCCAAAACAAAGAGTTTTTAGCAAGAAGAGTGACATTGTCTTGCATCTTTGTACGTCTCTGGCTTAAGAGAAGCCAGTGGACCCTCGTTGGGACCCTGGGCTCAGTCTGCCGAAGGTTTTCGTTGTGGTTGTCAAGTATGGGACTAGATGTGGAAAGTCTAGCCTCCCACAAGTATGTTTTGTATTTGGAAAAGAAAGGAACATTTAATCACCTTTGCAATAATCGTGGCTATTCTTTCCTGGTCCTGCCCTCAAGCGGTGGTTTCGGGAGATTAGTTGTGTTGTGGAATCTGCGGCACCGTCGTCGGACTTTTGCTTCTGTGTTTCTCTAGAATCTATGGAATCCTCTTGAACTTTAGTGAGTCTCTGTCCATCCATGCTTTTGTAACATCACATGGGGGTTTGGAAATGTTGTTTCACCGAGTTGTGTGGCTCATCCAAATGTGGACGCAGTTCATTGATCAGTATCCACAAAAGTCACCATCAACCTTAGCCAGAAGTCTTTAAGTTGGGGAGTTGCTGAAGTCATAGTGGTGGATGCAAGTTTTTCAAAATTCTGAAATTTGCACGAAAGCTTGAATTTTATTATTGGTAACAAATACTGTCAGTTATTTTCCTTGAAGGCACAGGCCCACTTTGTTCATTTTCAAGAAAATGTCTCCGGATGCCCACAGCTGAGTAACTGGGTTCTGTCAGTCCTCCTGTCAAGTAGGAGCTGTGTTCCGGCTGTCTGTCTGTCTGTAAGTTTCTGTTTCAGATGGCAGCTGAGTTGCACGTGCTTTTCCTCAACCAGATGCCACCCTCAGGCGCGGAATAGAAGCCGCCACCCATACACTGTCCACTTGGTATTGAAAAGACAGGTACTCAAGGGTTAAGATTTAGTACAATTCATCATTTTTACCGCTTCATCAGGGTCATTCTCTAATGACAGTGGCCTTTTCGCTGCCTTGTGTGATGGGGAAGAACATGAGGCCACAGCCAGAGTTTGGCGCCTGCTCCGTTCCTGATGAGGACCCACCACTGCTCCTGCGCCCTCAGCGCAGATGCCGCAGGGAAGGTCCATGTCTATTATCTCAATTAGCACAAAATAGCTGTGGCCTCGGGGACCCCCGCCCTCGGCCTTAGAGAAGCTCGAGCATGCCCAAGGTGCCCAACGAGCTGTCTGCCTTGCCGATGCCCTGGCGTGGCTTTGTGAGGAGTGGGTGGGGGCGATGCGGGGGTCACTGCAGGGGGTGAGGGTTAGTGTGGGCCACGTGCTCAGGAGGGCACAAAGGAGGCCCCATGTTTAGTTTTCTAACAGTGATCTTAGTAATCGCCTACTGTGCTGTAGGCACTGGGGATATGGCCAGGCAGAAAGTGGGTAAAAATCTCTGTCTTCACAGTTTATGGTCCGGGTGACGCCAGACAGACAATAAGCAAGATGAGTAAGTGACTTAGTGTGTTCGAGGACAAGTTCAAAACCACAAACAAAGCGGGTTGGGGGACTGGAACCCGGGGACTGTGTTTTAATACGCACTGAGAGGGAAGGCCTCGCTGAAGTGTCATTTGAGCAAACGAGGGCACTCTTCACCTTAGCGCTGACAGCTGCACTGTTGCAGCAGGGCCAGCACCTCCCCTACCAGGGAAACAGGGGAGGTGGGCCTGTGTCACCCTGCCCTGGTTTCTGCTGGAGCCCCGAGGGGGGTGAGGCCGGCCCCAGGGAGGACACAGGTCTGCCTGCACTGGTCTCCAGTGGTGCTGGGATAGGGACAC